GTAGAATGTGTAAATATAGTAAGATAGAAAGTGTGCAGATAGATTGGTTGAACCTAAAACTAATTTATTTTGATAGTAGCTGGCTGGGGCCAGATAGCTCAAGATATATCGTGATTGTTCATGTTTCGTAATTGCCTGCTGTCCATGAAATGATACAAACTATCGCTGTCACTGTTTGCAGCAGTTGTTGGCTTGCTCTTCGAATGATGGTTGACATATGCCATTGATCCCAGTACAAGAAGGCCACCAGCTAGTACTTTTCCAAGAGTGCTTGTCCGAGCTGATGCATCTGCTGGATTAGATCCTGTTTCACCAGACATGTCTAGTGTTTGGTGCTGCTCAACTGGCTCATTCACCTTCATTTTTTCGACTGCTTCTGGCTCGTCTGTTACTACTACTTGTATGTTTAGTAGGTTTGCAGACTCTTTTATCTTCTTGAGAATGTGCTGTTTCTGAACTGGGCTTAAGCTAGGTAATACATTTGAGATAGCTCGAAGAATATTAATGCCACTACAAATTAATTTTACTTTTTCAGTATCAAAGTTTGATAAATATATCTTATTATTTAGGAAATTAATTTCACGCAGTATACTTCTCATCTCTTCTTCCTCTTTTCTCACTACCTCCTGGTACTCCTGCGAGTTTGGATCAAGGTCAGTTGTGTTTTTCCACTCTGTCAGACTTTTTTCTTTTTTATCCCACTTTTCTTTTTCGTTGTCAACAGATTTCGTCATACTTTTATATTCACCCCGTAGTTTTTCTCCTTTTTCAGGCATTATTTCTAACAAGCCATTACGGCTAGTTATATAGTCTTTACTGAAGTTGCTCAAGTCTGCTTTTATCTTCAGCACCTTTGGCTCACCTTTTCCACCTAGTAAATCAGTTCTAGTTGCCATGCACTCTAGTGCCTTAACTATAGGGCTGTGTATCATTTTTTCACTCCAGATTTTCTGTTTGTTATTGAGAATAGAAAAGACTACTTCTAACTCTTCATTTTCAAACAAATTGCTGAGTTTTGCAGGTATATCCTGTATTTTATTATTGCTAGGACTTTCTACTTCATTGATGTTTTCTATTAGATCATTAATTTCATTATATTTCTCGTAAATAAGTTTCAGTCCGTAGTCTATCAGTGGAACTTTGTCTTCTTCTTGAGTGTATAGATCATCCAGACTGTAGCATCCCTTTACAGATGTATACTTTTTAAAAAGATCTATATTTAATGAATCCATTGAACTCAAAACAAAAAAAGCATTCTCTCTATCCAGACCCTCTGAGGTAAGTTGAAGAATATTTTCCAAGTTTGTATCATCAACCATCAAAATGTATGTTCTAGTGCTTAAATTAAGCTCTCCATGAGAAAGAGCTATACTATCTAGTTTTTCATGTATGTCAAACTCTCTATTTATTCCATGCTCAGGATTGTATATAAATTTATTTGGATTTACAAGTTCAATAACTGAAGACATGAATGCATATTTAACTATTTCTTGAATTCTACACCATAATGTAGAACTTACTATAGGCATAGAAATTCCTTCATTTGAACTGTATGTAAAGTATTGGCAGGCATCATTCTCGATTATTTTTAGAATAGTTTCTTTCTTCTCCTCACTAAGCTCCTTGCTTTCTATCCTTAGATTATCCTTAATTATGCGCTTCAGCATGTTCATATGGCTTACTCTGTCACCTGCTTTGATAGATGTATCATTTTTAATAACAGACTGGCACTCCTTTAGTATTCCTTTGACATTGATCTCTAACTTAACTTCTCTCCTGGTCATTGTAAAAGTTTTAATAGCAAAAAAATAATTTAAGGATCAGGGGCTTCCCAAGGCGGAAATATTTTATTTTTATTTTTTATACTCATATAATGACAATAGAATTACTTAAAGTTAAGAGCTTTATTACATCTTTCAATGGCTAGATAGCTGTATAAGCTGTTTTTTCTTCGAAACCATAAAGGAATACTTGATAAGCAGTAAAATAAGCACTTTATTCCATTTTCACTATCCAAATCCTCTGAAAGGTGCATAGGCAGAGAACTGTCCACCTAAGCAAAAGAAAAGATTCTGTCTGCCGTCTTAAAACTTTGTACTTTATTTCCAAAAACTAATGGCTGTACTGCCATCCCACACCTATGAAGAAAAATTGCGTTTCCAGCTAATTTTTCCAGCATGTGATATATATTAATTAAATATCAAGTACGTCTAGATATCACTCAGTCTTCCTCCACTAGCCTCTCCAGCACGCCTTTTATGCACTGGTTGAGAGTCTTTTCTTCTGTTTCCACCCAGTGGACTCCTTCTTCGTTTTTGAAAAACACCCGGTACTTTTTGCTCTCCTCTACATATGCAGTCATGATGATTTCCTTATGCGGGTTTCTAGTCTTGCACAGTAGACATACATTTACAAACACTTTTTTCATAAGCGTTGTCTCATTCTCTGACCTGAAAGAAATAGCGCCTTTGGGTATGAGGACCAGCCCTATTCCGTTCACTCTTAAGACCTTTCTTCGCTCTATGCTTTTCTTTATGTTTTGCACCACTTTCTTGTACTCAAGCAGGCCCTTCTTTGCATCTATGTATTTGATGTTTCTGAACGCAAACACAGCCTCTATAAAAGAGCCTTTCTTTATGAGAGCGCATATTGAGTAAAACACCTCAATGTGCGAAAACCCCAGGTTGTACTGGTAGTGCTTAAAGTACGTGTGCCGCTTATTAAAGCTTCTCTGGGCGACTTTCTGGATAGGCCCTACAAGGTTGTTCAGCGAGGTTTCCTGCGCAGCAGCCACTGCAACGCCAAGTTTTGCCAGAAACTGGTTCAGGAGATACTCAGCGTTCTCAAGGAGACAGTGCTTTGTGTTCTTTCTCTGGAAAAACAGCCCCAGCTCCTCTATAACCCCAAAGTCGTTAAGAAGCGCCTCGTACAGGGTAGTCCACTTGCTAAACGGGAAGTACACGCCGCTCTTTATCAGAACCGACTTTTTTTCTTCGTCGTCTCTCTCCAGCCGCCCTATCTCTGCTACAATCTCTTTGTATATCTCCAAGTGCCCCGTTTCCTCTGTGTTTATATTTTCTTTCTCTTCGTAGCTCTCGTGTCCTTCCTCCTCTTCCTCTGAGACAGCCTCGTGCACATTCTTCCTGATAGGGCTGCGCCACTCTGCCTGCTCTATCCTGTTTGTCTGTCCATACGTGGAGACGCATATGCTCCACAGACAGTCTGGCGTTAGGTGCCCTATGCTTTTGCACAAGTTGAAAACAGCCAGCTCAAGGGTCTCTCCGCACAGAAGGATCACGTCCTTTGAGGCTCTTGCTTCTTTTGCTGCGCTGAGCACAGCACCTCTCCTCACCTCGCACCCTTCGCCAATGCCTATTTCAAAAACACTGCGCTCCTCCTTCTCCCTGCGCTCCCACACCACTTCGTGCTTTATGAGCTCTTTTTCCAGTATGGTCAGCACAGAAAACAGCGCTGCAAAATGATCTATCTCCCTAGATATGCAAACCACCCGAACAAACCCAATGTCTCGCACTTTTTTGATAAACTGTCTATATACACTTTCTTTTCCTTGATTAAATACTTCTATCATGCAGCACTCTGTATTTTTTGCAAAATAATTTATTTACTCATTATCAACACTCCACTGCCGCTCTCTTCTGAAAGTGCGTTTCTCGAAACACAACAGCCTCTCGGATAGTGCACTTTGCGCAGTATATGAGCACCAGAAACAGAAACGTGAAGAAGACAGCATCAAAGACCCCGCGAGAGCTGGCCACCTTGTAGTGTCTGTTGTCAAAGTGGTCAAATATGATCAGAAACAGCGCTATTGGAATCTTCAGCACAATTAAGTTTGTTACTATTCTGAAAGACCCGATAATCACCGCCATTATAAAAATCTGGGTTCTGTAGAGAATGCTCAGCAGGCTCGCTTTGGGCAGCACCAGCGGCCCATCCGCGCTGGAGTTGTCTATAAAATCTATGGCTGTCTCTAAAAGGCTTTTGTTGGACACCAGCACATCGTACATAAAGTTTTTTATTGTATTGTTTCGTATGTTTATCACTAGCTTTTCAATTAGAACAGCCGTAAGCCACAGCTCGTATCCATTGTACATTTTTTACAAAAGAAGAGCAAATTATTAGAAAATTTGCAAAACAGAGATTGTGTATCGTGGATAAAAAGCAGAGAGAAAAGACACAGCACTTCTGGAAGCAGTGCACAGTCTCTTTTATGCACAAGCAGACTGAATGCACACTACAAATGGCCTTCTTTCAAGAAATAAAGAAGAGTAGCCTAAGCTTTATCTAAAAATAATGCAACATAGATGGTTGCTCTGCAAAAAGTCAAATTAATGCTGCTAGTAAATCTATACTTTATTGAGTCTTCTAAGTCCTAGAATATTGTGCTATAAAAGGAGTGAGTATGCTCTCGTTCAAACATACTGTGTGCATCCACAAATTTCGAATGCATTTCTCTGTGTGTGCGCTTACATCTGTTTTTCTAAAGACCAGAGAAAAGGTTCCATATATCTGCATATTCAGAATGTTTAGATTACTTCTCTGTGAAAACTAGTTTGTGCTAAAATGTCTTGTTTATGCAACTCAGAAACTGTAGACTCTATGCGCTATTCCCTGTGTATTGAATAACTTCGTGGATGCTTTATACTTGTGCTTCTAAAAGCGGGCTTGCGCTGCTGTTTCCCAGATGCCAAATCTCGCTCTCCTGCAGGAAAAAGTTAATAACATTTGGAGAGTTCACAGCTATCCCAACCAGATAGACCAGGAAAACTGCTGATATAGAGAAGCCTATGGCAGATATGATTTTGCATATTAGCACCTCCTTATCGTAGTCAATTGTGTCTTCCAGTGTCTCTCGTATCTTTTTCACTCTTTTCTCCCCCACAAACTGGTCTAGCAGGAAGCTGAAAACCTTGTCTGAGATAACAGCTGTAAGTGTAGGGTCTATGAATATCAGTAGAATGCTGAGGTTGAACTTCACAGCCAGCAGAATAAAGAGCGCTTTTACAATGGTGTTTTTTATCAGCCCCAAGTTTACGTCATGGAGCTTTACTGCTCTTTTTTTCCTGTTGTCTAGACAGAATGCGTTGTAGTACTCGCTGAGCGACCTTCCAAAGACCACAAGGCATCCTGTGAACACAACGCCGTTTCTATAAGACAGGCTTTCCAGCACTCTAACGGCAATGTTAAAGAAGCTGTATGCATAATAGCAGTTGTTGTACAAGAACAGATACAGAGAAGAGCCCACCAGGTAGTTTGCGAGGACAGTGAGTGTTACAAATAAAAAAATAAATGAGTTGAAGAGCGATATCGCATACGCCATGTTAATTGAGAAGAGCGTAACGAATCTGATCACTTTTGAGGCCATAGTGTCTTTTGTAAGTATATTTATATTTTCATCTGCATTTTCTCTGTTCCTCCCTGCGCTTTCCTCTGATCTGTCTATGGGTTTTTTGCTAAACATCATTAGTTGGCCGTTGTTGCTAACCTCGTTCTTATGGTATGCGAGGTCTTTTCTGTTGGCATTTTTAACTTTGTACTGCTGGGCTATGCGTCTTATTTCCTCTTCCTCCTCTTCCTCCTTCTTAGCTTTCTTTGTTTTTGCTGCCTCCAGCACTTTGAGGTCTTCTACAACGGGCTTCAGTGCATTCTCTCTGTTCGTGCTGAAATTGAATATAAAGTTGATGCACACCCCTATCTTTACTGCAAGCATCACTTTGCTGAACATGCCTGGCTTCAGCGCTTCTTTTATGACTTTGAACGAAAAAAGAAACTCTACTATGCTGTTAGATAGCTTAAACGCTTTGCTCAGTAAAAGTTTTATGGACTCGTTTATAGTATTTGGGGCTCTTTCTATTTTTATGTACTCTGCAAAGGGCCCCTTCTTAGGTGCTTCTTGATCGCAGAGAGCCACTCCTATGTAAAGAATACACGCAGCCAGCCATAGAAATAGTTTCTGATTCATGGATTGTTTGTTGCTCATTAGCTTAAAAAATTGCAAAAAATTTTGCAGCATGTATTTATACTTTGAGCGCTATATGCCAAAGAAAATCAGCCCAATTTCAGATCAACTGAAGCTTCACTCTATGTAGCTCTGAAAAAGACACACCACAATAAAACTTTAGAATATCTCAATTAGACTGCTAAAAAAGAATGTTCTTGCATGCACTGATAAGCCACATATTGCATAGCGGGCTTGTGTCTATCTCTTCTGTTTATTCTCGCTTAGATCTGCTAAAGGGCATTCTTGCATCGTGTGTGCTCTGTTTCTTCGATCTATACATGTTTCTCAGAGTATACAACAAATCTAAGCTACTCTGGCATATAAATAATACACTGCATATTCTCGGGTTATATTCTCAATAAATCACTAGGTATTTGCACAATTGAAATAAATTTAAACAAAATAGAACGAATCTAGTAAATTTATTATATAGTACACATGTTCAATTGTACACTCTTAACATTTTTTAAATAAAAATAATTACATGCACAAATAGCAACAGGATAAATACAAACAGACTGCTGATAGAGCAATGGAACACATCAAGAGATGTGCATCTTCTGACACGTACGCATTGTGCATCTATTTCATTCTGCAAAATAAAAGCTCTGCTATGAAAGCTTACAATCATAACATAAGCACACAGATCAAACAAAAGAAGAGTGTGCAGAGCACAGAGTATCCCTCTAGTATAGTAAAATAAAAGACGAAAGTGTGCCAAAGAAAAAGACAGCATGCCATTTAACGTAGAGTTTATTTAGTTTCATCTGAGAATGCCCAAATGCTGTGCTCTGCACTCTGCCATATTTTATCCGATGCATTAGATTTTATACCTCCTGATGGTCGCCTCTGCTGGAAGATCCTCCTGTTTTCATGTTTGAAATGTATATGGAAAATATATACATGTACATCAGACAGAACAGAATGTTTGTAAATACTATAAACAGTTTGAACAGGAAGGTGGCTGCGTTTCCAGTGAGGAAGAACACGAATAGAATAGTGACGGCCAAGCTGAGAAGCCGAATCCCCAAGAAGGAAAGCAGCATGCTGCTCTTGTTAAAGTAGTATACGAAAAGATCGTGGCAAAAACTCAAAAGATAAACGACGCCTAGAATAATGCCGTAGACCGAGCTGGCGAAAGAGTCTTCTGTTTTTGTCGAATACAGCGCTATATACAGCGCATACACGTATATGTAAATCGCTGCGTTTAAAATAAGAGACACCATTGCCATCTGCTTTATGCCCACTTTTTCAAACTGTGTTGGCACCATCTGGCCCAGCTTTGACTGCTGCATCATCTGAACCTGCTTGTGTGCTTTCTCGTCTGTTTCCTGTACTTTCTTTGAAACTGCTTCCTGTGTTTTATTGTCGGAATTCATACGGGGCAGATTAGAAAATGTTTTATCTACTCCCTCTGGACACACTGATTGGTTGTGCGTTGATTTGTTCTATTGGACAGTGAAGATCTCGGGATACTCTCTTCGCACAAGAACCGCCCGAGACTCTATCTTTTTCCTTCTCTGTATAAATATCGGATAGACCAGCCCATCCACGATGCACTTCCGCAGAAACGCAACATACACTGATACCAGCACAGAAAAAATGGAGACAGCAATTATTGGTATATTTTCAAAAATAATCTGCAGCGGCGCACTTGCCTTAAAGTGCAGCAGGAAGAGCAAAAAGAGCACAAAAAGCAGCACTGCAGCATTGGCTCCTCCCAGGTATATTTCGTACATCATGCAGTTGATGCTTACGTAATGAATGCCCAAAACAAAAACCAATGCTGAAACACACATACTAAACACAGCTGAGCTGATTTGGACAAAGAGATTGTACTTGCCTACCACCGCAGTTTTAATGGCAAGGAGCAAGTTCACGGCAATGTACAGCACATTGATTGCAATAAAAAGCTTTCTGCGCAAAAGAGTCTTCACATGCATAAACAAATACTAAACACTTTATTTCAACTTTGTACGAGAATGTAGGAATGGTACGAGATAAGAGTTAAAATTGCTCTTTTAAAATAGAGAAAGATAACGCAGGAACAAAAGAGCTTGCGCAATAGTGTTCTATCTGTGCTTCTTTTCCTCTGAACACGCACAAATGCTAAATTGCTCTTCTAAAGATCCAATCTAGTCCCATAAAGACGAAAACGTATAGTCAGTCTTTACCCTTTTTGCACTATTTCCACTGTCAGCGCTGTTTTTATTCTCTTCTTGATAGCCGCTTTTTTCTTTTTCTATGGCTCTGTACACATCGTTTGAGGCTTCTTTCGAAATGTAGCAGTACGAACCATCTTTATTCAGCTGTTCTTCAGCCTCTTCAAAAGAAATATCTCGCATCGCAGAAGATGCCTCTGCACATAGATCTTTAGTCTTTGCAGACTCATGCAAATTTAAGCGCTCTTGGGGAGGGATAGACGCTCTGTCTGCAAAAGATATGTCTTCTTCTCTCTTCCTCAGACTATCCTCTTTTATTGGAAGATTTGTGCCAGCAGGTGAGTGGCCTCTTGTTTGCGCGGTAGAGTATGAATATGTGAGCCTTTTTTCTATCTCGTGCACTGCAGGCTGTATCTCTTTCTCTATGTCTGTCCACCTGTGCGACTTGAGCACTTTCACCACCTCCTGCACGATTTCGTCGTACTTCTGCGATATGACAGCTTTGTTTTCTCTCTCAACGCACTCCATAATGCTCTGCATAAACACATTTTTGGAGAGAACGCGCGTATCTTCCAGCTCAACAGTGAACTGTGCGTTCTTGTAGATGTTTTTCAGAGCCTCTTTTTTATTAGCAGGCACTTGCTTTTTCTTGTGTATTATCCGAAGCGCCTCCTTGGGGTTGGCAACTCTGTCCTTAAACTCCTCCATGGTTCTTTTGGGGATGACTGTATTCACAATGCTTTCATCCACCTCCACCCTCAGCCTAACCAGCGGTCTGTGCTCGTCTTGGCACTTCTCCAGGATAGACTGCATTTCTGTCCGTATTTTCTCCTCTATGTTGCTGTTCTGTGCAGAAATTTTTCTGAATATCAGGCTGCGCGGGCTCTTCATCTGGATCGGCGTTGTGTGCCACCCTTCTTCTGTGACCTTCAGCAGCACGCAGTGCTTGTATCCGCTTTCTGCCCTGCACAGAGACGTCTGCACCGTTGAGCCTGGCTGGATCGTGTGGAAGCCCATTTTGTAGTTTTCTACGGGCGTTGGCTCTGACTGGTGCATGTGCCCCCATATGACCAGGTCCATCTCCTTGCTGAGCAGCTCTTCAGGAACATACGAGCTCCCGCCCATTCCGCACCTTGTCTGGTGCAAAACCAGCACTTTGCTCCCCTTTCCTGCCGACTCAAACGTAAGCCTTTCTTCAGCCAACAGCTTGGTCATTGCCTCGTCTCGAATCCCGCCCATCCCGTACAGGTTGAGAACCACGTTCTTTTTCCGCAGAATAATCGGCCGCACTCGAATGGCGCTCTTCTTCCCCTCCAGTGCTCCAAAGTAGTTTATCAGCCCGGCTTCTGCAAAAATGTCAAGGGTAGTCACGCCCTTGTGTCCTGACGGCTCGTCGTGGTTTCCATTGATGGCAAACACGGGCATTTCTATGTTTATGTTCTGGCTGTAGTAGTTTACCTGTCTTGTCCTCTTTTGGATGTCCACAAAGTTTTCGTTGTCTGTGCACTCTATCTGGATGGGCTTATCTCCCAAAATATTCCTCTGCAGTATTTCCATAGTCCGGTATATCGTGTACTTTGACGGGCTCACTTCGTGGAACAGGTCTCCGCATATAAGGATGCAGTCTGCCCTTACCTCCCGTGCGTGCTTGAACACCTCTTCAAAGGCCCGAAAAGAGTCCTCTCCCCGAATGTGGTCCCTCTCCAAAAACCCCAGGTGGTTGTCTGTTGTCACAAGCACCCGCATCTCCTCCATTGTTTTCCTGCAATAAAAGTAAAACGGATATTTATAGAATTAAGAAGCGTCTGCAGTGTATTCAAATATAAATAAAGAAAAGTTAGTGCTCACACAGCCAAGTTCAAGTTAGTACGAATTTAATTTTAATTTTAATTTAATGCAAAGATTGCACATACAACGAAAATCAAACATTCAGTATATGCAGCGTAAAAAGTAATACAGCCCAGAGAATTGTATTAAAACTGTTCTGTTTATTGAACTGTACACCTTCCAATAGCTTACCTCTTGTCTACCCAATTAGCGCCATGCATCTTTTGAGCTACTCTAGCTAAATCACAGCAGACTCTTATTTCCACCACATGCCATACTCCATGCACTGGTTATCTCTATAAGACTCTCGGGCTATTGTGCACTGGTCTAAAAACGTTCCACACTTTTACTCTATGCGAATACTTGCAGGGTCCTTTGCAAAGGCTCTGAAGGTCTCTATCTCCTTTGAGGGAATTCTTGGCTTGGTTGCTCTGGCTATTTTCTTAAGCCTGTCTGTTATATCCTCCACCCCATCCGAGCTTTTCTTCATCCCGTGTATCTCCTGCATTTTAAACCTAACCGCCTCCATAGCCACGTCAGCACAAAGCCCTGTTAGCTCTGCCCCCGTAAAGCCCTCTGTTATCTCTGCAAAATACTCCTCCAAAGACACACTGTCTGAAGGCCTGGCACTCTTCCAGCTCTGCACAGCCTGCACTGTTTTTCTCAGCTTGTTTTGTATGATCTCCCTGCGAGTCTCTTTCTCTGGCAGGTCTACCAGCACATGGCAGTCGAATCTTCCCGGGCGCATAAGAGCGCTGTCTATGCTCCACGGCTTATTAGTAGCACCCAGCACAAAAACACCCGATGCCCCGCCTACTCCATCCATCTCTGTAAGAAGCGTTGACACAACTCTCTTATCAACCTGCCCGCCCTCTGCCTCTCTGTGCGGTGCTATAGAGTCTATCTCGTCAATGAAGATTATCGAGGGCGTCTGTGCCCTTGCCCTGGCAAAGACTTTTCGCACCCGCTCCTCGCTCTCTCCCACATACTTGCCCATTATCTCTGGCCCGCGTATTGACAGAAAGACTGCCCCGCTCTCATTAGCTAATGCCTGTGCAATAAGTGTTTTACCGCACCCAGGAGGGCCGTATAGCAGCACGCCCTTTGGAGGAGTTACGCCCATCTCGTCAAAGAGAGAGCTGAGCGACACCGGCCAGATGACAGCCTCTTTCAGCTTCTGTTTAGCCTGTTCTTGCCCAAATATAGAAGAGAACCGAATATTTGGCACTTCTGCAGGCACGCCGTCTGAAGCACTCGGAATGCTTCTTACAATGCTGTTCATCAGCCGCGCCATGCACTGCCCATCGCAGCAGCTCTTCTCTCCGTCTTTTTTTATTTTTAGCCCGGTAATAGACGCTTCAAGAGAGAGATCTGCTGTTTCAACTACACCCTCAGATGTCTGTGCTACTCTTCTTCCAAACAGCCCGTCTCTTAGCAGGAGATATATCTCTCCACGCGTAAACCCTGCTGTGCGCTTGGCTGCGCTGTCTACCATGTCTAGATCCACTGAGCACCCTCTGTGCATCTTGTGCAGCTGTACGCCTGCCAGCAGCTGAGCCTTCCTCTGCACTAGTGTCGGCGCATGCAGGGCAACTACTTTATCCAGCATGTGGGCGTTCTTCAAATCCTTTGGCACCTGCCCCAGATCATTTGCTGTTGCAATAACTGCTATCTTTCTTTTTTCTTTAGCAATCTCTTCCAGTATCCTTTCTATGCATATCACAGTTTCTGCAGACTTTTCTTCCACATACCTGTCTATCCGGTCTATCCAGACAGTGCAGGGCTCGTTTAGTTTTGCATACTCAAACGCATCTTCTATTGCTTTCGCTCTGTTCCCGTGCACCCGCACCCACTCTTTGCCTATCTCCTGCAAAACGTGCAAACACAGCGTTTTTTTGCCCATTCCCGTCTCTCCTGTTACAATAAGCCCCTTAGAAGAGCGCCATTCCGCACTTCCTTCTGGATACATCTTGTGGGCATCAAGACTTTTTGTGTTAACCTCTTCTACCGCTGACTGCTGCACAGAGTGCTCTCCTGCATAGGAGTTGGCATGGGCAGCCTCAATGAACGTTTTGAGCTCGTTAATTTCCTTCTCAAGGCCTATGGCAGGCGCAGCCTTATCTTCTGTTTCTATTGTTATTTTTGTGTTTTCTGTCACTTTTACTTTCGTATTTTCTTTTATCCTCACAAGCCCGCCAAATGCGCTTTCTCCCCCAGACACTATGCTCTTGTCTGTCAGCATAAGGCGCACAGACTCCAGTCTTTCAACGGTCTTCCTGATCCTTTTAAACACAACACAGACCTCGCTAGCCTCTGGATACTCGCCTGTGTTTTTCTCCACAGAGACCAAGTCGCCCGGTCTTCCTTGGAGATACGCCATCTCTTCTCTGGGGAGATAGACAGCGTTCTCGTCACCGTCAAATTTAGGAACAATCTTCAGCACAGTCTCACGGGCACCGCACGCTATTTTCACATGCTGTCCTGGCTTCAAGTGCGACTCCCTGAGGCCGCTTGGCGTCATGTACGCCCTCGACCTGTCTTTATCAAGCTCGTATGGAATTGCTTCTGCTGTATAATTTGTTCGCATATTTTTTTTGTTGAATGCCAAAAGAAAAGACCACCTCTCTGCAGTCTCGCCTAAGCACATTTAGAAAGGGCAACTGGAGCCTGGCACACCCAGACATGAACGACCTTGCGTACGCAGGGTTCTCCATGGACGAGTCTGGCACTGCCCCTGACGCTGTTATCTGTGACTTCTGCATGAAAGCCCTTGAGAACTGGTGCGAGTCTGATGTCCCGGTCAGAGAGCACGAGAAGCACGCCTCCTACTGCCCTCTTTTCCAGCTGCACACTTTGCAGGGCCGCTACTACACGTTCCAGTTCGGAAACCACAACATCAGCGGATCAGCGAGAAAGGCAATGGCTTCGCTTGGATTCGTGTTCTACTTCATAGAGAAAAAATATCCAAGTATATTCTGCTCAAACTGCGACTTTGCGTGCCAGATTGTGGGAGACGAGATGCATCTGGCCACTCCAAGGATAAAAGAGCTCCACAAGTGGCACAGCATCGAATGTGCAAAGAGCCGCGAGGGAATAGAGGAGGAGATTGGGAATAACCTGAGGCCACCGAGAACAGAGAGCTTCTTCTACAGCCTTATCTCAGGAAAGGTAGACTTTGACAAAATAACAAAATACAGCATCCATCTCACCACAGAGCTGAACAACAACATAAAAATAGAAACACCCACTTGGAGCGAGTACATGACGAGTCTCTCCCTTCCAAAGAAAGAGATGCTGTACAAGCACAAAGAGAGCTCAGAAGGAGAGATAAATGAAGGAGAGCACAGTGTGTCTGCAGAGCAAACATTGCAGAGTAGACAGGAGCTCTCAAGCAGCCATGAAGCATCTAATGCAAATATCAGCGCCTTTGAAGGGCACCCATCCATCCAAGCCTCTGCAGAGAAAGCAGTGCAGCACCCTGCAGATGAGCCCAGACAGACGCTTAAAGGCCTTGCTAGAAATAGTCTAGCTATGCTGGCAGAAACAGGCACAGAGCCAGAGACCAAAGAAAATGCATACGATGCACTACTAATAGAAAAAATATCTGCAATTCCCTGGGAATCAGTGGATAGTCCAGAAGATGCACTTTCGAGCTCCAAAACATCTGTGCAAGAAGTGTCCCCAGATGGAATTGTAACACAGCTCTGCTCCTTTATATCAGAGGAAGAAAAAAGCACACTGCGCATTAGAGACGCACTTATCCTTGGCCTGAAAAGAATGATAAAGCACATCCGCAACATAACCACGCAGGATATAGACAATGTTACCTCAGAGATACTCCAGATGTTCTAGTAATCTAAAAATAAATATAGCAAATCACACAATCACCCTTTTATCTAAGAAATAAAGAACCTTAAAGCACAATAGCACCGCAGCACTGTTTATTTAGAAAGCGTTTAGCCGCGAAAGCGCAAAGAGAGCACCCATCTATCCCACGAATAGTTAGACTGTCTTGCATAAAAACAACTTTATTCTAGCACTGTTAGCCTCTTCTTCTATCTATACCTCTATACGTAATACTCCCTCATTGCTGCAATGAACTCATTAAGATCGGCCTTATCAAGCACATACCCTTTTATCACAGCGTTGTTCGACATTGGACACACGAACACAGGCTTCTTTTTCCCCAGGATGAGAAAGATGTCTTCAGTGTTCACGGGAAAGAGCTTAGCGCTTGATGCAAACTTGAAGGTGGGGAAGACTGCATGTATCTCCTTCTCCTCCTCCTTCCCAACGGGCTTTTCCAGCGAAAGAAGCATCAGCTGCCGCCCTCCTGCCTTTGCAGAGATCTCAGGAAGAGCCTCATACATCTCAAACACAACCTCCTCAGGCACATTTGAAAATCGGGCTGAGATAAGAAGATTCATCTCCTTATGCCCTGCTACTTTTTCTATGGCACCGCACACCTTGGGGTGCAGCATGCGCCGCACTTGGGCGTATTCCATCAGAGAAAAGAAGGAAGTGATCCAAGGCTCTGCGTCTATGCTCTCTGCCTCGGACCGCACGACTATCTTGCTGAAGAGCGCCATTTTGTCGTTCTCTGTTATGTCCAGAACGTTCAGTGTTTTGGCCTGTCTGATAAGAAGCTCGATTCTGTCATAGTCTCCAGAGCACGCATCTGTCTGCACAGAGAACAGAGCGGGCATGGTGCTGCTAGAGGAGAGGTCTGAAAGGGCATTGGAGTTGGAGCTGTACGACCCGTCATCGCTGTAGCTGTTTTCCCCGCTGTATTCGTCTGAGTCTGAGTGGGTTTCTTTGGGCATAAATAATTTTTTGCAGAAACTTTTCATGAATTCATTTACAACGGACACGCATAAAAAAGAGGGCGGAAGACCCAGCATTTTCCAGCTAAGCACGGCCAGAGAAATAGAGAATTTTTTACAGGAGTACGCGATAGTCAAGAAGCTGTCGGTGCCTGCAGAGATACCGAGCACAATAAAAGCCAAAGAAATACTGTACGCAGCAGCAAGCATGAACGGCACTCCCATAGTAGAGATAGACGCAGAGGACATACAGGACACCTCGCTCCTTGTTGAGCAGGTGCACATAGAAGAAAAGAGCATAGTGCGAAGAGAGGGCGCGTTGGTGCGCGCAATGAAGAACGGGTACTGGCTTATTGTCAACTCCAAGGAAAAGGAAAACCCTGTAACAAACTACATTGTGTCAGAGTACGAGAAAATACCGGGAACAGAGACAAGACCGCACGAAGGGTTCCAGATGTTTATATTTTCAAAAGACTACTCGGCCGATGCAAGCCGAGGCATTGCATACACCATGCAGATGCATAAAAAAGAGGAGGCTGGCAGCAGCGGAAGAGGAGGCCGCAGATTGCCCAGCGGTAAGGGAGACGTAAGCACTGAAAAAGAAGCAAACGCCCTGCTGCTCGCCCGCCTGGCAAGAGCACTCGCAGAAGAGAGCACAGCATCCTCAAATGGCACAGACGAAGCAGTGGAGAGCATTGTGTCTGTGGTCCTTCTCGCGATAAAGAAGTACGGAGAACAGCACGAGATAGAAAACATTGCGCAGGAAGTGGAAAGAAACACAAGAATATACTATCTCCTGCAGATAATAATGGAGCGCATCAAGATAAGCAAGCTTGCATCACCTGGCGCAGTGCCATCGCAGGCAAGGGCTAGGCTGTACCTGATACTGAGCGATGTCCTCCTAGGAGGCCTGAGAACGGAAGAGAGAGAAACTAAAGAAAATTCCCTTCGAGAGATGATGTGTGTTCGGTGCGAAGAGACAGAGCACATTGTGAACAGAGCTGTGCATGAAACTACAGCCTGTCTGAGAAATGAAGTTGAGTATGTTCTCACAAAGCCTGCAGTAAGGCTGATCCTATCCGTGGTAGAGGGCCTGGCAGTTGTAAGCTCTTTCCTGCTAATAGGAGAGACGGGCACGGGAAAGACAACAGCAGTGCAGAAGATATTTGAGAAAAGAAAGATTCTTCTATCCACACGGTACAAAGATGCAAGGAAGCTCCTGTGTGTCAACCTTTCGAAGGACACAGACATCTCAGACCTTCTTGGGTCCTACCAGTTTGCCACATCTGAGCAGCTGGCCCTGCACATAAACGACATTGTGCAGGGATACTTTGAGCTCTTCTTCAACGAGGAGAAGAACGACGCGTTCCTAAAAGAAATAGACAGGGCAGCAGAAGAGAGAAGAATAGACGTGATCATAGACACCGCAGAGGATCTTATCAGTAAATTTGTGGAAAAAGAGAGAAAAGAGCCAGGAGAGGAGAAAAAGCGTGCAATTGCAAAGCTGTCCAAGGCACTAGAGCTCCTGAGAAGAATAGAAGACGGAGCACAGAACGTGTGTGTCTTTGTTGAAGGCCCCCTCGTTCGTGCTGCTCTGTATGGATACTGGATACTTTTGGATGAAAGCAACTTGGCGCCCAACTCTACCCTTAGATACATCAATACGGCAGTGCACAGAGGGCAGCTTTCTATCATAGAGGACAGCGGGGCAGTAATTCCAATTGACGGAAGAACTATTGTGTTCCAGTGCATCAACCCGGGAGATGACCACGGAAAGAAAAACATAGAAATGGACAGGACTATATACCACTGGGTAGACGAGATAGACCGGTGCCCTGAAGATGTGCTGGCTGTGGCCAATGGATACGGAAAGAGCCACACTGAACAGGAAGTGCGCGCTATAGTCCAGTTCTACACAGAGATAAAGCAGATGGCCGAGAAAAACGGGCTTAGAACAGGAAGTAACAGACAGGCGCTGTTTGGGATCAGAAACCTTATCAGAACACTGAAGATGAGAAACATTCCTGTGGTAGAGGCTGTGAAGGTGAACTTCCTGACCCAGCTCTGCATAAAGCACAAGGCCCTGGGAAAGAAGCTTTTGAAAACAATCTTCACGGGAGAGGAAGCAGAAGCCCCAAAGAGCCTGAGCTCAACCAGCAGCTATATCATAACACCGCAGGCGCAGGAGTACATCAGAGAGATCGAGTCAGCCATATCAACGCACACTGCAGTGCTGCTAGAGGGCACTACGTCCGTTGGAAAAACATCGCTGGTAAAATATATAGCACAGAGCAGAGGAAAAAAGGTCGTGAGAATAAACAACCACGAGCACACAGACATAACAGAGTACCTGGGCACCTTTGGAGTGCAGTACGAGGAGCAGAACGAGGCGGAGAGGACAGAGTGCGCAAAGCCCTCAGAAAGCCAGGCTCTCCGCATGTCTGAGATGGAGAACAGCACGCACGAGACAGTAGATCCAAAAATAAAGAGACAGCGCACAGAAATAGAAGAACGCAAGAAGACAGATACAGACAGAACACAAAGCGCAGAGAGCAGGGATACAAACAGAGGCAGCTCAGAGTTTGTGTACAAGGAAGGCGCTCTGGTGCAGGCTGTTCGAGAGGGACACTGGGTCCTCCTCGATGAGCTGAACCTTGCGCCCACTGAAGTCCTTGAGTCGCTCAACCGTCTGCTGGACAGCAACAGAGAGCTCTTTATCCCCGCCACACAGAAAACAGTCAAGGCCCATCCAGACTTTGCGCTGTTCGCCACACAGAACCCTGCAGAGTCAACGGACTACAGAAACAGAAAGCATCTGAGCAAAGCCTTCAGGAACAGATTCATAGAGCTGTACGTAGAGGAGAAAACAAGGGAAGAGCTGGAGATCGTCCTGCATGGAATGCGAACAGGAAAGGTGTACACCAGAGTTTTGCTTGATATCTACGAAGCTCTGCGAATCCTCACATGCAACAGATCGCACGAATACATCACGCTCAGAGAGCTTATGAAAATCCTCACACGGTTCAACCACGAAGAGCAGGCGCCCTTCATAGACAGAAACACGAAGGACGAAGAAAGGCTCTTCTACTACACCATGCTCATTCTAACAGAAAAAATAAGAAACCAAACAGAAAAAGAGAAGATTGCAAAGATAGTCTGCACGCTCTTCGAGAAGGTATTTAAAGCGCCGTTCACAGTTGAAAAGTACACAGAGGCTATTTCTGTTCCGATGGAAGAGGAAGAGCACGCTCCCCTTCTCACGCCTGGTGTCACCCGCACACTCAGGAAAATAGAGGCTGCGTGGGTGGCTGGTGAGAACATTCTGCTCGTTGGCGCGCCTGGTATCGGCAAGACGTATCTGTCTGAGTACATATCCAAAAGAATGCAGACACCCAGCACAGTTATAGGGATGCATGCGGGCATAGAGCTCTCTGATTTCATCGGAGGATACAAAGAGGTGGTTGGAAATAGAAATAGTACCGAGCCAGAGTCTAGTAATTCACCGAGCAGAGAGAATAGCGCAGAAAAGAAGGAGGCAGAGAAAAGAAAATCACAGTTTGTGTGGAAGGATGGCTCTTTGCTTGAGGCAATGGAGAATGGAAGCGCGCTGATAATTGATGAAATAAACCTGGTCCCTGACTCCGTCCTGGAGTCCCTGAACGAGCTGTTTGACGACAGAAGAATGCGAGTGCACGAAACCAACAGACACATCTCGGCACGGGACGGCTTTCGAATAGTTGGGACAATGAACCCAGGAGATGACTACGGCAAAAGAGAGGTTGGAAAGAGCATTTCCACGCGATTCACAACTATCTATGTGGAGGCTCTGGAGAACAACGAAGAGGCCGTAAAGTACTTCCTTTTCTATGCAGAAAAGTACGGGCTAATGGAGACGTACGACAGAACTGAGCTCTACAGAGCAGTGCACAAGGCCCTGGCCAAGACGCGCATTCAAATAGAAAGTGCAAGAGAGGCAGAGGTTCTCGCTCGGTACGCAGGCCACCACCCGTCAGAAGAGAAGCAGGCGCTCGATGAAGTGCTGCAGCAGGGCATTGGGCTGATTCGGCAAATGCCTCTTCCAATGATAGGGCCCCTTGAAGAGACCTCTGAAATCTTCGGCATACACCCGTTTATCTTGCAGAAAAGAGAGGGCAGCTCGCACCTTCCATCCTACACGTTTAGCCCGCCGTCTGTGAAGGAAACCCTGTACCGAATACTGCAGGCTCTCTTTTGCAGATTCAATCTGCTGCTTGAAGGCCCCCCGGGGACTGGAAAGACAAAGATCATTGAGGAGGTTGGAAGACGTCTCGGGAAGAGAGTCACCCGAGTGAATCTCAGTAATGAAACAGAAATGGCTGATCTGACGGGTAGAAACACCCCAACAGACCAGGGCATTGTGTTTATAGAGGGAGAGTTCATCAGAGCAATCACAAGAGGCGACTGGATCATAGTGGACGAGATCAATCTTGCAACACAAAGCGTGCTCGAGGGGCTCAATGGATGCCTTGACTACAGAAGAAGAATCTACGTGCCAGAGCTTGGATCAGTCTCTCTGCACCCTGAGACCGTTATATTCGGCACTATGAACCCTAAGACCTCCAGAACAGACGGAAGAAAGCTTCTCCCAAAGTCTTTCCTCAGCAGGTTTGTTCGCGTGCACAGAGGGCCCTTCACAGAGGATGATCTTAGAATAATTCTTGCACAGGCACCTACGCCCAACAAAGAGAGAGCAGGAGCTCTGGCTGAGCAGCTACTGCAGTGCAGAGCAAAGTACCAGCTCAACCTAAGAGACTGCTTGAGGCACATGGCCATTGGATCAGCGCATCTAGTTCCGCATACACACAGCCCTGTCGAGCTGCATCAGGAAGGAGCGAGCGATAAAGCATGTGCAAAAGAGGGGCCTATGTCGTCTATTGTCAAAGCTGCAACACTCGATGAGCATCCCATCTCTAATGCGCACGAGTTTTCTACTGCCTCGCTCATTCCCTTCTACAGAGGAACTTCGCACGGCTTATTTGTGGGAGGCAGTTTCTTGCCGTGCGATCTGTCCAAGGACCCAGAGTATGTGATAACGCACGGGAGTGTGCCTGCTCTTGAGGCGCTAGTGCACGGAATAAACAACGCATGGCCGTGCATTATCAAAGGAGCGGTGGGCAAGGGGCGCGCAGCTAGATTCATAGCTAGAGTAACAGGCCGCAGGATATGCACTGTGCCGTGCCACAAAGACATGGAGCCATCAGACTTCCTGGGCCGATACACAAAGGGCGACGATAAGAGCACATCCCCGTTTATGTGGGAAGACTCTTCCTTCATACGCGCTGTGGAGGCTGGGGAGATAGTTCTCCTGAAAAACATAAATCTAGTGAAAAACGATGTGGTGGACAGACTGAACAGCCTCTTTGAGATAGGCGGTGTGCTGGAGATACACGAGAAGGGAGGAAGCGAAACAAGAAAGGTGGTGACACACCCCAGCACGCGCTTTATCCTCACTCTTGCAGAGAGCGCAAAAGATCTGTCGCCTGCGCTGACCAACAGATCGATACAGGTGCACCTTGCAGGGAGTCTTTCTGCAATAGACATGGCAAAGATGCTCAGCATGCGCTCGAGCAGGAACGAAAAGTCTCTCACGACGGCAGCACTGCACAAAGTGCCCTCGGGCCTGCTGAATGCGCACATAAAAGCCAGGAAAATCCTTGACTACGACACTGTGGCAGATGCATCGCTCAGGCCCCTTCTTGCAGACCTGTCAGACCTGGAAAGAGAAAGCTCAGTGAGGAATTATGTAATGGAGGAAGAGATTCTGCTGCACCTGAAGGCTCTGGCAAAAGACCCGCTGGAAGGAGAGGTAATGGAAATTCTTTCTAGTGCCAATCCACAGCAGATGGAGTCTGATATAAACGAGCTGGTACGAAGAATCTCCCTCCACGCAGTGGATCCAGAGTACAGAAAGGTGTACACGAACAGCGCGCTCCACATGCATCTGAAGAGCAAGTACGAAACATGCTCAGCATTTGCCAGAAAGAAAGCTGCAGGAGGACAGCAGGAGAATAGCAGAAAAACAAGAACAGAGACAAGCCCATCAGTCGAGCCAGAGGATGCATTGGATAGGCTTATAGCCCTGCGAAACAAGCTGGAGAGCGGAGAGAGCGCGCTCAGAGCATACTTTGAGGCCATGGATCTACCTTTCCTCCCCCGCAAGGAAGTGTCTCTGCGCATGGCTAAGGTAAAGATAATGGAAACGGTCTTTTCGCCTGAGTCTTCGTTTGGCATGCTAAAACATCTGGCAGTGCTGCAGGACATTGCGCGCGTGCTGGACAGCCTTCCTTGCAGCATTGAGCAGGAGATTGCCGCCCTCGAAACAGAGCCGCCTGCATACGAAGCATTGACAGAGCTTCTGGAGGCGTGCCTGAAATACGAAATTGATCCTTTGATCTTCCCTGAAATAGAAAAGATAGAAGAGCACAGCAGACAGCTGGTGGAGAACGCAATTAAGAAGGCAAAGCAGAACTACTACCTGTACAAGTACGGCGTAGCGCTAGTCTACAAGCCAGCCAAGCCCGCTACTGATGCCTCGGTGATCAGAAAGAAGAGAAAGGAAAGAAACTTCAAAAAGTTCGCATACTACCTGCAGGGTGTTGTGAAGGACGCCCTAACGGCAGAGTTCCCAGAGACCCTTGCGTTCTCTCTTATACGCAGAGACATGACAAAATACGAAGATCTGTGGGAGTGTTTCGCATACGCCCTCCTTAAAAGCGGGATAGAAAAGATAGCTGTAAAGCAGCAGACAGTGCCCGTGTCCAAGATAGGCCTGGAAGCCCTGCGTGCATACACAGGCCTGTGCACGCCTCGGGAAAGCTTGAGCAGAATATGCGAGATACTCCGAAGAAATGAAATCTCATTTTTATCGATCAGTCCGCTGCACTCGCAGGCCGTTCAGGCTCTGTGGCGCATGCTCTCCAATGAAGAAGTCAGCTCGCGCGAGCTATCGGCTCTTGTAGCAGCTCTCCTCACAGAATCGCGTCTATCTAAATACGCGCCTGCAGAGTACGCTGAAGAGTCAGCTCGATACGCGCTAGATAGCACTGTTGATGGGCTGCTCTCTGTGTCTGTTGGATTTGAGCCAAAGGGACTCGATCTAACGGCAGCAGAAGAGAGCAGAGATTTGCACAGAATATCACTCACTGCAAGAGCTGTTGAGCTTATAGACCAGACGCACCTCGAAATTAAGAAGGCAAAGAACCCTGTGGGCAAGAACCAGTTTGACTGGGGGGAGGAAGACGGGGCAAAGGAGTACCTCCTGGAAAAGGTGGCAGCGCTTAAGTCGCTCTCTCTCTCCACGCCTGCACAGAAGGTAGCAGCAGAGCTAGATGCGCTGAACAGCGATGCGATCCACATACACATCCTAAGCACCCCGCTGAACACAGCACGAATGGTTATCTACAAAGAGTACGCAGAGATCAGCTCGTACAACCCGAGAAAGTTTTCAGAAATACACGCAGGATGGCTTTTGCACCTCTTCAGCGCAATAGTGTCCGAAGAAACAGACAGCTCGCATGAGAAGAAAGATGGCAGAAAAGACAAGATCGATAGTGCCAGCTGTCTGTACGCGATTGAAGAGTTTCTGCTGCAGTCGACAGTGGGAGACATGGACAAGAGAGTGGAGATAATCAGACAGATGGTTGAGAACGGCGGCAGATACGAGATAAAGAACATTCTTGTGTACTTTTTGCCATACTTGGAAAACATAAAAAAGAAAAAAGAGAAGATCGGCGAGACAGTGCACGAAAGCATGAAAGAGATAGAGACAGCGCTGGCCATAAAGATGAAAACAGACGGCGCAATTGTCCCGATACGAGAGCAGTCTATCCTCATAAAGGCAAATGCCATAAAGGAAAACATGGAAAATCTTTTGCTTCCCATTGTGTCTGTGATCAAGCCACAGCTCTTCCACAGGAACGTATCGCTCAACTGTTCTTGCAGCGAAGAGGAGTGCTACGTGTGCATGGCTAAAGAGGTTGAAAGACAGAAAAGAGTGCTGGAAAAGGAAAGCATGAGTGTCAAACTACGAACGCTCTATGTGCTCTTTGAGAAGCTCTCTGTCATGATGCCTGCTGGCACTTCCAGAATAGGAATAGTCGGAGCAATGGAGTTCTACAAGCATGTCTACACGGGAGCAGAGTATGAGCACGTTGTGCTTGCGAAGATTGTGCACATAGGAACAGCTGTGCTAAAGACAGACCCTGCAATCAGCTTCCAAATAGCATCGCGCATTTCAGACTTCACAATAAAGCTGCTGAACTACGCGATGCAGGCCTCGCCTGCTGAGTGCAGGCTGATTATTGTGTCGCTTGGGCTTTTCTTTGAGCTGATGTCCTTTGGCTTCTGCGGAGACGAGGACGAGGGCATGGAAGGCCTCATCGAAGAGCTGGAGGACGCAGGGATGCGGCTGGGAGAAGGCGAGAAGAACATTTCAGAAAAACTTAAGAAAGAGGAAGAGGTTGGAGACGACTACAAGGGAGAGAAAGACATGCAGAGCGAAGAGATAGAGGAAGAAGACGGCGTGGACTGCGAGAACGCAGGAGAAGTGCAGGAAACAGCAGGCGCAGAAGACAAGCCAGACATTGAGGTAGACAACGGGTCTGTGTCAGAAAACGAGGAAAACTTCAACCAGAAGAACAAAGAGGAAACAGGCGAGCAAGACGAAGATGCAGAAGGCGAGGCAGAGAACGAGGAGGCAGAGAAGGAAGAGGGCAGCAGCGAAGTAACAGACGGCTCTGAGAATCCAGAGGACTTGAAGGAGATAAACGTGGAGGAAGAGAAAGACGAAGAAAGCGACGCATCTCTTAAGGTGCAGGACATGGACATGTGCGAAGAAGCAGGCGGTGAGTTTGACAGAGAAGACCTGGAAGACGTAGAGGACGGCTGCTCACTCGACGAAGAGTCGCTGGAGGGAATAGAGCTGGAAGAAGGCGAGGAAAGCGATGAAGAGATCTCAATTGAAAAGTACGAGAGCGAAGAGTACAACGAAAACATAAAACAGTACGACTACGCAGAGATAGAGGTAAACCCCGAGCAGCTGATAAAAGAGGAAGACGCAGACTCCGATGCAGAGAAAATAGGGCACGAAGAAGGCGAGGGCGCTGAAAGGGAAGTGGCAGTTGAGAAGGGCGATGCGATGAACGAGGACGCAGAAGACGTTGAGGCAGAAGAAGTGTACACAGGAGAGTACAAAGAGGCGCCAGACACAGAAGCCCCGAAAAGAGCGCCATTTGAAAGGCCTTCGATAAAATCGCTCGACCCAGTCTCGTACTACGAGGAGATAAAACACATCACCAACCCAGAGCTCACAAAACAGCTGAGTGTGGTGCTGGAAGAGAATGAAAAGTCTGCGTACGAAGGAGACTATGCAACCGGGAGAAGGCTGAACATGAAGAGGATTATCTCGTACATTGCGAGTGACGGACAGAAGAACAGAATTTGGATGAGAAAGACAAAGAACCAGGGGCGAGAGTATCTGATACGAATATTTGTTGACAACAGCGGAAGCATCAAGAACTCAAGCATAGTCGATGCTCTGATAAAAAGTCTGTCGAGCATCACAAACTCTCTTGACCTTCTTGGGATTCCATTTGAGCTCTACACCTTCAGCTCAACCATCCACCAGCACAAGGACATCAGAAGACTGGTGGAAGGGCTTACTTTCGAGGCAAACGAAACAAGAGTGGCCTGGGTCTTTGAAGAAGAGTACAGGTACGGATACAACATACTGATAAGCGACGGGCTTTTCTACGATGGCGCGCTCTCGCAGGGAATGCTTTCAAACACTCTTTTGCTGATCGTAGGAAGCGGTGCTATGATCAAAGAAATGCGAACAGTCAAGGCTGTCATTGGCGAGGTGGTCATTGGGAAGTACCTGGAAACTCTGGGAATACCATACTGCATAGTGGATGACGACAACTTACTCGAGGTTGTGTTTTGCAGAGAGCTAAAGAACATTCTGCAGCTAGCAAAGAAGGCTGATAGCTAATCGATCTACGCTTACCAAGTATACCATAAGACAATACGAGCATACTTACTAATACAATAAATACTATCTATTTATAACCAGATCTTCTGCTTTGCTTCTACTGTTAATTCTGTGCGTATTATACTGCCTGGATATATTTGAATAGCAAAAGAAAAAGTGTAAAAATATTCTATTAACTACAGCTTTCAATTTATTCTCAGAATTTTATTTTCTGTACTCTGTGTAACCAAGCGAGCACTTTACACAGCTCTGTCAGAGACAGACAGGAGCTCTTTCAGGGCAGCTTTAAGGACCTTCTGCTCCTCGAATGGAATGGCAGTCTGAAAGTCGGAGGAAAGCACTGCGATGATCTCTTTTTTGTATGCACAGAAGTGCTTTATGCAGCTTTTGAAGGCGCGCGATCCTATCTTCGTGCTCACAATGCGCTCGAAGTCTTTCATGAAGCAGCTGTACACAAACTTTTTGTCAAAGTCTATTATCCTTTGCACAACATAGTTTCCTATCTCGTGCTGCAGCAGCGCCGTGGAGTACGGTGAGATGTGCCGCTTAATCTCTTCTATCAGCAAATCGTCCTTGATCATGCCAATTATCAGCTGGATGACGTATGTTCCGTACTTGTGCTTTGCCAAATAAAAAAACACCTGTGGAGAGAGCTTTGAAATGGTCAGAAGAAGATCGTTCTGCGACAGCTCTCTGATTTTTGCCTGGAGGGCGATGTTTGACACGCGCCCGCTTGCCATGCATATAAAGTCTCTGGACTTCTCTGTCTCCAGTATAGACACCAGCGCAGGCTTAACCTCTTTTTTCGCAGGCTCCTCGATGCCGCAGTAGAACTCCAAGTCTTTTGTCCTGCTTGGCGAAAAAACCTTTTCAAGTATTTTCAGCCGAATGTTCTCCTCCTCTATGCGGTAGAGGGCGGGCTGGGGCTCGTACCCCCATGAAAGAGAGAGCGTGCTCTTGTGCGCCTGGTAGAAGAGCAGAGCAGTATTAACAGATAAAAACTTTGTCACTATTGTGTCGTTCTCCCAGGTAATTAGCGGCCACTCTTTCAGAAAAGAGCACCTCTTGCAGAGAGCAAAAGAGTTTTTTGCAAACCGCTTTTTCTCGGATGCAAACTCCTCGGGCGAGAAGGCTTTCTGTGCGGTCACGTACTCGATCTCTTTGCTTTCCCCGCACTCGAAGCTCTCCTGTCTCTTGCAGCTGCACATGCTGCACTGGTTTTTGCCGCTGCACAGGAAACACAGCCTGACCAGGCCTCCATCCTGCGGGGACACGTGGTCCTGCGAAATGCGCACAACGCGCGTGGGCCTTTTAATCAAGTTCTTTTTTGTTTCAAAAATCACGTCCTTCTTTTTTATCTCAACGGAATTTTCCATAAGGGGTAAGTTCGCGATTGGATCTATTTCTACCTCTTTGCTTCTCGGAAAAGGAGAAGACCCTGGGGACTGCGCCCTGACCTCCATATCTTTCATTCTACGCAGTATACAAATAGACTGCTCTATTTGTGTATGATCAAAGGCGTCTCTTAAATATTATTTTCTTTGCGGGCATGAAATTATTGCCAATAAGAGCCAGAGCAACCGAGGGCAGCCCGCAGGCCTGCGAGCTGTTCTTCATAGACAGGACAAAGTTCTCGTCAGAATACTTTTCCAAAAGCGTGCTTCCGCTGCTCCCAGGAATAGACAAAGAAGAGTACGAATCTCAAATAGAAACCCCAGCAATAAGGATGCACACAGATATAGCAACACAGGTTACGAAGTACACAGCAGACATAGAGAAGTTCGCACACCTCTACAGGAGCGCCAAAATAAACCTGCACATCGACTTCAAAGTGCCCAATTATCTGTGGATAGAGGACCGGGTGTGCTTCACTCTGCCAATAAAAAACGAGCCAGAGATATACGCCAAAGACCTGTTCCGGGTCTACTCAATCCCAGAGGGAGAGCTTTTCGTCATCTTCTCTTTCTACCTCAGAGAAAACATCCTGGGCTACATAAAAGAGTGCATAGTCAATAAGGAAGTGCCAGACAAGCCAGACTTCCAGCAAGAGCAGCCTCTTGTCCATACTTCAGAGATAGACAAGCTGAACCAAAGCCTTCTGAGCTACGAGTCCTTTGGCAGGGTGGTCGTGCTCAAAGAAATAGTCGAAAGAAAAAGAAAAAAGAAACAGTACACAGCAAATATGCCATCTCCACATTCCCCTATTTTTGGGAAATAAAGTGTCTATATTAAAAAGAGATACACATCGCAATCTAGGATATCACTGTGTAAATAAAGTAAAAATTATAATGAATATATTTGTATTAAAATCCTGGAGAGTAGAAAGGACAGCCTATCACTAGGCCCAAGTCTAAGCATCTTTAACTCTACAGGCAGTATTTGCATGGGCTGTTTGAACACACAGGGAGTCTATCTACGGCTGCTCGCTGGCTATAGTCACAGGCACTCCCTCGTACTCGTCATTTTGGCCGTTGAAGAGAACTCTTACCACAGAAGAAATATCGGTGGGCGCTGTCTGTGTTTCTCTGCTGGAGGATGCAGGCTGCTCCTCTTTTTTGGAGGCCACCTCCTTTCTGCACACCGGGCATGCCTGCTGTCTGTGCAGCCACTCTTTCAGACAGACAAAGTGGAAAGTGTGCGAGCACTCCAGCCTCTTTCCCATTGCCATGTCTTCGTGGCATATTAGACATGTTTTATCACTCCCCAGCTGCTCACCTGGTACATCTGCACACCGATCCAAGAAGGAAATTAGCGACTTGTATGCGAGCATAGACTTTGTCTTTACAATAAGGTGCTTGATCGCTATTATGCACTCTCGGAGCAGATTGATGGGCATTTTAAAGTTCATGGTGGTCCATACGAGACAGACAATGTGCGCGAGGATCTTTACCACACAGAACAGAAAGTCTCCGTAGAAAACCAGGAAAATCCTGTCCTCAATGCCAGAAGAAGCAACAAGGTAGAGCACAGAGAGAGTGTAGAGCGACCGCACAGTGTACGCAAACAAAGTGAAGAACTCAAAGGCAAAGAGAATCGAAACACCAGGCGCCTCGAGGGCGGTGGCTATGAAATGGTACGCCAGAGCACCGTCTAGAACAAAGAGAGAAACCGTCAGGAGCACAACTCTCTCCATCTGTGTGCAGGATGCCCCGCTCTTCTCAAGCGCGTCTATTCTAAAGCCTATCAGCCAATGCAGCACTTTCAAGCCAAAAACAAAGGCAAAAAGAACAAGACACCGGATCGTAATGTTATCTGCAAAAAGAGTCACAACCAAACAGATGTTTCCCAGGTATCGCATCGCGTTTTCCTGCACGCCTTCTTTGTCCAGGGGCGAGAGAGTGCCTATTGTCAGAGACACAACCCCCTTTCCTATCACGTACAGCGAGCCTATAAAAAAGAGAGAGAGGAGAAAGTGGTGGAGCCTTTTCTCAGCCATTCCGACAAGACACCCGTAGAGGCTTCTCCCCTTGATGTAGTCGTTCACACAGATGCTGCCCAGGACAGTCATGTAAATTGCCAAATATGTCTCGTGTCTATACATACTCATGAAATTAAAAAATAGAAAAAATCAATGACGAATACAAGAAACTGCAGAGGAACACAAGAATCCGCAAGAAGCCCGGAGGACATGCAGAAATACACTGTTCTTTTGTTTAGTGGAGTTCCCGAGAAAGTAGACCTGCCAAGCATCCTGCAGCTCTTTAAAGGAGTGGATATACTTTCGGCTGAAAAGGATTCTTTCTCGGTACACATTTCTTTTTTCTCGTACTTTGATTTATTCCAGCAGTGGACTGCCCTCGGAAGCGAGGTGGTGCTAGAGGGCACAAAGGTCGCAGTCCAGCCAATAGAAAGCCCTCTCTCCGACAAGGAAAGAGAGAAACTGTACATAGCACACGCTGCAGGAGGAACCAGGAACGTCATGCTGACGAGCTTAGACGACTTCATGACGGGAGACTTTATCAGAGAGGAGGCAGAGAAGTACGGAGCCGTGGAGTCTCTGAAGCACATGCGAGACAGAAAGCTTGCGTACATTGAGTTTTTCTCGTTTGTCGCAGCAATGGAGTTTGTCGTGAACATTCGCGAGGACAGTTTGTTCCAGAACGTAAAAACATGCTTTGGAAAAGACAAATGCGGCACGGGAGAGAGCGATGACACAGCAGCACACAACAGCCGAACGGTGTACTTTGGAAACATCCCAGTGGACACAACGCCTGCAGAGATACTCGCAGTGGTGCAGGGCGGGCGGGTGTACACCATAAAGCTCATCAGAGACAAAAAGTGCGCATTTGTTGCATTTTTTAACTATGTGTCTGCTGCTGCGTTTATCGAGTACTCGCAGATGTTCTCCGTGTGTATTCGGGGAATGCAGGTCAAGCTCGGCCCGGGGAAGATACAGCAGCTCCCACACATAGCGCCTGTGCTGGCATACAAGGGAGCCACCCGGAGCATTCTTCTTCGAATGGAAAAGTCAATCAACGAAGCAAAGCTGGAGCCTGAGCTGTCTAGATACGGAGAGATAGATAAAATAGAGAGAAAAGAAGGCGACTTAGTGACAGTCTCGTATTTGAGCGTGCAGGACTCGCACACTGCGTATGAAGCACTGCTTAACGACCCCACAATAAGCCACATGCTGTGCGGGTACGCAGAAGACCCGTGCGCAGAGGTGTCAGCGTACGGCCTGATGATGGAGATACAGAGAAAAGAGTTCATGGTTTAATTCAAATGAGTAGTATTAATAAATCGCATTTAGTTAGCTGAGTATTTATTCACCATTATTTCATACGCTTCTATCTATTATACGCTACATATACTAATTAGACAGAGAGCATGTAGACTGTATTACTAGAGACCAGAACTGCACTCTAGCTTATCCACTAACTATTTCCCATATTTAGCGATTATTTCTTTTTCTTGGCTTACCTTTGCTGGTATGCTCCCAGATCGATTATTCTTTTTATTCTTGTATATTTTGGGTATCTTACACTGCATTCGAAATGCATTAGATAGACTTTGCTACTTTATTTTCTTGTTGATGGTCTGGATGTACTTACTGATGGTTTTCTCTGTTTTCTTGTGGCCGTGGGCCTTGGCGAGCTCTTGCGGTGTTAGCCCTTTGCTGTCGCGCAGCCTGGGATCTGCTCCGCATGCCAGTAAATACAGGATAATGTTGTTCTTATTTCCTCCAAGTGCTGCAAAGTGCATGGGTGTGGCCTGCTGGTCGAGCGAGCGGATGTTTATGAAGCTCGTATTGGGCTTGGCGTGCCCAAAGACAGCAGGCGCTGTCATGTACGAGGCAGAGGACACATTGTCTGCTTCAACGCTTTCAAAGGAAATGTTGTCAGATGCAATGGCCTCGAAGAGCGTTATGTCTTTTTCATCGACTTCGCACACTGAGGATAGAAGAAACTCCAAGACGTCTTTCTGCCCGTAGTATGCTGCCGAGTGTATGAGGTACAGCCCGTGCTTATTTACAATCTTGAGATCGAAGACCTTCCCGTGCTCTATCTCGTACACGCACAGGGCGTTCCGCAGGCTCTTCAGGTCTCCTGTGCACACAAAATCAAAGAGCTTCAGAAAGTCCTTCTCTTCTTCTGTTTTTTCGTCTTTCTCCTTCTCCTTCCTGGAGCCCACACTGCTTGGCATATTCTAAATATTGAAAAGATTTTAGATATACAGGAAGATCGAAAAGAAAGAGCCAAACTCTTCGCAGTGCCCTCAACAGCTGTCCAGCCGTGTGGATATCTGTCTTATCTCTTTTATCGCGCTGTTGGCAACAATCTAATTATTTTAGTGTTTCACTTTGTCTTTTTAAATTTTCAGATGACCACAGAGAGAATTAAGAGACTAGCAGAGGCTGACAAAAAGGCAAAGGACATAATACAGGAGGCCCGCAGGGAAGGCGATGCCTTGCTGCAAAAAACCATTGAGAAGAGCCAAGAGTACGAAAAGAACCTAGAGCAAGCGAAGGTAGAGGAAGTAAAGAGATACTTCCAGCAGGCAAATGAAGAGCTGGCACAGATGGAAGAGTCGATCATAAAGAACGTAAAAGAGACCATAGCAGACATTAGATCAAAGAACAAGCAGTGCGAAGAAATAGTAGATGAGCTCGTTAAGATAGTTATTAGCTAAACTCTGCTCTTCCATTCTTCTAAGCCAGCGCACAAAACGAATACTCCACTTCTACTCCTTTGTCTGGGAACTGGTAAAAAAAGAGGGCGCAGAAGAAAGATACGTGTCTGTATCTATAGGCCTATTTGCACCTCTACCTCAGATAGAATCGAAATGTTCGCTGTAGCTGTGCATTTCTCGCCCATTTTATCGTAATATTGCAAATACTTTTTATGTGTTTTTTTTATTGGAATGAAGACAATTAATATAGATCGTAACTCACAAGATGCATTTTACCGATACAAAATGCCTGAAGTGGAAACAAAGATAGAGGGAAGAGGAAACGGGATAAAGACTGTTCTGGTGAATATTGAAGAGATATCAAGAAGTCTGGACAGAGAGCCCAAGCATCTCACAAAGTACTTGTCGTACGAGCTGGGCACGCTCTCCAGCATAGACGACGCAAACTCCAAATACATAATAAATGGAGCACACGACAAAGAAAAAGTGCAAGCACACATATTTAGGTTCATCGAAGAGTTTGTTCTGTGCAAGTCCTGCGAAAGAAACCCCGAGACAGTTCTCTTCACAGACAGCCACAGAAAACACATCCAGCAGAGGTGCAAGGCGTGCGGTAAAGTAAATACCGTGAAGACACAGAACAAAATGGGGAAGATCCTTCTGAAAGAGCTTCCAGATAAAGCAGAAGCAAACAGACTAGAGCCCAAAGAGTTCGATGACATAGATGACTTTGAAGTTGACTATGCCTTTGGAAAATAAATAAATGGATGTTATTATCTTTCTGCAACTCGCCATCTCTACCTTCTACAGATGATTTCTAAGACAATTGGCATAACCAAAAACACAAAGACTCCTTTATTTCTCCAGTCTGTTCTCATTTGCAGAATTATAAGTTCCATTTTCTCTCATATTTTCCTAATGCAGATCCATCAAAGAATGAATAGTAAGCGGTACAAAGGCTGAAGTAAAAGTAAAAACGAAGATCTGTCCAGAAATAGTTGTAAGTCTTTAGCATAATTAGAATCTTTTATTGACTAGGCCTTAGTTGCTTTAGATGATTAGATCTTCTGCTATTTTAGCATAGCCATAGACTCTGTCTTAGCTGCAGTGCATAGAGTTTGTCCATTCACACTAGCACCTCTTTCTAACAGATGCTGATGCCTGTCCGTTTCCATCTTCTATCAGAAATCCCTTCTCTTCCATTTTCTTTCTTATTGCGTCACATGCGTCAAAGTATCCCTTTTTGTCAGACGATGCCTTTGCAAGCTCTCTTATCGTGTTTCTAAAGCTGCTGATAATCTCTAGCATTGCAGATGAATCAGAAGACGCAGGAGCTTCATCTATCTCCAGCCCTATGCTGTGCATAAGTCTCTTTAAATACCCTGCGATGTGCTGGTGGATCTCTTTTACCTCTGTCTTTGACTCCATTCCAGCCAGATCTGTGGCGAGCTTCAGCGCCCTAGGGAAGTTAAAGTCGTCCTTTATTGCCGCGTCTATCTCCAGCGCAGTCTCTTCAAACTCTTTCAAAATAGAACTTTCGCTGGCCGTGAAGGGAGACACAGCGTTCACCGACTTAGATACGTCTGCTTTCTCTCCTGCATAGAGTGAAATGTACCTGAATATCTTCTTGTCCACGATCTTAGCTCTTTCCAGGCTTTCTTCGCTGTAGGTCATTGGGCCAGTGTACCTCTGCAGGATAAACATCATTCTCAGCTCTCTTGCAGTGCCTTTCTTCAAAAGCTCTTCTACCTTGATGAAGTTCTTGAGACTCTTGCTCATCTTCAGCCCCTCAATGTGCAGATGCCCAGTGTGCATAAAGTGCCCCACCCAGTTCGTCAGACCGTATCCCTCAGACTGCGCAATCTCATTGTCGTGGTGCGGGAACATAAGATCAATGCCTCCCGAGTGCATGTCTATGCGTCCTCCTGCGATATTAGCAGCCATTGCACTGCACTCAATGTGCCACCCGGGTCTTCCTGCGCCCCACTTGGATGCCCACGCGGGCTCTCCTGCCTTGCTCTTCTTCCAGAGCACAAAGTCCTCTTTTCTCTGCTTCTGTCCCTCGGTCAGCTTGCCCTCTCCTTCCTCTAGAAGACTTTGCTGGTCTTCCTGCGTGCTCGCTGCGCACATCAGAGGATACTTGTGGCTTTCTCTGTACTTGTACACGTCAAAGTACACTGACCCATCGCTTTCGTATGCGTATCCCTTCTCTTCTATTTGAGAGATAAATCTGATGATCTCATCCACATAGTCTGTGACTCTTGTGGTGTAGTTTGGGAGATCCACGCCAAGGGCCTGCATGTCTTTGAAGAACTCTGTCTCGTACTTCCGGCTGACCTGTCTGCTGGCTAGATGCAGCTTCATCTGCTCTTCTGTCTCTGTTTCCAGCTTGATTGAGAGTTTGTTGAACTCTGTGTGGATGTCCTCTGGAAGAGTGTCCATAAACTCCTTTGCCTTTGTGATGATCTTGTCGTCGAGGTCTGTTATGTTCATTATGTATGTTATGTTGTACCCAAAATACCTTTCAAGTGTTTTTCTTATAATGTCCAAAGTTATGTAGCTGCGCGCGTGGCCTATGTGCGAGGAGTCGTATACAGTGGGGCCGCATGTGTACCATTTAAAAAAATATCCTTCAACCTTCAGCTCTTCCTTTATTTTCGTGATCGTGTTGTATATCTTCAACTGATTTTTGCTTCTCAGTCCTTCCGTTTGTCTTTCTGCCATATTAATATAAAAATAATTTGTTTTTTATTTATAGCCGTAAACTTCCGGAGAATCTAATTAATTATTTATTTCCATTTCAATTGTCTCCCCGAAAATAAACTGTACTGTTTTCACACCAGCTTTTATGCTATTTATCTCCAGAACAAGACAGATCTATCCGATAGAAAGACAGCAGCACTTCCACATAAGGCATTAAGTGTGCTAGAATAGAAACGCATAAAAATAGAGGTGCTAAGTGCCACTAGCTGAGCATAAAGGAAAAAACAAGAAAAACCAGCAATAATTTAATTTACGGGTATATTGCTCAGAGGACGAGAAGCAAGTAGGCGGTAGATATCAGCATCTGTGATTTATTATACACATTGCATGAACTGGCAGTGTTTCTATCGGTAAACTAGAATGCAATGTTGTTCGTAAGGTGCTGGTACTGGTCGTATATCCACGTGCGCAGTTTCTTAGTGGAGGACGTGATGAGGTTGTACACAAACTCTGGCACTTCTTCATCTGATAGGTCCAGTCTGAACCGAGATATTAAGTTCTTCATTGTTGCTGGAGTGTAGCACGACAGCCCGCTATACCGCCCTAGATCAGCCATAAGAACTATCTCTTTGGCTCTCTTTCGCAGGATATAGAAGCCTTTAACCATCAGGTCTTTGTACATCGCAAAAGCCTCTCCTTCCGATCCGCCCAGTAAAGAGAATATTTCATCGGTTATTTTGATCGGGCTTTCGATGTTGATGTTTCCCGGGGAGATGTCAAACATAAACCCAAAGTCAATGTGTATCAGGTGCCCTTCGTCTGTTATCATGATGTTTCCGTTGTGTCTGTCTTTTATGTTCAGAATGTACGTCACAAGAGAATATCCTGCAAAGCTTTCCACAAAGTTCTTTAGCGCCTGGATGTATCTGTGGCCTTCTCTGTACCCGTACTTTAGCGAGAAATAGTCCACCAGATTGTTCACTCTTTCGCGCCCGATCTGGTCCCTTGAGAACGCATGCGGTATTACTTCTATGATTCCTGATCCGTACCCTGTGGCAATCACTTTGTACGGGTAGAGGTAGACAGAGAGTCCCTTTCCCTTGAAAATGTTCTGGAATATTTGTATGATCTGCAGAGCAAGCACGTCCTGTCTGCAGTCATCGCCAAACTTGAATATCACCTGTCTGTCTATCTCCTCGTCTGTCTTTTTATCTTTCACTTTGAAAGTAACCATGTAAGGCACCTTTTCTGCGCTCTGCAGCACCTTTCCCGATCCCTCCACCACTTTTACAACAGTTTCGCCTGTGATTGGGAGATAGCACCCCTCGGGGAACGTTACTTCTGATATTTCTTTGTTGATCAGCTTCTTCTTTGTGTCTCTGTCAACAGACACGTACTCCTGCAGTCTTTCAGATATCTTTGCAAAGTTATCCAAAAGCACACTGATCCTAAAATACTGCTCTTTTGCTTCAGGCTCCATTGTCTCCAATATCTCGTTCTCATACGCTTTCATCGATGCTTCTCCCTGCGCCTTTAGCTCCCATATCAGTGCATGCGATGTTTTATTTTTCACAGTTTTAATCAGCATGTCTTTTATCTCTTTTCCGTTTCTGATGTACGACTTCCTCAGCAGTTGGACAATCTGCGGGGCATAAAACACCAAAGCATCTCCCTTCTCCTCCTCGCTTGCCAAATGGCTAAGCGCCTTGAAGACTTCCTGCTCGTCCTCTGAGTTGGCTATCACCGATATGGCATCTATAATGCTAAGTCTGTTTATGTCTATGAAAAAGCCAGAGCACCGAACAATTTGTTTTTTTACAAGCACCTCGTCTACCTTCTTTATCCTGTACTCTGAGCTGAGGAATATCAGCTCGTCTATTCCCAGCTCGTACAGCTCCTGTTCTTTCAGCTTTCTTATTTTCAGGTACTTTTTTGTCTTGTTCAGCGCGCAAAGAAAGTTGTACGTGTGCGCTAGTGGATAGTCGTAGAAAGTGCCTTTGGAGGCCATGTAGAGCGAGTGGTATATAGACGGATCTTCTTTTACGTTGTATCCTGTGAGAACAGCTTTCTTTAGAAGCTCTTTCTTTTCCTCCCGCGTAGAAACTTTAAGAAGCACCAGCAAACTCTCCAGGGAGTACTCCTCTGCAAGTATCCATCTGAGGTAGTTTCTTGTGTTTTCAATGATCCCTGGCGTGTCTTTTCGCATTGTGATTAGGTCATTGATCCACTCTGTGTTGATTGCGTAGAGCAAATGCGCATACTCTTCTTCGGTCAGCGGCATTTTCGATGTAGATAGGTCGACACTGCTCCCTGTTATGTACCCTGCGCTGTTGGATCGGAGCACTTTCTTTGTGCACACCGAATAGAGCCACTCCCATATCTCCACGCCCTGCATCGGGGCTGTTGGGAACTTTGTTATTATCTTCATGATGAGGTTTGACCGATTCAAAAGCTCTTTTATTCCTCTCTCGTCTCGCATCACAGGAAGAGCGTTGAAGAGGCCGAGGTCCACAATGTTCAGGACAATGTAGTTGTATGCTTCAATCACCTCTTCCTTAATGCGCGCAAGAATTGTCTCATACAGCGACGTGTACTTCTGAAAAGTGGCTTTCAGGTTGTACATCGAAAACTCGTTTACTCTGAACGTGTCAAAGCACTCTTTGAACCGCACGTGGAACTCCTCTGTTAGAACAATCGAGGGCTCTTTTTCTATGAGGATTTTCAGCGTTTCCACTATAATTTTGAGAGAAAGCGGATACGCCGTGGGAACTGCTGCTATCTTCAGGAGCTCGCATGCATATGTTTTGTAGAAATCAATAGACTCCACCGATACCTCCCTGTGCAGCATGGAAATAATCTGCGGAAGATGCTTTCCCATGTACTTTAGAGTAACCTCGTCTTTCAGATAGCTGACAATGCCTTTGTAGTTGTAGTTCTCTATCTTTGCCTTTTCAACAGAGTACAGGAGGCTCAGAAAAACAATGTAGTCTTCGTTCAGGCTGTGGCTTATTCCAATTGTTTCTGCCATTTTCCTCAGATCTTTCTTTTTTATAAGGGGCTTTGGGTCGCTGAATATGAACCCTGCAATCCCCACAAGAGCAGGCGTCTTCATGCGCAGTAGAAGCATCTCTGCTTCGATTCCCCGGGCGAACATATTTGCATTTGCGTATATTCTCTTGTATATCAGAAATAGCTTGTGCACAATAAACGGAGATGTGGGGACAAACGGGACCATGTTCATAATGTATATGTACGTGAGGTCTGCAGAGAGACAGACAAAGTTGATGAAATCACCAACTGCCTGCGTTCCCTTTTCAAGCGTAAACGGATGCCTGAAATACGTGGAGTAGAAAGTGGATATGAACTGCGGGTCGTATCTTCTGATGAGATGGTGCAGAGGAATGCCAATGTCGTGCATTGACAGGAATGTGCAGTACGGGTCAATGTGCTCTATCTTGTTTGGGCTCCTGGCTATTATTTTTATGAAGAAGTCGTTTATCTCCTTAATGCTGTTCTTGTTTTTTGATTTGATCTTTGACAAAAAAACAGATATCATCAAAGCCATTCCTTCGGAGTACTGTGCTGCGCTGTCGTACAGATATATGATCTTCCTGATCAACTGAAGAACGTCTTCCTGGCTGAGATACTTTGTGAGTATGTCGACTGAGTGGCTTATTATCTGTTTTTTCTGCTGCGGCATAAAGCCATCCAGGCACCCTGTTGTGTAGAAAGAGTACACAATGTCAACCAGCACTTCATTCTTTTCTTTGTAGTACAGGAGGCCCAGACACTTGAGCATTGCGTTCTGCACGTAGAATATGTACTTGTCTCTGAGGATGCTTCGCCCTTCCTCTGAGAATAGAGAGAAACAGTCCGTCTGTGCAGAGCCTTTCAGAAGGATAGACATTTGCATGGAAAGGCTAAAGCACCCAACTAGCTCAGCCTCTAGCTCTTCAATGAACACGCCGCCCAGATACCCTATGTAGTTCTTGTAGTGCGTATTTGCCAGGGCTTCTAGCACCTCTTTTTTGATAATTGGCTTATCAAAGATGATCGAAGCCTGCACATACGACTCTAGAAAGCTTAGGGCAAGCTCAATAAAGTCCAGCTGGAGATTAGGCGATTCAATGCCCTCCCACTCCCCCATAAACAGCTTATCTGTTTCTATGCTGTTGAGGCTCTTTTCCAGGTCGTCTATGATCTTTTCCGATAGAGTGCTGAAAAAGGAAAGCATTGATTTTTCTTCCTCTTCTGTGCTTTCTTCCTGCTCCACTATTTTCTCTGCTCTTTCCTGTTTCTGCTTTAGCTCGTAGCGCAGCCTAGCCAGCTTCTTTATCGTGAAGAGACCTGATCTTATCACAGTCAGCGGCTGCTGTCTTGGAATGTCCAGCAGCTCTCCACTTGTCTTCTCCACGGCGCGCGCTGGCTCTGTCTTTTGCTTGCTCTCTGCCTCGGGGCACCTGTCGATCCATTTGCTCTCGTGTTTTTTTATTTTGGCAACTGCCACTTCTAATACTACATTTATCTGCACTAAATCCATCTCTTTTTTTGCCTCTTTTCTCAGAACTTCGTACACCATTTCAAAGCACGCAGCAAGGCTTTCTGCCTGCTCTACTGTCTGTATGTACGAAAGTGCGTGGTCGTGCAGGACTTCATCGTAGTCTGTTACGCTGCCAAGCATAAAAAACATTTCTTTAGCCACGTCCACCGGCACAGGCGGTTCTATATCCTCTCCTCGCTTGAGATATTCCTCGCATGTCAGCTGTTTTCCTGCTTTATCGGAGTTATTCTCTTCCATTAGCACAAAAATAAAAACAAATTTACTTTTCATCATACTCCTTCATTTATTAGCTCTCTGCGCTTCTAAAGACATATCTGCACAGACTTACCTAGATTCGCCATCTACCCCATACAGTAAACACTTTCTTACCCATTTACTCTGCATTGGAACAGTGCTGTATTACATATACATCAATATAACTCTTTTTTTTCTGCAATTAAATTCATGTGTTGATCATTCTTATATCTCACTCATTCTATTGACTCTTTGCAGTGCGACAGATCTAATCCGTAATAAGCGTACCGTTTATTCTTTTCTCAGGCACACCCTCTGTCTTTATTCCATCTATTTATCTTAATTTCTTACATAGACAACTAACACGCCAAGTATCCTGCAGACTCTAGTTCTATAAAAGCTTTTTTATTTGCTTGCTGACTCCCTCTCTAAATATTCTCGATCTTATGCTCAACGGAGCCCTCTCTAAATACTCTTTTTTTATCGGAGGAACCTCTGGGAGTGCTGAAAGCAATATTGCAACGGGCTTATTCTTCTTTGCTTTTGGTGGTTTGGCTTTATTTGGTACATGTTTATCCATCATCTCTTCAGCTATACTGTCTAGCACGCTCCGAATACTTATGCTCATAGACGAGCAGCGTCTGTTCTTTTCCAACTGTCCTGTATTTTCAACTTCTCTTCTTGCTGCACTTCTAAACTCGTCTGCAGCTGATCTCATCCACTCTTTTCTACGCAATCTTACTCTTACGCCTTCTCTTTTTTTGCAGCTATCATTTTTAAATGCAGGCTTTTCCAGCGCTATAAGTTTCTTTTTCTTCTTGACAGCTTTTTCTATCTCTCCACTAGCCAGCGGATACAGGAATACAGCCGAAGGACACTCTCTGCCTGAGATACTAAGCTCTGAAAGCGTCTTTTGGAACTTTTCTGCATTATTTGAAATAGCCTCTCTTTCTGTTGCATCTATGCACTGTACTGGCAATCTTACCTCTTTTGGCGTTGTGTTTCTCCCATCTATTTCGCTTGTGCTAGCTAGCTGGCAGGGTATGCATCCCACACTCTTTACGATCTTGCTCCAGTTAATTGGAGAATATTTCTGTGCTGCCAGTGTTCTTGCGAATGCTGAACTGTCTGCTCTTTCTGCTCTTTTTCTGCGGCTGGCTGGCAATAAAGCGGATTTCTCTACTCCATCCATAAAATATTTAATTCTGCTCTTTTCTTTTTCTATGAGCGAGTTCGGTGAAATTGTGGCGCCGTTCAAGAAGAACTGTTTTTTTACAAGAGAAGAAACAGAAGAAGGACTGCCTCCAGTTCTCAAGTCAGAGTGCAGCAAGAAAGAAACATACATAATAGCAACCCAGGAGAGCGATATTCCCTGCACGTACGCACTGGCCAGCAGCAGCGCCCGATCAGAGCAGCCGGTGAGCATAAACGGAGAGACGATGTATGTAAAGCCCGTGCACTATTTCAAGGCCAAAACGTTCTTCAAAAAAGATATAAAAGAGATAGAGAACAGTACAGACTTTAAAAATGTGTTCGAGCTCACAATGATGTTTGGAAATGCTGCATTCTTGAGAAAGTACAACAAATCGAAGAGATTCAGAGAAGTAACTGATAACCTGGAAAGCAAAACAGAAACGCTTTTGCAGACAATAGCCCCGCAGGAGCACAGCAGAAAAGACGAGGAAAATATTTTGATGGAGCCTATGTTCCCAGAAAAAGCTGAAAATGTGCAAAATCCAAAAGACATATACAGCATCCGAAACATTGTGGGATTCGATCCGTATGAGCTGGCAGAAGAGGTAGCATCGAGCATGCGCAGCAAAGAGATAGAAGTGTGCCCACTCACAGCTGCAATAATCGAAAGAGGCACTATCAATTACGAAAAAGACCTAGACAACTGCATATGGGCTGTTTTGTTCGATAGCATCTGCAAGATATTCCAAGCCAACAAAAAAAAGACACTGGGGCATCTGTTTGAGACAGAGGCACCCATGCAGTCTGCCTTTATCAAGAAGCTGATAAAGCACTTCATGCCTCCCTTTCCATCCATCAATGCCAAGCTCAGAATGGACAAGCAAACAACGGACAGACTTTTGGCAAGAATTATCATACTTATACTCATAAAGAAAAACTGCATTCTTGAGATACAAAAGTATACACCGTGTTTCTTTGGCTGTCCCTTCAACTCGCTTAACAAGCTCCTCACAGGACTGGGGTGTGTCAAGGCAGCTGCGCTTAAAATGTCTGCAGCGCCTCTGACATATGTACTGACTTTCCCAAAAAGCCATCCATCACACAAAAAAACAGTTACAGAAACATCTGAATTTGTAGACCAGAACAGCCAAGCAACAAACTAGATAGAATAAATTAGATATACCCACCCTTTTCTTCCTACGCTAACCATGCATCTACACATTTCTTTACAGTACTTTTGTACACTTCTATATCTCAAAATAAAAGTAGGATAAGAATGGAGCTGATGGAACAGATTCTGAGTGCGCTAGTGTATGCATCTATCAATGGTATAGATGCACGTATGTCTAAGTGCCAATTGCACTTACAGATTAGTTTTGCTAGCAGATTCACTGCAATTGAAAATAAAATGTACAGTCTGCAATGTAAATTGGCAAAACTTTCAGACAATAAAGCACAAAAATAGAAGAGGAATAATAAATACGCTTTGATACAAAGGTGCGCGCACACCCTATTCAGTAAAATGTTTTAGATCTGATCATATTTATTTAGCCATACTAGTCTTGGTCATCCCAGTGCCCCTGTCTCCGCGGAGCATGCAGTTTGTCCTCGTTCTTTGTAATAAACATCTGCGAGATGCTCAGCACGTCAGATGCCAGCACAACCGCATACTCCAGGGCTCTTTCCTTTATCGCTGCTATATCGTATATCTCTTCCTCTGGGCTGCACTTATCCGCTGTGCTTCTGCTGCCCACCGACTCAATTGAGTCTGCAAATATCTTTGTGACTATCTGCCTAATATCTGTGTACTTCTCTGCCTCTGCTCTCAGCTTGCTTGCTATCTGCTGCTCGCACACGCTTGCCCCCTTCAGGAGTCTTAGGCTGCCCGTGCGCATAGACTCGTTAGCGCACACTTGGAGAGAGTACACAGCCTTCGTTATCAGCTGCTCGCTCTCCTCCAGCTGCGCTGGGAGCGTGCCTCTCACGAGAATTGTGTCTATCTGCCCACTTCCTGACACCTTTGTGTACTTTCTCTCTCCGTAGCTGCACACTTCAATCGATGTGCACCTTCCCAGGTACTGCTCCTCCATGGGGCGCAGAGTGTTTGACATGCGCCCTCCAAAGAGCATGCACAGCCGCCTTTGGTCAAACTTGCTGTGTATCTTCAACACAATTACTTTCTTTTCGTTCAGATAGTCGAGTATGAGGTTGTCAACCGATCCATTGCAGACGATCAGACCTACTCCGTTTGCAGTCAGTCTGTCCACAAAGTCTCTGGTGGTCTTCTCGTCGTCTTGTGCGTATGTCAGGAGATCTTCAGCATTCTTCAGTAAGACAGTGCCTTTTGTGTCCATATTGCTGATGTTCAGAGGGCAGGTGTATATTGCTGTCTTGATGCTAGCACCGCTCTCCACGGAGCCCACAGGCGGTGCCTCCAGAAGCATTCCTCTAAATCGCTCTGACTCATCCAGTGACCCTACATTGACCTTTGTCACTCTGATGCTGTCTATTGGGAATGAGCCGTTCTTTGATATGCCAGAGATGGACTCTCCCAACAGCTCAGATATTCTCGAGTTCTTCACTATTCCGCTGGTTATTTTTTTGAGTATTTCTGCGTCTGTCAGACTGAACTCTTCCTTCTGCGATATTTCCTGCACTATTTCCTCCATGCTGTCTCCGCACTCTCTCAGAGCGCTTGCTATCTCTGTGGGAAGGATTCCCTTCTCTATGAGGACACTGCATCTTTTTAAAACCTCTCCGAGGACACCCATTAGGAACCCTGTGCAGTCTCCCATCTGCGCCAAGTGTGCAATTGGCTCAACCACCATTCTCAGCGCAGGATGCTCTATGTTGCAGTTTCCCAGAATGCTCGCCACCGATCTGCTCATGATCACTCTCTTCTGCGAATTTACAATCAGCTTGTACATCCCGTCCACTCCGTACGACGTCTTTACAATATCGCTGAGACTGACTATCCCCTCTATGTTCTTCAGGACACAGTTGGTGCCTGCGCTCTCTGCCGTGTTTGTTCGCATAAGCCTGTTTCCTCCAAAAGCACTTCCGTTCATACCGTAGAAATAAAAATTAAATTATGAAGCATAAAGTTTCCCCCACGCTTTCTCCTCCCTTCATCTGCCGCTGAGAATGCAAAGCTCTACCGCACAGCCAGCAGACACCCATTTACCCGCCATTTCTTCCTCTCCGCCACTTCCCTCTCTAATTGGTTTTTCAATCTTTCTTCCCGCCAACCAATAAATTTGCTTAAGTAATTTTTCAATTACACATTTACGTGTTTCCCGCCTTATTACTTTAAGGAGAATATTAATATTTTTATTAGACACCGCACAAACACTTCCACAGAATAGAGTGAAACAGTGGAACAGCTACTTGCAAAGAGAGACAAACCTACGCACAAAACTGAAGCAAGAGCGCATCCCACCGACGGCAAAACAATCTGCACGCGCCACTCTTCAAACAGCGATGTTCTTCCGTTTGCTCCATCTAACAGCCTGCACCATGTTTGAGATTTTTGACATTTCCGCCAAAATCTTTCCTAATGCATTTAATTAAAAAATAACTTAGCATTGTAAGTAAATTAGTTAAAAAATAACATGCCCTTACTATTCAAATAAGGCAAATTTTATTATAAATTGGGACATTTCCAAATTGAGAGATTGGATTCCCAAATTTAGGTTGTGTTTCTATTTCCATATTAATTGATCTGTGTATATAAGAAGTTCGTGTAACCTAAAAATAAATATAAACAGAATGGCACCAAGATTAATAACAAGAAGTAAACAAGTCAAGTTTATTGATTTCACAGAGGAAATTAAAAAAAGTTTCGCAATTAAAGAATCACCTAAAAAGCCTCGTACGAAGCTGGAATCCTGGCAAATACTCGCTCTAGAGAAGGCATACGAAGACGACTCCCATCCGTCGCAGAAAGCAAAAACAAGGCTCTCCAGCGCGCTGGGCCTCCAGATAAAAAGCATCCAAATTTGGTTTCAAAACAAACGGGCAAAAGAAAAGTCCAGGAGAGAGCAGGACGAAACCGACAGCGAAAGCCTCTCATACTCCGCAGACGAAGCGAGCAGCAACAGGTCCAGCGCATCCATCACCTGCACCAGCAAAAATTACGAAAGCTACTCTGTAAATAGTTCTTACACTCTGCTTCCTGAAGTAAGCCGAAGCAGCATATCGATGGACTCCTCTGACGTAAGCAAAATAAGCATGACGTACAGCAGCAGCGGCATCTGCATGAAAGGAATGGCGTACGATGAGTGCTATGGCAGCACGTCTTCCATATTTGATGAAGGAAACACAACGATCTGCTCAGAGTACGACTCTTTCCTGAGCTCTTTTAGCTCGCCCATTGTGTGCATGCCCTCCTACGACAGAAAAGACAGCGCGTTTATCCAAGAGAAGCCTGAGAATACCCTGTGTCTTGGCCTGGGCCTAGGACACTCCTCAGCTGAGAAAAGGTCCTTCTTTGTCAACAGCGATCCTCTGTTCACCTCGCCTGACCAGTACAAATGCCAGCTGATCGACGGGAATATTATATATAAAAAAGAAAACGACCAAATGAGTTTCTTCAATGAGCTGCAGCAGCACATGAAAAACAATATTATTTGATCAGTGAGCACAGCTTTACACAAATGTAGCTGGACTGTAAGATGTTTGGTATAGAATAAATTGTTTAACTAGTATTTAGCCATGCTATCTTATGCTGCTGTGCTGCACTTATCCCATTTTCTGCACTCAGCTCATTTTAAAATTTAGCACAAAAGTCTCCGTGGAGAAAAGCTTAAGTAAAATATTTTAAATAATTTTCATGAAAGTAATTGTCCTTGGGGCTGGCCAAGACATAGGAAGATCTTGTGTTGTTGTAACGATCCAGAACAGATCGATCATGTTCGACTGCGGCATGCACATGGGCCACTCTGATCAGAGGAGATTCCCAGACTTTAAGCTTCTTGGTCCTGGGCCGTACACCGGCTCTATAGACTGCATCATTATAACACACTTTCACATGGATCACTGCGGCGGCCTTCCATACTTCACGGAAAAGTGCAAATACACAGGGCCCATCTACATGACACATCCTACTAAAGCTGTTCTTCCGATCATTCTACAAGACTACTGCAAAGTGTACAATGACAGAGACGACTATACTAAATTTAAATACCCTACGTACAACGAAGACGACATAAAAGAGTGCATGAAAAAGATAATTCCCATCGCAATCGAAGAAACCGTTGAAATAGAAAAAGATTTTACAATCACACCGTACTACGCGGGGCACGTTCTGGGAGCAGCTATGTTTCACGTCAAGGTGGGGGATGAGTCTGTGGTGTACACCGGTGACTACAATATGTCGCCCGACAGACACTTGGATGCAGCCTGGATGCCCAAAGTGTACCCCTCTCTTCTGATCACAGAAAGCACGTACGCTCTCCTTGTCCGAGACTGCAGAAGAGAGAAAGAGAGAGACTTCATAGAGTCCGTTGTGCAGTGCGTTAAAAATGGAGGAAAAGTGCTTATTCCTGTGTTTGCGCTTGGAAGAGCGCACGAGCTGTGTCTTCTTTTGGACACGCACTGGGACAAAATAGGTCTGCGCACTCCCATATACACATCAGCCACTCTGACGCACAAAGCCAACGATATATACAAACAGTTCATAGACTACACACACGAGCACATTCGAAACACGATGCTTAAAAGGAACCTATTTGATTTCCAGCACGTAAAGCAGTTTGAGTCTAACTTTGCAAACCTAGACGAGCCTATGGTTCTTTTCTCTTCACCAGGCATGCTGCACTCGGGCCCGAGCCTCTCCATATTCAAAAAATGGTGCGGTGATCCTAAGAACATGGTTATATTCCCTGGGTACTGTGTGAGGGGAACAATTGGCGAGAAAGTGCTGAACGGAGCAAAAAAGATAGAGGTGGGAGGGATAGTCTACCCCGTGCGAATGAAGGTAAAAAACATGCCATTCAGTGCGCATGCTGACCAGAAGGGAATTCTCTCGCTGGTGCAGCAGTGCGAGCCCAACAACATCGTGCTGGTCCACGGAGACATCCAGAGAATGAAAAGATTGAAACAGATTCTGGAAACATCACTCTCCATTCCGACCCTGCATCCTCCCATAGGAGCCACCATAAACATTGAGAGACCAAAGCACACAACTGCCAGCATCACAAAAGAAGCGCTAAAGTCTCTAAAAAGTAGCCAAAACGAAGAAGTAGAGGGAGTGTTAGAAGGAACGATGGTGAAGGCCAATGGAAGACCGCATTTGGTGATTTCATCGTGCAGTAAAAATGTGTTCTACAGTGAAGAGCTCTAGTGCCATTCTACATTCATTTTGTATATCACTATAGCATGCACTCTCCTTCAGATAATGCTGCAGTGCTCTACAATCCGTTTATTTTCCATCTAGGAATAAAGTATAAATCCAAGAGGACAATAGCCTTAAAAATAAAAAACTATAAGTACAATCAACCAAAATAAAACACAAGATAAATTTATTAAAGCTGTTGAACATGCAGCAGCTCGGAATGATCTGTCGCACACTCCATTAAAAATGAAAAGAAAAAGAAACTGTACACTTTCTGATCTTTTTGAATTTCTGTTTTATCTTTTACTCTTTCGGCAATCTAGATAATTATTCTTAATCTATTTTTATTCTTCTATGAAACTATTCTCTCTATCACTGTTCATTGGATAGGCCTTTAGTTATTGCACTCTCTAGCTCTCTGACACTATCCAATGAAATTCTGTGGCAGTGTGTTGGCTATTAAAACATGCAACAGGATGTTTGAGCGCCTTTATTCTATATAATTAAAAGACACAGAGCGCACAGATGGAAGAACAGGTGCACGACCCAGAAGAAGTAAAAAACGAACAGACGCATGCAGAAGAGCCTGCGCAGGAGGAAGAGTTCAACTGGTTTGATGATACTGCTGAGTTTGGCTTTGATGACACGGAAGAGTTCCCCAAGACCACAGACATTGCCCACGTCATAAGCAAAGGAATGATCCCTGCGCTAATTGCTCTCATAGGCATATCTTTCCTGGGGATGTTCATTCTCAACTTCATACCAGGAAGAATGCGAATTATCCACGGGTTTGCTCTGAAGCACATTTTCATCCTTTTGGCAATAACCTCTTTTCTTCTGATACTCTCCAAGATAATAGTGCACGGAGTGTACATCGCAATACGAGACTACATAACAGATAACAACATACTCCACAACAGGAAACTCAAGCTAGAAGTGATCTTTGGCATTTGGTTCTTCACAATGATACCCATTGGAATACACCTAGACAGATACATCCCCTGGGCGAGGGTGATCCTTGATAGGATATTTATATGCGGCTTCCTGACCATCCTTGCATTTATATGCAAAGGCCTTGTGATGGAGCTTTTCAGAGAGCAATTTTTGTCAAACAGTCTCAAAGACAAGGCGAAAGACATCGAGATTAAAAACAGGATAATAAACACGCTCAGAGAGTACTGCTACGACGCAGAAGAGGAAGAGTCAGACCCCAAGCTTGCAAACTGTTTTTTTGTGAACTTTCTGGAAGGGGAAGACAATCCAAATGACAACCAGGGAATGGACTTCATCAAAGGCGATGTGGACAGCGTAGTTGGCGACATGTTTACAAAGTCTATTTTCACAAAGAGCCAACTGACCCAGCACGAGGTGCTATGCCTCGCGCGCGATGTGTTCACCAAGTGCTCAAAGAACAAGAAATACATCAACTTCAACGACTTTTGCGAAATGTTCCCAAACGCCCAAACTGCCATCCAGGCTTTTCTCTACTTCGATGTGTCAAACAGCAAAAAATTAACAAAAAAAGAGATCAGAGACACTCTCGGGATGTTCTACTACAACAGAAAAAACCTGCAAACAAGTTTTGAAAGCCTGAACAACTTTGTGGGAGTTCTTGACAACCTTGCGATTATTCTCGTAATTATTCCCCTGATCATCATGTACTTCATTGTCCTGGGCATACCCATCCAGCAGCTCGTGGCCTTCTCTCTGAGCAGTGCCCTGATACTAAACTTCTTCATCAGCACCATAGCAAAAGACTTTTGTTTGAACGTGTCGTTCATTCTTACCCACCCATTCGACATAGGAGACGACATAATAATAGACGGAAAGAGCTACGTAATATACAGAACAAGTCTCTACAAGACAGAGGTCCTGGGCATTGATGGCGGTAAAATATCGTTCCTCAACAAGGTTTTATGGAACAAAAACATCATCAACATGACGCGGGCCCCGCAGAAGCTCATCCACATAAGCTTCAAGCTGGATCAAAACATGTCCAAGCACTACTTCAAGCTCATAAAGAAGAACATTCTCTCTTATCTGCGGTCTAAGAACGAGATATTCTACGAAACATTCACCATCCAGTCAGAGTCAGAGGCCGTGTGCAAAATAGAAGAGCAGAGCTGCGTGCTTATCATACGCTGCAAGTCCATAGGAAGCAAAATGGCAAAGCTAGAGCTGAAGATAGAGATAATAAACTATCTGAAAGACCTTCTGAAGAAGCTCGAAAAGTCGCAGACGAAAAAAACTCTTGAAAAGAAAGAGGCAAAAGAAACGGAGGAAAAAGAGAAAAAAGAAGAGAAGAAGTAGAGCAGAGATAAATAAAGTGTTTGCAGCCAGCGAAGGAGGACAGGATGTTAAAATAAAAATGTGTCAGAAATATACCACTCATCAATGTGCAGACTGGGGCGGCTGTTATCCTCATTCACAAGTTACCGGGGTTTATAAAAATATTTCTTTAAATAGTTTTAATTTTCTGAAATTTATTCCAATATCATTTTAAAAAGACCTTTGCTACAGCTAGCCAGCAAAAGTCTGTTCATTGCTTAGCTACTTCTGTACAACACAAGAATTGATCTAAAATATACTTGCACCAGCCAATACTCATCCATTAAATAGATGAATAGTAAGTGATCATCTTCAATGTACTAATGATGCTCTTCGCTATCAGTCTAACTGGCATTTACTATACAATTATTAATACTGAATTATAACCCGAGAAAAATGCTCACTGATTATCTATCTCTCCACAACTCAAAGCATACAACTAGCTAATCTGTTCACTGAATGAGTGCAATCTGAAATATAGTCCAAGAATAAAATTAAAGCTAAAACACGCGATTTATTTTCTGCCTCTGCTGGCCTCTGGATACTTAGGATCTTTCCCTCGTGGCTCACTAAACTAAACCGATACTTCATCTCCGAGCACAGTTATCTCCTCAGTGCCTGCTTCTGTTATAACCAGCATTCTTACACACCCTCCCGATGAGTTATCTCTGTAGATGGCATGAGAAACCATTTTCCGCACAAACTCAACTGCCTCTTCCTTTGTCATGTCTTCTTTGTACTGGCTGTCACCAAGCCCCGTTATGTAAATTGATCCTGACCCTGCGATTGACCAATTCTGCTCTATCAGCGCACCGCCCAGAGGCACGGAGAAGACATGGCCTCCTGTCTCATCCACTCCTGCAACGATAAATCCAGCTGTGATGTTTTTGTCCGTTGCATCCCATACGATCTTTTTCAGGGCAACAGCTACATCCTTCACGAGGGGCTTTTGGCCGTGGCAGTGTATTCCTGTGAGCATGATCTTCTGCACATAGTCAGATATCGCCTGGGTATCTGCTGCTGAGCCTGACCTGCAGGTGTACACGTTGTCTATGAGCTTTGTTATCTTGCGGCTCACTCTGTTGGAAACGTACGTGCCCATGGATGTTCTTGTATCTGCCCCTAGCAGAACTCCATCTTTGAACTTCACCGCCATTATTGTTGTTCCTAGGCTGGCTGCCTGCTGTTCTCTCATGCTCTCGTGGAGATCTTCTTCTACTCTTAACATTTCCGTAAATAAAAACAGAAATATATTATGGGCATTGTGTACATTCCCGTCCTAAAGAAAAATGGAGTGTCGATGTTTGACGAGTCCCTTCCATCCCCGCTCTTTGGAAGGGTGACAGAGGAGGAGTGGAAGGAGATCCTCGCTTATCTCAACAAAGCTCTTTTCAAGCGCAGGAACAGGTCAGTATTTAAGCTGCTAGCTCCCTTTATAATTGGAAACATCTTCAGAGCCATAGCACACTCCTACGTCGACAGAAAAGTAAAGAACTACCTGGACAAAAAGAACCTTATGCTGAGCCACTGCGGCGTGCACATACACCACCCTGCGGAAAGGATGTACTCTGGCCTGGATGTGTCTATTTATACAGTTGCTGGGTCGCCATTTAATATGTAAAGTTTTATTTTGAAAATAAATGCGAGTGAAGGGACAGGAGATGAGGCCTTACATGTTTGCCGAGGAGCCAATACAGGTGCATGCCAAGTCGTATGTCATGGGCACGACCGTGCTGGCGATAAAGTACAAAGACGGGATTATGGTGGCTTCAGACACGCAGCTTTCGTATGGGTCGTACTGCAAGTACAAAAACATCGAAAGAGTTGGGGTTGTGTCAAAGAACACGTTCCTAGGCAGCTCTGGGGAGTACAGCAACTTCCAGGAGATGCTCAAGATGCTCAGAATAAAAATGAACCCGCCAGGCGACAAAGAGCCGTATCTTGGGCCAAGAGAGTGCTTTGAGATTGTAAAGAACCACATGTACAAAAAAAGATGCGAGGGAATCCCCGAGCTCAACACGCATGTAATTGCAGGAATGGAAGACGCGCCAAAGTCAGAAACTCTCCCGTACGAATACGATCCATCTGGCAAGTTTCTCGGAGTGGTTGATCATCTAGGAAACTTCTACTACGATAGCATTGTGGGGACGGGAATAGGTGCGTACTTGGCAGTCCCCATACTCAGAGCAAAGATAGGGAGCAACACCGATCTGCCGGAAGAAGAAGCCCACAAAATACTGACCGATGCAATGAGCACGCTGTTCTACCGAGACACGAGAGCATCAGACACGATCCAAGTGTCAAAAATAACAAAAAACGAGATAACCGTGTCAAAACCGTTCACGCTAAAGACATCCTGGGAAATTGCAAACATTCTATAAACCGTCAATAAATTCTTTTATTCTGATATACACTCTGCCACTAAGATTACTCTTCAACATCAGCTATTATACATCTTCTAAAGCTAAAAAGTAGGCTAGCAGTGCTTTAAACATGCTAATGTAAGTCCAAAGACAAAGACTATTGAAGTATAAGTAACTAAAGTATGTTCAATAAATAACTAATGGATTGAGTTTTATTGATCTTCTTTTCCCTGCAGAGCAGCTAAATATGAGCAAAGCAGTTCGTGCAAAATATTTCAGTATAGTTTTATTTTTATTTTATTTAACTAGTACACAAACTCTTTTAGTTTCACTTTCTTTAGTTTTTAGTAGTACAGTTTTTGCATAAGTACAGTTTTAGTTACTTTTACAGCAATCAGAGATAGCCCAATAAGATCACTACTGCAGCAGTTAGTAGATAGCTAGTACTCTCACAGTATGTATAGTACGATGGAGTGTGCTCTTGTTTTTAGTCTAATTGGTCTACAAGACTGATGTGTAAGAGACAGGATAATTGGTGGTTTTTCTGATTTAAAACACATACTCACCCTGAATATCACACAATGCCAGATTCAGGGACAAAGATTAGAGTAGGAAGTGCTCCAAAAAATCCATTGCATCCTGCTAGCGCAAAGAGCAGCTCGCATGGCGCCTCCAGCGAAGGCCAAAACCCAAAGTACCAGCCGATAAAAAACAAACAGCACAGCACGTCCTTCAAAAAAGACGAAGAGTCGCGGCCGTTCCATCTCTCAGAAAAGTCAGACGCCGAGAAAAAGCAGCAGATACACGAAGAGTTTGCAAATGCAAAAATCATGAAAAAACCCATGTCTGCTGTCATGGGCCTCGTTGTAAGAAGGTGGTTTGAAATATTTATTGACCTCTTTATTTTCATAATGATACTTGTCCCTGAGACCTACGAGTTTATGGAGATACTCTACGAGCGGTATATCTACCACGGAGAAAAAACAAAACCGTACACCAGCCACACAGCTGCGGAGACCTTCGATCTCTGGTGCCCCATTCTCGAAGGAATTGTGTGCTGTTTTCACACAACTGTCTTTGTGTGCGAGTCTTTCCTAGGCATAGAAATACCGCACGGCCTTCTCATTGCCATTCTTTCATCACACATCACATGCATACTAATCATCTGCCACATCGAGTTTATAGACAGAAAAAGAAGCAAACAGACACACAAAGCCATTACATATTCGATAGAGGTTGGTGTGCTTATTCTGTCCACCCTTGTAACTCTCGTCTATTTCCAGACGCACGAAAAGTACCAGTCTCTTGTCTTGATAACAACGGTTCTTACGCAGTATCTGTGCAGAACACTCACCAGGCTCGTGGATAACTCGCACAACAAATTCAGAAAGACCTTCAACTCAGCAGAGGTGCGCGTAGTCCTGTTCTTCAGCATTGTCTTACTTCTCCTTCTTTCTGAGCTGCTTTATATATACTTTACTTAATTTTCTTAACTTTTAATGGAGACAAATTCAAAAGACCACGGAAAAAAAGAGCCAGAGCTTACAAAAGAGATCTCCAAAATGCACATTTCAAAACAGGAGCACAGTGAGAGCAGCAGTGACAGCGAGAGCGACAGCGGATCAGATTTTGTGCCAGTGGGATTCGACTACGACGGCTTCAACACAATGGCAGCAGGAATTATCCATCTGGAGAAGCCAGAGAGCCACACGAAAAAAGAAGAGAATGTGCTTTCGTACGACATGCTCCTGGCGCGGATTGAGAAGCATCTGAAGCCATCGGACAACGAGGTGGAAAGCAAAATAAAAATACCCATCTCCATAAGAAGAGACGGAGCCACAAAAACATCGCTGAACATAACGGAAATATGTAGGAAAATATGCAGAGAAGTGTCGCATCTTAGACAGTTCATAGAGGTAGAGCTGTCAGTCAACTGCTCCATAGACGGGGAAGAGCGCCTGGTCATCAAAGGAGTGTTCCCAGAGGCGCAGCTTCAGAAGATCGTCAGAAACTACATCAGACAGTATGTTTCCTGCGGAGTGTGCGGATCGCTCGAAACTGTGCTGGAGAGAGAGGACAAGCTGCTGTTCAAGAAGTGCCAGGCATGCAATGCCTCGCAGTCGGTAAATGCGATCCAGCAGGGATACAAGGCGCTTACAACAAAGAGATCTGTCCTCCGAAGAAAGACTGCAGAGTAGAATTAATTTGATAGCCAAATAGAAAAAATAATCTAATCACGGGCAGGAGGAGAAAGAGCTGAATAAATAATCCTTCTTTTTTTTTATTTAATGAATTGGTCTGAATACTTCCATGCCTATATGCTAATGCCAGGCACCATAGAGGAAAGTGTGCTTCTTTCAGGTTCTTCGGTTATCGCAACAGATGCATCTGAAAACTTCCTTGACGCAAATGCAATCGAGTTAGTGTGGCAGAGAACCTTTCCAAAAGACTCGGTGATGATCAGCGGGTCCAAATACCTCTACATCAAGGATATTGTTGGGGGACAGGACGGATACTCAATAAGCCTGTACCAAAAGGTCAAGTCAGAGGGCGCCAGCGAAGAGGGCCCCAACATTTTGTTTGTAGCAGAGATGGACACTCTCCTGTGGGTGGGCAATTTCAACAACAACCAGAAGGCGCAGGTGATACCCTTTGTAGAGTCAATTGCATCGCATATTTTTACACATATTGTGCAAAGTGAAGAGTAAAAATGGGAAAAAACACAAACACGAAAGAGCCATGGCACGCCGAGAAAAAGAAAGCACAGCAGCAGAGAAAGAAGCAGAAAACAGAAGAGCGCCCTTCTTTTTCCAATCTGAATGAAATACTCGTAAATAGCAAAAGAATGGCATGGATGGAGTGAGCTACGATATGCTCAGAAATGAAGAGAATCGTACAATTAAAACAGGAAAGTATACAGTAAGAAAGAAGAGTCTGCGATGCACTAGCTATGCATGATAAGCTAGCAAGTTGAGTGTTCTCTCTATGCGAAATGAGCTAATAAGAAGTAGCAAATGATTTTCAATCATGCAGCTGTACAGTGGCACAGTGATAAATAAACTATCCATGGAGTTTGTTGACTGGTGCTTCTATTAACTTATTTATTGTCTACTATTCATTTGTACTATACACATTGTCCTCTCTCTATTGGGTCTTCTCCACTATTGAGTTCTAGCTTATAACTCGATTGGTCTTTTTGCTCCGATCGATTAGCTTACTAATTAATTGTCTCGTTAATGCAGGGGTCTGGAGCCAGCGCCAATGAGCGCGCTAATTAAGCAGTAAATGGATAATAAAGGCTGTTGCAGGAGCCGGGCTAATTAAATAGCAAATATGAAGGGATAAATAGCGAAATAAAACTTTTGCAAAATGGAAGAGACAATGGACATAGTGAAAATAATACTTAAGGACAGCCCCGGGGCAGGAGAGATCGACGGAATGATAAGTTTGCTTCAGACAATAGAGCACTCTACAATACCGTACTCCCTTATCTTAGACTATCTGAAAGTAAAAAGTAGCGAGCTATCTATTGAAAAAGTGAGATACAACGACAAGAAATTAGAGCTAAGCAGGATCCTCTCTGAGTACATAGACTACCTCACAAATGTTCTCGAACTGCACAAGAACAAAGAGATAGTTTTTTCAGAGAAAGTGAAAGCTCTAGTGGAAAAGGCTGTGAATAGCCAGTATATAACGCGCGAGGACAAGCTGTATCTGGCAAGCGAGCAAAAAAGGGTCAAAGAGTCTCTGATGTACCAGTGCAGCATAAACAGCATTCTCATATACATTTCAATATACTTGGTAGGGCACATGGAAATACTGAAGATAGAGAAAAACATACTTGAGCTCTCCCAAGAGACATGCGATGAGCATGCAGCAGGTGAGAAAAAAAGAATGTCAATCTACAAGGTCGGCAATACTCCACACCCCATCAGAATAACAGGCCGCACAACCCAGGAAGACATGAAGAGTATGCTCACGCCCACCAATGGCCCAAGTATGTCAATAGAAGAGTACGGAGAAAGAATGGTAAAGATGATGGAAGCACAGGGAATATCAATGGATCCTCCTGCGCTGGGAAGTGCACCAGAGCCAGATGACAGTGATCTGCTGAACGAACTGAATGTACAGGAGATAGAAGAGCTCAGAAAAACCCAGGAAAAAGAAGAGCACATAGTCAGAGGAGACGGGAACAGAATAGGAAGAAAATAATCGCAGATTTATTAGATCAAATATAGCCCGTCTAAGCCAATCTGCACACATTACTAAAAGTTTTATTCCTTTGTTTCTTATCTAAAGGCATCCTTATCTAACAAAGAAGTAGAGAATAAAGAAAAAGAAAATAACAATGGATGCATAGAATATATACTGCATGACCACTGCCTCAACGTGCATCTTCCTGCTTTTCTTTCTGAACTTTTCCGAAATGTTCTGCAGCTTATGGCCCAGTATCTCCAGCTGCTCTATCTTGTGGCCTCTCTGCAGGACATTTGCGTAGTTCTGGATGCACACTTCCTTTGTTTCTTTGAGTGTCTCAAGAGTCTCCTCCATTCCCTTGTCTTTGCTGTACTTTCTGCTTTCTTCTTTAATGACCTCTTCAAACCGAATGTACGAAATGTCGCTAGGTGTGTTTTTGCCGTAGCTCTTTTCAAAGAGATCCTTCAGTCTCTCAAAAAACAGGGATATCGATGTTTTTGACAGGCCAATTTCCACGGCGCTTAGTATCAGAATGCCTTGGAACTGTTTGAAGTATATGGTTATGCCCTCCTCTGCAGACTTTGTGCTGCAGAACTGTGTTTCATTTGGGAACTTATCAGGGATACTTGACATGTCCTCGAGCACCTTCCTGTGCACTGTCTCAAAATGCCTTGACAAAGGACATTCAGCAGATACAATTATTCTATTGTCAGACGGCCTAACAATTTGAGTAAATAAAATGGCCATAAGATAATTTATGAAAAAATAAATTATAATTAAACCATCTCAAAGCATAAGTATGCTCCAATACTTTGCATCCGAAAGCAGCTCAATAAATAATTATAATTAACTATTTACACCGATCCATCTTCAGCAGATCTATCATCCTATCACTGTTTTTATCGCTGCTGTTATCTTTTATCGATTTTTTACTCTCTTTTTCAGAGATTCCTAGAGTTTAAGAAAGATCTTTTATTTATCGGCTAAGCATCTGATATGCACACGCAGAGACACCAAATGGTTCACCAAAGTTATTTACAAAAATAGCATACAGATCAATTAACAGGAAGTGATACAGAATATCTTTATTGCAGTCCGTCTGTCCAAGAACGGAACACTATCTTTTCTTGTAGACACAGGACTTTAGCGGAATGGCAGGGAGGGACTTACTCTTCTTGGATGATTTTTTGAAATCAAAGAAACAGAAAAAGTTGCTTTCCAGGTCTTTTGTCAGGAGGTTGAACCCGTGCACAGCCATGGGGCGCACGAAGTGGTCTATCTTCTGTATTCTACTGCGCACCTCGACTATCTTCAGCACGCCTCCAGGCTTCATTATCCTATACGCCTCCTGTATGTACGCCGATGCGTCTTCTCCCATAAGAGAAAGACAGAAGATCGCCACATCCACCGACTCATTCTCAAGCGGAAGGTTTCTTATGTCTGACGCAGTTATGTATCTGTCATTCTCTGGCTTAACAAGGTCAAAAGAGTGTATTGTTCTTTCTTTGAACCTTTTTGCTATCTTTGCCTCGCCGCATCCCAGGTCAGCGATGACAAAGTTTGCGTCTGTCTTCACCAGCTGCTTGACTATTTTGTCCACGGGATTAAACGGCCACTTAGCCACCTGCTCTTTGTACCCCTCGTGGTACTTCCTAAACAGCTCGGGGTTCATGTCTTTGTGCTCTTTCCTGTATAAAACCTCGTTCAGTATTCTAAATTTAGCCCCTTTCAGGCTGGACTCCAACTTCTCCAGAATGTCGGTCTTTTTGGTCGCCATAAAAAATTTGCAGCTGCCAGTGTTTATCATTTATTTTTATCTTCAATCCAGCTCATCCAAAAGATCGTACCTCTTCGTGTACACGAATGTTTTCTTCGGCTTTTCCGTTGCCTGCAGTATCTTGAGAAACTCTGCATCTGTTATTTTCTCTATGCGCTGGATCGTGTATATGTCGTATAGAAGCTGCTCTATCTTGTAGTACCTCTCGAGTGCCACTGATTTTATGTTAGAAAGCCTCGATCTGGCGTCTGAGCTGATCATCTCGGTAATCGTCTCTTCGATTATATTTTGTTTTGTCTTTCCTCCAACTTCTTCTGCAGTCATTAGCAAAAAATCAATTTCATTTTTATGGAGAGAAATTTCACAGAGACGGGAGCAGGATACCCGCAGGAAAGAATACCAGAGATGGACAAGAACTTAAGATTTTATCTAAAAAAAGAAATACGCAATTACACCGAGTGCAACCCAGAGGAAATCATATCAAAAATCGAAGCTATGAGCCACGAGAGCTTAGTAAACCCAAAAGAAGAGCTGAGCATGATGCTGCAGCCGGTCTTTGAGGACAGAACACAGATGTTTGTGAACAGACTGTTCGGATACCAAAAAAGGCTCTGCAGAGACAATGGACACTGCAGAAGACTCGGGTGCTACTTTAAACACACGCCCGTTGGTCTGCCCATGATGGAGATAGATGAAAAGCCCGCATTCAACCCAAGAGAGGAAAGACTCATGGGAAACAACAAAGTTGCACTAGAAAAGCAGAGAAGAATCGTTGAAATACTCAGCAAAAGGATGGATCTTCCTCCAGACGTCAAGTCACTCATCGAGCAGCTAAGAAGACTGATGTGCAGAGGAAAGCCAATGGCAGTATCACCAGCCCACTTGAGCACGCGGTTTGTCATTGAAAACAGACAGGAGTGGATGACAAATGAGCACCTGCACACATACCCAGGCGTCATGAATATCTCAGAGGATGGAGTGATAGAGTTCAGCTCTAGACAGGATGCTGAAAGAGTATTTAACATGATCTGCAAAATAGATAAAAACAGTCGGCCCACATGGATTGAATAGTTTCCAAATTACACGAGGTTTCCGAGAGGAAACAGCTTTTAGACAGAGCACTCGCACACCCCCGCTAAAAAATAAAGATAAATTGTTTTTTACTGCTTTTTAGATAGCAAATTTTAAAAATTACATGAAAGGTAGATTGAGAGCGAAAGAGACAGCAGTCACCATTGGTCTTCTGCTGTATTTATTATTTGGCCTGATTCTTTATCTGGAGATACCTAAGTATGCAATTAAGATAGTAGAAGCAGAAGAGAGCATAGAAGAGGGCAGGCCCCTCATCGTTTACTCAATAGAGGATATAAGGAAGATTAAAGCGCAGTGCAGATGCTGGATAAACTGTTCGTGTCTTCTTGAAAAGAGCAATAGGCTAGTGGAGAACAGAAAAATAGCACAGAACCAGGTGGATGTACTGATTATCTCGCCATTTGACTTAAAAACAATTATATCCCACAGTATTACATCCACGCCCTGCATTATCACACAGCCCAGAAAACCGTGGCTCTCTTCCATCGCATCGTACAGTCTGTATGAAGCTCTGCAGATCCTTAGATTTGTGCTAGAAGAGTCACTGAGCGTACTAGTCAGCGAGTGCTTGTCTGCCGAGAATAGAAATGTGGTAGAATATACTAGAACGGGCCTGTGTACAGTGCTTATCTTTGCAGGCATAGTATGCACACTTCGAGAGGTTATAGGAGCTATCTCCAGAGAAAAAGAAAAGAAGAAAAAGTCTGGCCTAGAAACAGATGAGATTAATGCACTGCAAGAGTGAGAAGAGCCCAAGAGACCCCGAGAATGTCTATCTTGAATGGAATATTGCACTTTGACTCGAGTTATGTTCAAATATTTTTGCTCTTACTTTGCATCATTGCTATGCCAGAATGAGCTGAAAATTAAACTAAAGAGCACAGAGAGACATAAAATATTTCAGCGCAATCGTGCATTTGCTGTAAGAATGTGATTAGTTTTGGGGCTATCAGGGGCCAACTGTTTCAGTTGGTGATAGGTGTGTAATTATAAATAGCGTAATTAGCTGGTGATAGGTCAGTAATCAGAAAGGCGTGATTGGTCTGATGTGCTAGCTGTATTTTAATTGGTGCACAGAGAGAAAGAGCCACCTACGTTATATATATATTGGAGTATTGGCTGAGCTGTAAAATCATGGAACATTCATTAAGCACATCGTCAAAATCAGTGAGAGTTTTCTCAAAGAGCCAAGCACTGCTGGGGAGCAGCAGAAAGAGCTCCAGCAGTATGTCAAGGGAGTACATGAAGGAGCTGAGCAAATACTTAAAAGAGCTGAGCCATTTGGAAAGAAAAATAGAGAATAGGAGCATATTGCTAAACAGCAGCTACGAGAAGATCAGCGAGATAAGCTCATCACGCGATCCTCTTATGCTGCAGAAAGTGCTGAAGCTCAAGCTAACTCTGCTTGTAGAAAGAAAGGACAGACTGCACGCAGAGATAAGCAGCGCCAAGTCATCGCTGCTCTCGCAGAAGGAAAAGATAGAGAGCAGCATAAGCTCTAGGCCGCACTCTTCAAGCATAGACTCATCAATTGCAAGCTTTAAAAGCATCCAGCAGTCCATCAACCAAAAGGTTGTAGACCACTACTCAAGATACAATAAAACTCTTTCCGAAATAGAGGATCTTGTACGAGACTCTCTGATCAGCAAAAAAGATAGAAGGATCATATTTTCAATTCTTTTCCCAAAGTTCAAAGAAGATAGCTATCCGCTACTGACCAAGTGCTTCAGAAAGGTCTTTGGATCGAGAGTATCTACAGCAACACAGTTTATGGGCGAAATACTCAGAAGAAGCTCTTCGTCTGAGATTCATCTTTCAAGCGATTCAGACTCGTTTGACATGCTCTCGTGTTTTGTCCATTTTGTGCGAAACCACCTGCTGACATCGTCATGCTTTATATTTGGATCAGTCTGCACTATCTGCATAGTAATGTGGAAGCTGGTGTCCAGTGTTCTTTCTTCATCTAGCATGTCGACCTCTATTGCATCTATTAGCATACTCGCGTGTGTTCTATTTGGATGGTCAACCTTTGGGGTATTTGCGTTCTTTTTTTCGTGGACATTCGGCCAGTCTTCTTCTGCACCAGTGCCATCTAGCTCACTCTCAGATAGTATTAGCTCATTAAGTAGCAGCAGCAAATCATCTAGTAGCAGCAGCAAATCATCTAGCAGCTTGTCTAGCAGCCAGTCAAAGAGCAGTAAATCATCTAGCAGCTTGTCTAGCAGTCTCCTAAGCAGCAGTAGCAAATCATCTAGTAGTCAATCAAATTCTAGCAGCAGTAAATCATCTAGCAGCAGCAATAGTAAGCCTAGTAGTTTATCTAGTGATAGCTCACTTTCTAGCAGCTTATCTAGCAGTCAGTTAAGCAATAGCAAATCATCTAGCAGTCAGTCAAATTCTAGCAGTAGCAAATCATCTAGCAGTCAATCATCTAGTAGCCAGTCACATTCTAGCAGTAGCAATAGTAAGCCTAGCAGTAGCTCACTTTCTAGCAGCTTGTTAAGCAGCTTGTCTAGCAGTAGTATGTCAATTAGCAGGCCTAGCAGCGGAAGTAGTAGCCAGTCTAGTAGCAGTAAGAACAGCAGCATAGGATCATCTGGGCAGTCAGCCAGTAGGCCATCATCTATAAGCGATAGATCGTCTCTTTTAGACTCTCCTTCTCTCAGTGAGTCGCTGTACTCTTCTTTATTGAGTGATTCGTCACATAGTAAAGAGTCATCTCGCTCATCTGTATCTCACTCTAGCTCCAGCTCTTCAGAGACAAGCCTGCAGGACAGCATAGCAGTGTTTGACAAGCAGATGCTCACACTCTTCCCTCTCTTTGCAGCCAACGTCCTTTCCTCTCTGGCAGTGTGCATGCTCTCTGTTTCTAGCGTAGACTACCTTCTTAGCGCGCTTACACCAAGCCATGCTAAGAGCATATTTCTACTGCTCTGTTCAGCATGTTCTGTCTTTTCCATCTCGCTGTCCAGCATAAAGTCGCTGCAGATTCTCAAGTCTTCTTCCAGAAGCTCTTCGCTCTCCTCCATTTCTCTTTTTGTCTTTGCAGTGTCCCTCTGTCTGCTGATCACTGTGGTCACATCAGGAGCCTGCGAGGTAAGCTCGTGGTTCCTTTCCTAGATTGAATAAATCAGAAGTGCACATCCTTTATCTAGATCTGAATAAATTCTTAAAACATTTTTATTGTATGGAAGAGCAAGCCGTGGTGGATGTCCTTGAGATCAAGCTCTTGGCAAAAAGAAACGACTGCATCCAAGCCCTGTACACATCATGCAGTAAGCGCATAGACCACTTCCTAGCACACAATCCTGCCCTAGGCGCCCTCACAGTGTCCCAGTACTTGGAAAACATCGAAGCAGAGAATCTCCGAATAAAAGAAGAGCAAGAAGAAAAACAAAGACAGCTGCAAAAGCAGGAAGCCAGAGAAAAACAAGCAGAAAAAGAGAAAAACAAAAAAAGAAAAAACGACAGAGCTAATGAAAGCAGCAAAAGAAGAAAGTCAATGATTGTAACTATAGACGATATCTCGTTCTCCTTCGGCAAGGAAGAGCTAGAGCAAATCACAGGACAGGAGAAACAGGTAGACCCAGAGGTTAAAAATATCCTTCTGAAAATGAACGATCTTTTCAAACAGCTGGGAAAGAAAAAATAACTGCAAACAAAATAAATCAAGTTGATAGTTTTATTATGTGACTAGCTGCTCAGCTGGCAGTGTGCTGAGCAGAGTATCTTTTTTACAATAACCCGGCGGCCGTCTAATGAAATCTGTTTTTTGAGCATAACCCGAGGCTCGTACGAGAACCACTTGTTGCACGAGTCGCACACCCTTCCATCCCTGGAGAACACGCACTCTTTGTGCGGCCATATCCCAGGGCCTGGTATGATATATACACTGCAGAGCTGATTAAGTGTGGGGCATGTTCTCGGGACTATTCTTTGTTCTTGCTCGTACGGGTTCCCAACTGCCCGAAGCGTAGACAGCGATGAAAATACGGTGAACAGCTTGTAGGGTATGTGCTTCAGCAGGTTATCGCTTAGGTCTATTATTTCTAGCGGGTAGGTTGTGCAGGGATAGACCTGCATCTCTATCTCTTCCAGGAGGTTGTTTTTTACGTTGAGATATCGAAGTTTTTTCAGAGAAAATATGCAGGGAGGAATGGCCTTAAGCTTGTTGTTGCTGAAGTCCAGCTTTTCAACTCTGTCAAGCTTTCCCACCCATGCGCCAAGCTCTTCCAGCTGGTTTCTGTACACGGGGAGTATCATAAGGCGCTTTAGCGCGCCCAAGTCAGGCAAGTGCGTAAGTGAGTTATTTCCTAGGCCCAGCTCTTGTAGTAGGTACAATCTGCCCATTTCAGCAGGCAGCTCTTTTATTTTGTTGTTGCTCAGATTCAGCCATACGAGCCTGGAGAGCTTGCATATCTCCTTGGGCACGCTTACGATGTCGTTGTTGCTCAGATCTATTTTTGTGAGATTTTGAAGCATGGCTATCTCTGGGGGGATAGCTGTTAGTTTGTTGCTGAAGAACCCAAACTTGCACAGAGAGGTCATTCCAAACACGCAGTCTGGAATCTTCTCAAATCTGTTCTCGCTGAGCCCCAGGCCTGCGATGTTTTTGAGATTGGAAAGAGTGTCTGGAAGATCTCGGAGTCTATTGCGCGTAAGATCAACCCATGTGAGATTTGTTATCTCGCCCATCTCTTCAGACACTGTCTCTATCCAGTTGTCGTTCAGCGCAAGCCGCGTGAGACTTGTCATGTACTTTATCTCTTTTGGGATGGATCGTATCCTATTGTTCGAGACAATCAGCCAGTTGAGCGTGGGCGATGTAAACACTTCCTCAGGGATCTTCTGAAGGCCTTTCTTCCCTATGTCCAGCGATAATACTTTTTGTTCTGTCTGTGTCTTGTTGATATAGCTCACCTTACCTCCCATTTTTTGCATTACTCTGCTTCGGCTTAAATATCTGCGTAAAACCTAGTTTCATTGCCATGGCAACTCCTGGCGACATAATAAATACACATACACCCATGACAAAGGAGCTCTGAATTTATTTATAATAACTATCTGATCAGAGAGTGTCTCTGTTTATATTTCCTCTTTTGCATTGATATCTCTGCAAAATAGATCAGGGTGGCTGTTTATCTCTTTTATGGCGCTTTTGAAGAGGTCCATGTCCAGGGGCTTCTTAAAGGCGCTGTGCCCCACCACTTTAATCCCTGCTGGCTCCACTGTTCCGTACACCAGCGCTGTTTCGCCCTCATACTCTGATATATCGTGTCTCTGCGACTCATTTTCATCGTCAAAACACAGGAGGGCTCTGTAGCCATCTGCGCCCTTCATAAAAATGTCATCGTCTTCCAGGAGTATCTCTCCTGCTACAGCCACCTCTTTCTTCTCCTTGAGTACATCTTCTGTTAGTATTGCGTACATTCAGCAAATAATAAAAAAAATCTACGCTTTATCCACATCGAGGAGCCACAATCTTTACGCGCTCTTGCTAATACTGAGTGCAATGTAGCAACTAGCTCTTACACACCCCCTAAGCATAGGATGCGTTCAGAAGATCAAAGAAAAGACAACGTATGCCATCAAAATGATTAATAGAGCCATTACACTATATTTAAGCAACATAAAGCAATAAATATACAATAGTATGATCAGTCCAATAGCAGATTGCAGTGGTAGATAGATAACTGATTGAATAACTGGGATAGTAAGCTATCTGATGAGAGTAGATAAGACAGCTCAAGAGGCTGAAAAATAAAGCATAAGCAGAGAAGAACTTAAGGAACTGCAGCTGTTATTGGACGGTTTAAAAATAAATCACGCACTTAAAAAAATATTATTCGAAAGTGTAACATAGAAATCCTTTTATTTGTTTTTTTGTTTGAAAACTGTTAGCAGATTGGCGCTGAAGTGGTCATCATCAAGAATAAACAGAGCGGTGGCCCAGCCTCCTCTGAGCTTTAGCTCCTCGCAGAGGCCCGGGGGCATGTCGTTTGAGTACTGGGCAGGATTGATCCCTAGCTTACTCGTTTCCTTTACAAGCATGCTGCACACTTCCTCTGACAGAATGTACAGCTCGTTCTGTTTATCTGTGTCTTCTATCTGCAGTCTCTTGAGGTTCGTGAAGAACGAGAAAAACTCCTGCGCCAGCGAGACATTCGATCTAAAGAGAGAGCACACTGCCTCTACTGCGCGCGCGCGCGTGTACTCAATCGACACCCAGCACAGGAAAGAGAGAATACTTATTACGCTCTTGCTGTTTAGTGTGAGAGAGGTCTGCTGGCACACCAGAACAGAAAGTACCGAGAACATCAAGCGTATTTCTACGTCAGGGTGCGATCTAATCCCAATTACCAGCCTCTGCTTAAAAAAAAGCGACTTTTCGAAGTATGTGTGGTCTGTGTAGGGATGGGACAGGAAATACTTAAAGATAGCTCTCTCCAACAGAGCAGATCTGATGCAGCACTCTAGCAGGTCCATTTGAACCATCATAAGCATCTTTTTGCAGTACCCATCGAGCTTCTTCTCCTGCTCAGAGATGTCTACGCTCACATTCCCTGCGCTTATCATTGAGTTATCCTCCATTCTGGAGATGTCCATTGAAAAGTCGTACGCATTGCTCGATGTAATCTGTTTTATCTCTAGGTACTGCTTAGAATACCCTGTATACTCCTCAGCTTCTCCCCACCCATTTCCTCCATTGTGCTCAGTAACTGTCAGTATTCTGGCTATTCGGTAGAAAGTGTCTTCAGAAACCGAGGGAAGCAGGAGCTTCAGAAGGTTCAACAAGTGCTGCGGAATAGACCCCTTAGGATAGCCTTCGCACAGCATAATAACCATGCTAATGGGGGAGTCTTTTGTAGGAATGACTTCTAGACCGTATAAATCAGGCCCAAGAATCTTCATTAGGAGCTCAACGGTGTTTCCATGCGAGCTACACACTGAGTATTTCTCAAATGAGTTGATGCCAAGTATTCCCAGGGCAGACGAGCACCCTGTCAGAGTTTCTATGTCCTCAGGGGACTTAAGCACCATGCAGAATATCTCTGCAAGCAGCGCCATGTGCAGTACATCGCGTCCAAACCTTTCGCTCGTTGTGAGCGCATTGAAGAATGTCTTGACAAGGCTCACCTGGACTGCATGATCATTGATGAAAATAGATAGCAGCAGATCGACTAAAAAGGTGGATTGAGTCTCTTTCTTTCGGCATATAAAGCATGCGTCTGCATTTCTGTGGATCTCATTAGCGTCTTTCTGCAGCACCTCTGAATACTCCAGTGCGAGTATCTTCAGTGCTTCTTTTCTTACGTCTCTGCTCGTGTCTCTCAGTCTCTCTACCACAGCATGTTTTACCTCAGATAGATCGGACATGACTGCTGGCGTTATCTCTTTAAGCATCCCGAGGCGCACCTGCGATGATGAGTCATGCATGCGTCTTTTAATTATCTCTAGGGCTGAGTTTCTGATGGACGCAGCAGCAGCCGAGGTGTAGAAGATGCTTTTCGACTTATTCAGAAGAATTATAGGCACTTGGCACCTGATCCATGCAGATCTGTCCTCTGATAGGTCTTCAACGGCCTTAAGCATCTCCTGTCTTACCGCTGCATCCCCCACAAAAGCAAGAAACTCTTTTTTGTTATTTCTTTCATTAATGATCGCTTCTATCACCTCCATTGTAACAACTTCTTTGCTAAGAGTGTTGAACTTTCGCACTAGCTCTATCTGGGACTTTTTGGCTGCTCTTATCACCTCGCTCACTGCTGGCATAAAAAGCACGGGATACTTTTCTATAAACACCTCGAGAAGCGAAGAGCCCTCTGCAACTCTTTTTGCAATTTTAATTTTAACTTCTCTTCCGAGATCCTCCTCCTTTTCCTCTACAATGGACTGCAGCATCTCAAGACTCCACTTCTGCGAGAGATTCAAAAGCGCCAGCTCTGCGAGAGTGTTGATTGTCTTTACGCTATCGATCAAGCTCACCATTCGATAGTGCGCTATTATCTCAAAGGCTCTTTTGTCCTCAGAGTGCCTGGGCCCCTTGTGGACCAGCTGCTTGAAGGCTTCTTTAATGCTCTCCTCTGAGAACGGGTTGTGCGGTGCTGCTATTCGCAGTATTTCTATGGTGGCGTACAGCAGGTGAAAGTGCTTCCTGTGCCTCAGGCCCTTTTCGCACTCAGATATCTTGCCGGCGATGTAGTTTGTGTCTTCCTCTGCGCCCTGCTGCTTTATCTCGCACAGCTTCGCATACATTTCCTTCGGTGGTAAATCCGCAAGAGCGAGCAATCTCTGTTCTACGGACATGGGCTTGTAAAATCTGCAAAATATAAAAAGTGCGCTAACCGGGAATCGAACCCGGGTCTTAACCTTGGAAGGGTTGCGTTCTACCATTATACCATTAGCGCTCGGCATCTCTGTCTGCCCTGCTCTCTCCTCCTCTCTTCCCTAAAATATTTATTGCAATATTTCTGCTCTCCTAATGCCCAGACCAACACAAAAGACAACCTCCAAAACAGCACACATGTTTGACGATAGAGTCGTACGACTAACTAAAACCGTATCCAAGCCCCCGCAGCCACGGCCTATGTCTGGCGTGTCTTCTTCTGTTCTCTACGATGAGGAGTCGGGAGTCCTCAAAGTCCTTAAGTTTCCAAAGGGCTTCGGGAAGGCCGTGAAAACAGCGCGCGAGAAAATGGGGATGTCCCAGAAGGATCTAGCCACAAAGCTCAGCAAGCCCAGCCATGTGGTCCTGTCAATAGAGAAGGACGAAGGTGTCTTTGACAAGCTTTTGTTCCAGCGATTGGAGAAGACTCTTCAGACACAGTTTGATCCGCTCTTCTCTCGTGGTAAATAAAGGACAATAAATAAGCGAGTGGCTAGTATTTAATTTTCTATTTTGCCCTTTGTGGATATCTCAAGAATGCGACTCTAAAAGAGCCATACTTTCTATTGATTGCTCTATAAGAAAATACTGCTATAACTGTAATATTTCTCTATATGGAAATGTTTTAAACTGCAATGTAAGAAAATGTTTTCAGTAATCTGAGTGTGAGAAATCATAATGAATAGTTTATTTATGGTTATGCTTCAGTCGACTTACTATGTAGGTCAGTGAGTTACTAACTCTCTTCTTTTACTGGGAGTACTGCATTCTCTGTTTATACTTCTATTCCTATTATGGAATCAGATAAATGTTCAATAAGCACTAGTAGATGATAAACAGTACGAGATGTTATCCAGTGCTGACTATCGGGTGAGTCTCAATGCAGCCACACATCAGCTACAAACTGCTCAGTTGGTGGGCTCTGTTATTCCCAGCTGTTCCATGAGGGCAGATGGCTTTGTGCCCATTCCTTCGCATATGTCTCCTATGATGTGTTTGAACGCTGTTCTGATTTTCTTTTGCAGCTTTATCTTTTTATCTAGGTCCTTAAGCATCTTTTCTTTCTCTTTTGGGTCTATGCTCTTGTTCATCTTTTTGAACTCTGCTATTCTCTCCTCTTTGATCGATATCTCTATCTCTAGATCCTCCAGCTCCAGAAGAAGTTTTTGATCTGATGGGTATTTGTTGAGCTCGTTTTTTTTGTTTTTCAGCTCTTCCACCTCTTTTTTTATTTCTGTGTTCTCTTCCTCCTTCTCCTTTATTTTCATATCCAGCTCTTCTGTTTCTACATTGTTGTCTTCTTCTGTGTGCACGGGCACGTAAATTGTTGATGCGCCTGCCTTCTTCTCTGTGATCAGGCCCTTGCTCACCAGCTGCAGAACTATCTTACGAGCTGCAAGACTAGACATAGCATACGGCCCCGTCTGGAAGTTCAGGCCTATCTCCACAGCATTCACGGGCTCATTGATTCTTCTAAGGTACTCCAGCACAGCATTCTCTTGTGCATCTTGGGTTGGTATTTCTTTGCTTTTTTCTGCTTTTGTTTTAGCGGCAGCTGCAGATGCTTTCTTTTTCACGGGCTTTGGTTCTGAATCAGCTGGAGCTTTTCTTGTTTTAGCTGCTTTTCTTGTAGATACCGTTTCCTCCTCGGATTCATTGTCATTGGGTCTATCATTGGAGCCATCTAAAGAATTGCTCTGAGAGTCTTCTTGAGCTAATTCTTCCTCTGCTGCATTGCTGTTATTTTCAGTCTCTGGGTCTTTCTCTTCTTCTGTCTCGCTCAGAACAATTTCCTGTCCTACAAACTCATTGAGCTCTGTCTCTTGGTTTTCACTGGGACTCTCCTTCTTTCTTGCTGCAGCTGCTCTTTTTCTTGGGGTTGCTGGCTCTTCCAGCTCTACTTTGTTTTCTTTTGCTTTTGCCGTGAGTGATTCTTTTCTTCTTCCTGCCATTCAATTTTTCTGAGCTGCAAAATATATTTCAAATATTATTCTCGCTCGAATAACTTAAAATGACTTAGCAGCCCATTAAATGAAGTATAGCCCGAGTATACGCTAGAACAGTCTACCTTGCCACTAACTACCACAGTGTCACCAATCTACAACAAGATTTCTTCTATCTTTAACTTTCTTCTCCTATGCTTCATATAGTTTACTATTTCTAATTAAATGTATAGCTATGACAGGATGGTTAATATACAGTACTTCTGCTATTCATTGCTCTATGTGCTAGTGCGATTAAAATTAAAAATAGTTTGAACCAAATTACCATAGAGCATAGACAGCTCATAGTGAGTAAGACTTTTTGCTCCTGCTAAAATGTCTCTATGTTTTATCCGTTTTTTCTTTTTCTTGAGTATTCTCATACTGAAGTGTGTTTTTGTTTTATTTCTGCACTTTTATTCTAAATTGCAAAGTTTTTGGCAGAAAGGTGTACCATTATAAATTAAGTACATTTTTAGTTTACTTTCACCAAATAGAATAACCGAAATAAAAATGAAAAACACTCTACAAACAGTACGAGACAGAGTCAATCAGAGCAACAGTTTGATTATACGGTAGAAACCAAAGAGAGCAAAAAGATAAAGATTAATTGGCTTACCCATTGGCTATTTAATACGTAATTTATTTTCGAATATCAAGAATAATCGGCCGAGGATCTGAGCTGCACACCAGCAGAGTGTTGTCCTTTGGCGAAAACTCTATCTGGTATATCGCAGCTCCAATGTCAAACTCTTTCACCAGCTCGTTAGACCGCACATCCCACAGCTTCACAACAGGATCCAGCCCGCCCGATGCCAAGAGCGTTCCATCCCGGGAGAAGTCCACCGTGTATATGGGCTTTTCGTGCCCTATCAGAAACCGCAGGGCTTCGTCCCTCTCCGGAGACCACAAGCCAATTGTAGCATCAAAAGACCCTGAAGCAAAGATATTCGCAGAGCTTGCAATCGAGTACACCTCTTGCGTGTGCCCTGTCAGCGTGCTCAGAGGGTCCTTCTGATTGAACTTCCAAATCTTCAGACTTTTGTCGTCTGAGCAAGAAATTATCCGCCCATTCATCTCGACTATCGAGTTTATCTCGCTCTCGTGCCCAACCAGCTTGACCACATGCGAGTCGCTTTTCTTTTGCTCTATGCACGCAAGAGTGCCATCAGCACTGCACGTTATGATGCCCTGCTCGAGGGAGAGTATGTCCATAATGGGACCTTTGTGTAGTGACCATGTCTTTACATCTACAAGCGAGTTGTTCTCTATTTTCCATTTTTTACACAGGCCATCCCAGCCCCCCGTGAGCAGCTCTTCGCCCTTCAGGGACACAGCCACAATGGGCCCTCTGTGTCCCTGCTGGGTTTTCCACTCTTTTCCGTTTTTGGTAATAAACAGATCTCCATTATGGGTAGTTCCCACCACGAGTGTGCCTTTTTTTGGGTTGCCAAAGATTGAATCCGACTCAATTGCCACCCCGGTTATACCATGGGTGTTGTTTTGGTTCATGCCCAGCTTCCACTCTCTTGTTACATTCGGGACACTCCACAGGCGCAGCAGACAGTTTTGGCTTCCTGTCACCATTTCCCCATTTGCAGCCCATGCGCAGAGACTCACGTCGCTTTCCTGCGACTCCAGATAGAGCGGGTGTATTTCAATTTCCTGTTCTATGCACATGTGCGGTGTGGATATGCTGTATTTCGAAGTGCACTTTCTTATCCCTGTGGCCATATCCGAGTGCTTTTCCACGTACTCCATTTCTATTCCTTTTATTATATAGTGTTTTAGCGCATTCTTTTGGAGCTGCGGGACTGCAGGGTTATCCTCAATCATTGTTTCGTGGCCAAACACATATGCAGAATGCGTGTATCCTTCTTCAATGAGATACCTGTACACTAGATAGTTTAGCTCTGTGCTTGTAAGTGTAATCATCCAAAAAAAATAGTAAGACTCTAGCTAAATAATTTCAAACATCGATAGTTGAAAAGAGCGCCAGCACAAAAGAAGAGCAGGAAAAGGCGAGCAGACCAGCAAAAGAGGGCAAAGAAGGCCATACGCAGCTTTTACGCGCATAAACTATTTTTATAAATTGGATGAATGCCTGGCCACTCTAGGGTCCTGCACTGCATAAAAAATTACCCCAAGAAAATGACCAAAAGCACACCCAATGCAATCCATGCAATAGAGGCGTAAATGTACATAGCTATAGAATATCCTTTGATTGGCTATACTAGCACACAGTATACACACATACTCCAATAATAGATGCTCATTTCTATCCATGGTATACAGTACATCTGCTAGTACACTGTCTACTGCATTGTTGTAATCTACCAAGTTAATTCACTAGCTGCTCTGTCTATTGACAGTGCTGCATCCTAGCATAGCTATTGCTTGTTCTTTACTGCACTTATTGCAATTATTCTGTAAACTATAATAACTACACTGTTAAAAAGATGTGCATTATTATAGAGTGTCTTAGCGCACATACAATGATGTGCATCTACCAGATCTCCAATAAATGTGAGTGAAATAGCAGCAGATAAGAGTACAGTGATCGTTTGAGATAGAGGAGGTATTTTAAGTCTTGCTAATTGTAAAATATTTATTTGTTATGAGGCTTGGAGACATACTCAGACTTATTCCAATGTCGGAATTGGTTTTCAACAAAGAAGACTTCGAGTATTACAACAAAATAACAGCCAAAGATCTATTGCTGCAGATGGTGCAGGCAGCATATCTGCTGTGCAGTGCCTACATGATATGGCTGAGCATTGGGCTGATATGCAACTCAGAGGCGCCCATTGTGGTTGTGCTGAGTGAAAGCATGTATCCTGGCTTCCACAGGGGAGACATTCTGCTACTTGCCAACTGGAGACAGGAGTACCACGCAGGAGACATCTGTGTCTTTGAGCTGGTTAAAGACGAGATCCCCATAGTCCACAGAGTCATTGACAGAAAGTATAGCAAAAACCCAATACCCGAAATAAAAAAAAGACAGAGCAAAAGCCCTGCCATCAACCACCTGCAGTACATGACCAAAGGAGATAACAACAGCGGTGACGACATGTTTTTATACAGGAAAATAAACATCGAGTACCTAGATACGAACTTCCTAAGTAATACCGTGTACGCAGCATTCCCTCTGATAGGAATGATAACTATATGGACAGGGAGCTTTTCAGGCATAAAGTACTTCATAATTCTTTTGCTGTTCATGGATGTGATGTTCACCCGAGATAACACTCTGAAGATAGAAAAGATAGAAGACGAAAATGAAGACTTAGACAAAAACAAGAAAAAAGAACAATGAAAGTTTCTAAATGTTTTTGCAAGCGAACACATGGCACGATAACTACACACAAATTATTTTCAAGATATGAAGAGTGTGACTGGTCTATGAAGGGAAGCAGATATCAATTGAAGATAATCTAGTGTAGGTGCACTGCAAGGAATAGAATGGTGTGGATATTTAAAACCTTCTTTTCAAGAAAGTGTTCTTTTTACACTCTGCAATTCGAAAAATCAATAAATAATAATAGCAGGTTCTTTACTTAAGTGCGCTGGAAATGGCTTTTTCTGAATTCCTCGGAGTAGAAGGGAAGAGGTTTTTCAGGCACAAGTGCAAGTGGTGTCTCTTCTTCTACTATGTTTCTATTCCATCCTGTCGCTGATAAAAAGCTGCTTTTTTTATCTGTGTATGCTATGACAAGCGGGTCTTTTTGTCTCATGGAGATAGTATCTCCAATGGACTCAGGTACGCATAGATGTCCTGAGCATACACCAGTTGCAAGATCGATAGAAATTACAGGAATTGCAGAAGGAATGCAGATGCCACTGTAGGTAAATACCATCCCATGCGAAAAAGGCGTTGCTGTGTGCACTATTGCAGCGATGGGGTAAGCCTCCACATCGAATGGAGAAATAAAGAAGTTTCTAGAGCTAAACAGCTGTCTAGGAGTGACAAAATACGCTGACAAGGCGCCACACACAAACCCAACTACGGGAACTAGTGGGTCAGAAATATGGATTAAATGAGCGAGTATGTCTTGTGCAATAGTGAAAGAATTAGATGATCTATCAGCAATTCCCAAATCACTATTCATTTCAACTGGAGTATTATTACAGGTGCTTCTTAAGCTAGCCATACTCTTCTGGAGCTTTTGCAGCGCATTGCCGCTATCTACCAACTGGTATCTATCTCTCCAATTAGTCATATTAGTCCAAAGCCTGGAAACTGAAGTATTGGTAAATACATTCTCATTGTGTACACTGTATACAATATCCTGCAGTACTTTATGGGCTGTTGCAGAGGGGAGAAAAAGATCGCCAGATACTCCCATCTTGCTCGCCACTGCCTGGCATATCTCCAGCATAAGCCTGTTCTCTATTTCAATCCATTCCAAGTCGCTTGCGGTTCTGCTTATCAGATCAGCTGCATCTGTCTCATATAGTACACTGTGTCTAAGTATTATGGCTAGTCTACACAGAGCAGTGTATGGCTTAGTCTCTGGCCATGCTTTATATGCATTAGTAGCAGAATTAGGCAATCTGACTATCTCCATTGCGATAGATGTCTTGATAAGGCAGTAGGATATGCCTGATTTACTTAGCAAAGAGTACTCCTTCAGCGGTGCATATATATACTGTACCTTGTGCTCTATTAATAGGTCGTACAGCCTCTTAACTATGCTATGCAGCTTAGTGCCTGACTTATACTCATACTTGAAATATTCTCCTGTGCGTATGTTTATACCAGCGGCTGCGCTGCTAGATATCTGCACAAACAATGCATTCTCATGCTTGAACATTGCCCGAGGATCCGAGACAGCCTCTTCATCCTTGCTAGAAGAATAGCCTACAGCCTTAGCTACTCTTGTTTTAAGAATGCACAAACTATTCAGACTATGTATATTATATAACAGTCCTGTGTCTATCAGGTGTGCTATCTCTGCAAGTGTGCTATCTGTTGCTTTAACCGAATATTTACACTGCTGCAGATCAGCAAGAACAACACACCCGTAGTTGCTATGGGAATAGTTAGATGCTGTGTTTATCATCTCTGTGCAGTAATAAGCGCACTCTTCTTCCACAGAGCACGAGTCAATGTTGCCCCATCGAAGACAAACAAGAACCCACGCACTGCACATAGCAGGATTTCTTACATCAAATAGCAAAGAGGGCAATGGATCATCAGATGTTCTTATGTTACTCTTTTTTATGTCTATAGATGTTATGCCGTACTGAAGTATCCCTTTCTCTAGAACATTTGCTGTTAGGGCAACTATCTCCTGTTTTATTTTCAGCCATAAGCCATCGCTGAAAATTTTAGTATAGCTTATTCTTAGAGAAGCTATCTTTCCCGTGAGCAGTATGCCTGTTGCTTCAACAGCTGATGGATGGCCTACGTTTATTCGGCCTCTGTTGATTACAGGACTCCACCACAGCATAAACATTCTGTTGGGCAGTCTGGCAGCATCACTTAGCTGTGCTCTTGTTTTACCCTCTTTTACAGTCGTGTGGCATATTACACTATTGCTGTTCGTTGGATCTAAGGCTAAAAAATCATCTTCTGTTGTAGATGGCAATACATTCCATTTTTGTCTAATTACCCTGTGGAGATTGCCTGAGTATATTTTCAGTGCATTCGATTTCTTCCTAAGAGAAATGGCAGAGTGGTTCAGTGCGTATGCATTGGTCTGGGAGAGAAAAGCTTTGTACTTTGTCCAGGGCATCCAAAAGCCATCGTGTTCTTCACTTGTCCATCTTCTATTTCCCGATGTGAAATAGTTTCTAAGTCTCCAATGTGTTTCTACGTGGTATACTTTGGGCTTGTGTATAAAGGCGCTGATTCGAGGTATTCCTGTTTCCTTTATGTTAACTCCTTCACTGTGCAGCTCTTTCACTATCGGGTGTATAGCATTGGCTCTGTGCTCAGGTGGTATTCTCTCAAGAGCCCTGAATATCTTATCGTATGCTGAGATAGACAGCTCTATCTCTTCCTTCCAAGATCTAACTGACTTAATCAGCACCAGGGATGAGAGTAGATTCAGACCGCCATGCTCTTTTCCTGCATAGAACAGAACATTTGGAAATCTTTTTTTTATTTGCGTATTTACCGTAGACATTATTCTTTTTTTGAGTTTCTCTTCTGATACTCTGATAAAGTCAATAAACTCGTCTGTCAGTGTCTCTCTAAAAAAGAGAACAGTTTGCATCAGAAGACGGTTCCATCTATCAGATATAACAAAGAAAGAAGTGCCTGCTGCATCAAAGTATATCTTCATGAAATTAGATTGAAATGTCTTCAAGCTGTTCTTTGATGACTGTAGATAAGAGCGGTCAGCAGATAATAGAATATTGAAGTCGTGCATTGGAAGTAGAGAAGGAAAGCTGTCTATTCTATGGCAGAGCACTACAGGCAGAGTAATGGTCTCTACATTACAAGAATATATGTCTGATCTCAAATCCAATTCATTCTCCTTGCAGCTTTCATGAGAGCTGAAAAAATGAACAGGCAGTTTGGCCATACATCTAGTCAAAGGATGCGCTGAGGATAAAACATTGTAAAGAGAAGACTCCAGGAGTTTACTACGTATGTAGCTATCAGCTGGTAGCTTTCCACGGGAAAAAACAGACTCAGCTGCTCCAAAGAGCTCTTCTCTATGCAGTATATAGGAAACACTTCCGCATCTGAAGTACTTAAGAACATTTTCCTTTCCGTTTTCTCTGATTCTCCTATCCATCTTCATTAGTATGCATTCTGCAAGGGAAGAGTAGAATTCCAGTCCTCTGCACACCCCTACTCGCTGGACAGTGGCTATGTCTTTGTACTCCAGTGTGCTACTAAGCCTGTTCATAATATAATCAGTAATAACAGGATCAATCTGTTCATTCAAATGACTTTTCAGAGTATTTCTACCGATTTCATCTGCTAAGTGCGAATAGTCAATAGACGTAAAGTATACTGGTGCACGCTTACCTTCTAGTGTGAATGCATTAGCCAGTACTTCTCGCATCTCTTCTGAATGTTTAGAGAGTGTGCAGGGAAGTGGCTCGCTATCGAGTGGAAGGGTGCAGTTTTGGATGTTCGTTTGTGCAAAGTGGTATGCTATAAGATGGTCCAGAAAAGAGTCACACATTCTTTCATCTACTGGATAGTGGTATGCTATCTCTTGTGCAGAGTAGTCGATGCTAATCGTTACAGAATCTTTTTTCTTTGCTATCTTCTTAAGGATAACTGCCAGAGTATTTTCTAGGACACCTTTGCATGCTGTAATACGCTCTAGCTCTTTCTTCTCTTCTTGTTTAAGATGTCTTTTATATGTACTAGCGAGTCTGTTCAGAGACGCTGCTAGAATATCCAGTAGAGTGCTGTTGTCGTATAGGGAAAGAGTAAGAACAGTTTCATGTGACTGTTCGTCTAGTGATTGTGCAATCAAGGAGTCTTTTAGTATGTTCTTCTCGCATCCTTTTTTTATTTCTTGCTCTATTGCTATTCTTTGGATCTTCTTGTTTACTATCATCGATGCTCTGAGTATCCTTGATTTGATCTTTTTTATTTCTTTCTTGTTCTTTATCTTGCACTCTGCGTGTTTGTTCCAAAGCGTAACAGTCTCTCTAGCCCAACACATTCCTCTTTCTTCTATGCCTAATATTAGGATACTCTGCAGAGAAACGACTGAATCTTCTAAGAGACCGCTAAAACTCTTTTGTGTTACTTTTGTTTTTATCTCTGCTACGTAGTCACCTTCGCTCTTCCACTGCTTCCATGCTGTTTTAAGCAGATTCACGATCAGCTGCATCTGTGCTTGGTTTATCTTTGCTACTCCTTCGATCTTTTCTACTATCTTTTTCTTAAATTGTATGTCTGCATCTGACTTTGCTCTTTGGCTTGTTACTTTTTTCTCTCTTTTTCTCCGCCCCTCTCTCCTGCGGAGTGCATACTGTTCCAGTCTCTGCACAAGCAGGGGCGATACGCCCTGAAGAAATAGAACCCACACCCGCCAGGGCTCACACCATAGAAGATCGTAACAATTTCCTGTTTGATTTTTGTAGAACTTTAGCAGCTTTGAAACCCGAGAGCTCTCAGATATCTGCCGTATGGTTGAGTACTTATACCGGTAGATGGCTGTGTGCACACCCACACACGAAAACTCTTTAAAAAGGAGCTTCATAGACTCCGCAGCTGTAAGCTCTTTTGAAGCCTTCCTCTCCAGTATGCTCACTACTCGAGAAAGAAGTTTGAACAGCTCTTTTACAATGTGGAATGTCTGCCCCATTCTACTCTTCTTTTTCTCCTTCGTTTTTAGCTCTCTTTTCCTATCTAGGTCGTATCGATCTGATACTTCCACATACCCCATCTTTCTTTCTTTTATCACATACCTCAGAAGCCTGCGGCCAACTGCCAAGTATATTTTTGCAAACTTCATCCACTCCATCGTGCTTCTATACTCTTTTTTGGGTGGTTTATATCTACTACTATTACCTGCACTCTCGTCTTTATTCCTGCTAGTATCACACGCTTTAGTGTCTTTTGCTCTTTTTTTTACTGGCTTGGACCGTCTCATATGACTATTTATTATTATTCTGGCATTTTCTCTTGGAATTATCTGCCGCTGTATACTATTATAGCACATTTCTTCACTCTTTCTGCCATCTCTCAGATTGTTTCTGGCTCTTGACTGTTGGTACATAAAAGGAAATAGATCTTCCTTTTCAGCTCTACAAGACACTTCAGCCATAGGATAGCCTTCTCTCAACTTTCTATACTCTCCCATTGTATATCTTCTCTCCTTTACACTGTATGTTGTACCTGTTCTAATGCCTTCTATAGTGTACAGCCATTTGCACACATAGTCAATGCTGTCCTCTGTGTGGAGCGACTTGCACTCCAGAACAAGGCCATCTGTGTTGTATGTGCAACTAACTGCCTTGCTCTCCTCCCAGGGCATTGGCATCGACTGGAGTAGAGACATGATGATCCTGGGAGCACAGACCAATCCATCAAGCAGAGAGTTTTCGTTCCTTCTGGGTGGATCAATAAGAATCTTCTCCAAATATTCAGTAGGAAGTGTGATAATCCCACGAACTACAGTCTCTTCACTGTCCATTTAAAATTAAAATAATTCTGTCCATTATAGCACCAGTACACATTATGAACACAATATATTTCAGAACAGTGCAAAATAATTCTAGGATAAAATCTTGTACAAGCGCACCAGATACATCATAAGAGTCTTTCGTGTCTCCACAGGCAGTCTTTGTAGTGGAAAGTCTTCAAATAAGGTCAAGCTGTATGATGTATGTTTATTGTTTTTCTTATCTCTGATATTCACATAAAACGTATTAAAGATCTCTTAAGAACAAATAGCAGTATATCAGGATGATTGAATGCATCAACCACCCATTAATTTTTGCTTTATTTCTTAGCATATTACTATACCAATATACAATTATCTATTGGTTATTAATGTGTCAAACATAAGCTAATCAGCTCAGAGTTGGAATGAGCACTATACTCCAAAATAAAAGTGTACACATAGAATCATTCACTGGTAAAGCCAATAAAAGCATTTCTATTTTTCATTTGCTCTGTTTTTCACTAAAGACACACCAGTCATTTCACCGGGCACTGGAAGACCGAGCAGCTCCAGGACAGTTGGTGCTATGCTAGCCAGTGTGCCCTCTTCATTTGGAGTGTGCGCTGCCGTACCTGAATCTCCTTTCTCAGACCCAACGGCTTCCTCGGCGATAACTACTGCAGGCACTCTGTTTGTACTGTGCGATTTCACTACTCCCTTTCCATCTGCCATTATTTCTGCGTTCCCATGGTCTGCTGTGATCACCAGACTGTACCTACACTCTTTTGCAGTTTTGAATATTTTCTCTATCTGTTTATCTACCTCTCTAACGGCTTTTACTGTGGCATCAAGAGAGCCCGTGTGCCCCACCATGTCGCAGTTGGCAAAGTTAGCCAGGATAAAGTCAGTGCCCTCTTTCATCTCTTCGCACACTGACTCTGCAATTCTCTCAGCCTGCATTTCTGGCGCTAGGTCGTGTGTTTCTACTTTTTTGCTCGGGTGGATTATTCTGCTTTCTTTTTCTCGCGTTCTGTCTTTTCCTCCATCAAAGAAGAATGTCACGTGCGCCTGCTTCTCTGTCTCTGCAATTCGTACCTGTGATAGCCCGCTCTCCTCTATCACATCGCCAAGAGTATTCTCTATCTCTGGCCGCACAAATAGCACGCGGCTGTTTTCCTGTTCATTGCACACTCTTGTCATTGAGTACACCTCAGCATGGCCTTTAAGCTTGGCGTGTATCTGCTTTATTCTGTCCACTCTGAAGTTCGTTATAATAACTGTGTCATTCTTGCATATTCTGCCAGTAATGCAGAACGGGCGTATAAACTCGTCTGTTATTCCCTCCCTGTACGACTTATCTATGTGCTCTCTTATGCGACTGTTGCACTCTTCTTTATCTAGCGAGGCATCTGTGCTCCTCCTCTCTTCACTGCACACTATTTCGTTGTATGCTTCTTCCGTTCTTTCTTCTCTTTTGTCTCTGTCCATTGAATAAAAGCGGCCTGCCACTGATGCCACCCACACATTCTCAGGAAGATCACTCACCAGAGCATCAAAGTACTTCAGATACTCGCTGGGTCTTGTGTCCCTTCCATCGGAAATCGTGTGAATGTACACTCTATCTGTGCTCTTCGATGCCATCACAGCCATGTCTCGAATGTCATGCCAGTGCCCGTGTATTCCTCCATCAGAGAGTATCCCGAGAATGTGCACAGACTTCCTGTGCTGCCTAAATAATCTGTGGGCAATCTCTTCTGCTCCGCTTTCCAGGGTTTTCCTTATTCTCACGCTGTCCTGCAGAACAACGCGCCCTGCTCCTATTGTCAAATGCCCCACCTCAGAGTTTCCCATCAGCTCATCAGAAGAGAGCCCTACGTGCGTGCCATGCGCGTACAGCAGGTAGCTACTATATCTCTTTATAAGACCATCGATGAAGAGCGCTCCAGCTGCTGAGATACCATCGACTATTTCTTCATTCTTTGTCTCATTGCACCCCCATCCATCGAGCACCACAAGACAGCACTTTTTTTGCATTTCCAATGTAAACCTTTTCTCTATATAATTTAATATAATTAATGTACTTAATGAAAATATTTGTATTAGGATATGTTAGTTATAAATCTAGCGCCCATCGACCAGTCGGGCCGCAGCTTATCAATAGCCCAATATCTCAAGAAAAACAAGCACATTGTGCAACTCATTTCCTACAAAGGATCAAGAAACCACACGCTATCTACCTCGCAAAGTAGAATGTCTATTTCATACATAAAGAACATTAAAACACAAAACAAGCCTTTTTTATGTAGACCAGTGCTTCTTTTTATTAAGTTAGTGTACATCACAACGATGAGCATACTCTATCTAGTCAGATACAAGCTCTCTCTCCACGCGAATGACGAGGAGAAGTGTTCTACGCTGTGCAAGTTCTACAGCAAAGGAGGAACTGTGATATTTGTGGTGCCTCCTACGACGACTGTCTTACTGCCCATGCTGCTTGCAAAACTTCTTCGCATTCGAGTGATCATAGACTGGCACAGAATAAACACGGGATTCATGGAGATATTCGACAGACACCTGGCATCCACAGTGGACAACATCACTGTGACGCAGGAGATGCAGAAATACTTCATGAGCTTTGGAATTAAAAAGCCATTTCTGCTGAGCGACATGAAGCTCCGGAAGATTCTGAGCAAGAAAGCCATGGGGACAAAGAGGAAGCTCAGCAGGAAGCAGTTCATAGACTATTTGTCAAGCAAGTACGCAGAGTACAAAGATAGGCTCGCAAACATCCCGAAGTTCCAGCAAATAGGAATATGCAGCACAAGTTTTTCGGACGAGGAAAAAATACACCAGCTGCTGGAAGACCTAAAAGACCTCAACATACCGCAGGGCGGAGTGCTTTTCATCACCACAAAGCAAGAGATTGTGTGCCAGCACGAGAACCTGCAGATAATACAGGTGTTTCTGGACTACGAGGACTACCAGAGCCTCCTGGAGATAGCAGACTTTGGAATATCAACACACCAGTGCCGGCTTGACTTTCCGCTGAAGATAGTAGACTATTTGGAAAAGGGCCTCACAGTGCTGGCGCACAACAGCACGCCGAACCTCAAATCTAAACAAAAAAACGAGAAGATCATCCGGTACAAGAACAACAAGAATCTGACGCAATACCTGCAGAAGATATACGCAAACAAGTCAAGCAAGGATGATGGGTGTTTTTTAAATAAGATAGAATAAAAACCAATAGACATAAAAGTATTTTTATTGCCGGCTAGTGGTATACTTAAGAAGAAGACTGATTGCACTTTTTATTTTGTATTCTGTGAGATAATTGATATATGCAGACAGCTCCTATGTGGATAGATGAGCAAGACAGAAGAAGGGTAAAAAGATAAAAGTAGATGAGTCTGCAACAGTTGTAAAAGTTATAATAAGTACTTCAGGGTTTATTTACTCCATTTTGAATATTTACAGAAGATCAGTTTGCTGTGCGCAAAGTATCCTATACACTATTTACAAATGGTGTGTATCTGGGATACATGCATGCAAAGACTTAGGGCTTACACTGACCTTAATGGAAGTGTCTGATGACAGTGCAGTGGTGCACATGAGCTGGTTTATTTTTCCTAGTTATATATTTACAATAGTGGGAGCAGAAAATAAAAGAGTTTGTGAGTGCTAGCACAGAGAATAGACTATTTGTCGGGCAGGAGAGATGTATCTATTAACAGACTCTCTTTTTCAGAAGCATCAAATTCATCTGAGTGTGGTGGATGTCTCAGCTTTTCCTTTCTATTTTTCAATAAAAAACCATCCAATACGTCTTCAGAGTCACTCAATACTAACAGACTAGCTTCTTCTTTGTGGTCATCTGGTAGTGTTCTCACTTCTTCTTTTGCAGAAATATGCACTACTTTCTCTGCAGAGTCAACTGTTTTACTTAGTTCTGATGGATTATAGTCCTTACTAGGTTCAGCAGATGATTCATTTGATAGATTTATAGACGAAACACTGGTAGATGGTGAATCTAGCAACTTGGGGCTAGAACTACTGCTTTCTTCATGTGCTACACCCTCTTCTGTGTCGCTTAAATCCAAAAGATTAAATTCAGTGTCATTTTCTTTATTTTCCTCGATGTTAGTATTTTTTCCCTCTATTCCCTCTTGTATAGTTTTACTAGAAATAGACCCGTTTTTATCCTGGGGCGGATTGCTGTCAGATGGATCAGATAATTCATCAGCGGGGCTCTCTTTAGGGACTGCTGGATCATTCTTATTCTCTTTGGTACTATCATCTAGATTAGTAGAATCTATCCTATCATCTTCATTTTCACCTTCATCTACTACATATTGATATAAATGCCCATAGTTAGCCAGGTCTTCAGGGCTTACAGAGTGCTGTATATACCTGTAATCATATGGCTCATTTATATCTTGCTGTTCGTATTCACCCTGCCCACTAGTGGGTAGATAGTAGTTAGTATTGTATATAAAGAATGGGCCTTGGTGCTCATAATCAGAAAAAGTATTTATGTTCTCTGGGTGTTTATCGTACTGATCATTGGGGTGAGTGTTTGTGTAGTTCTCTGGAATGCTACCATGCAAATAGTATAGCTCTTGGTAGGGGTGGTTATATAGATCAGTAGGCTCTTCTGGATATTCTGCTAGTTCTTCACATGCATTGCCAGCCATTCGCAAATAATGCTCCTTCTGTGGTATTAATTCTGGATGATTTATGCTAGGATGATTGTATCTATATGCATTCTCTTGGTTCATACGATCACTCTGCAATAGTTTCCCTTCTTTTTCTCCATAGTGCATATAATCAGACTGCAAGGATGCTGTTGCAACCCCATCTTCATTTAAGGAAGCGTGTGCAGAGTGATTTTCTGATCTATCACCAGGTGGTTTTTTAAAGAACGCAAATAGTGGTTTTATCGCTGGGCTGACCAGTGGGCCAATAAACGGAAGACTTGCCAGCTCGCATGAGTATTTTACTAGGTTAGCCACTGCTATCGTAGCAAATGATATGAAACAGCTTTCAAAGGCATACGATCCAATCACAAATCCAACTAGATTGATCACAAGGGCCAGTGCGTTGCTTGTTATAATCAGATAGAGCAGAAAAGCGTGTAGAGTTATCAGTAGTATTTGTATAGATAGTTTCTTTTTGCACTCCATAGTATCTGGGAAATATTCTGGGTATTTATCTTTTTGTTGCCGGGAAAAGGTCCGCCCTTTTATTTCCTTATCTTGCGTGCTAATCTAATCATTCTGCTTTATCTGTGCAGAAGATGCATGCATCTCTTCTCTAGAAAGTGTCTAGATAGCCATCCTTTACTGTTCTACATGCATGACATGTTCTTATCAAGTATTGTTGTTTTGGGCTATATTTAGAGTGCGCTGGAGATAAGAGTGTGTCTGATTTTTATTAAAAACACTGTGTCCAAATATTGTGTTTTCGCTAAAAATAAAAAAGTAAATTCTTTGTTCCCCATGCAGAATTCTGAAACTCAAAAGAATATTCCGCAACTGAAGCTATCCTCCGAGCATTCGTACATTTATGTAATAAAAAGACTTATTTCGATAGAGATAGAAATAACGCAGGAGACAGACACAATACTCGCCGACGCAGATGGAAAAAAGATTAAAGGGCCTGCAAAGTGTGTTACCCATCTCTTCAGTGATAAGAACCTAGATGAGAAAACCATCACAAGCATCTCCAACGTGATAGGACTAAGGCCCCAGCAAATGCTCGCATACGTAGCCAGCGGCCCTGAAGAAAGAATCGACAATCTTTTGGCAATTTCCAAAATAAGAAAGTGGCTGTTCGAAGGGCAGATAACAAACAAAGTAGCAGACCACTTGGTTGACAAGCTGATAGAAGTGCACGACAGATACCAAGAAACATACTGCAGAGAAACAGGAGAAATATTCATACACAGAGACCTAGTCAGACCGGTGGCTGACTTCTACAAGCTAGTGATACTTTCTGGGCACATTGAGTCGATAATGGACCACCCCGAGGCAGACACTCTTTTCATAGAGAACGTTGATTTTAAAACAGAAAAGAGAACTATCGTAAGCGGACTGAAAGGAAAATTTGAAAAGAACAAACTGACAAACTCCTGCTGTCTATTTGTTCTGAATCTCAAGCCCGTCAGCTTCAAAGGCACAAAGTCCTTTGGCATGATTTTATTTGGAAAAGACGCAGAAAGCGAAGCGAATGGAACCGTTATTTTCACAAAATCAAATGGAAACAGGCTGGGACTGGCAGAGTATCCTCTGGAAAAGCTTGTGCAGGTTCCTGTGAAGGTAGGCGATGCCTCAAAAAGAGCACAAGAGTCTTTCTTTATGCGCCTGGCAATAAAAGACGGAAAGCTGGTGTACAATGATTTAGAAACTGAGATAGAAGGAAAAGCTGTTCTAGTTCCCGAAATAACAAATGGAACAATCTCATAAGAGCGCAATAGACCGAGCTTTCTTGCTTATAAATAAATTCTAAGATAAACTATCTGCCATCTGCTCTCCAGTCTTCTATTCTTGTGCTATATTTATTCATCTAATCCATGCAAAAACAATCTTGCTACTCGTAAGCTGTCTGTAACTCACCTGCAATTCGAGAAGTAAAGAAGTATTTCCAATTTATGAATGTTCTCGGGTTGTGTTCTCGGATAGATGGCATGCTATCAGACAGTGCAGGACAGCCTCTTGATTCAACGAACATTCGGTGATAATAATATTCTATTTGATGATTTATTGTAAAATATAAACGTAGATTGCTTTATATCTGGAGGGCATCAATCCATGCTCTCTTCTCGTCATCTCCTAATTGCGCAGTTGGCGTTGTCTTGAACAAGCTATCTATGACAACTATTTCGGTGCTTGTTGTCTTTGCTCCCACAAAACAGGCAAAATCGTTGATCACCAGCCCTGAGCCTATTACATCCGATCCTTTGTTGACTGTTCCTGGCACTATCCTTATGTTCAGCAGCTCAGACAGCTCAGCTACTTCTTCTGCCGAGGTTTTTGAGCTCACCATCATTGCAGTGTTGTTCATGGCGGCATACGAGCCAACAAGGCCGTTCTCAGCTAGCGCGTACTTGAACACATCCACGCCAAGAACATCAGTGATGAACTCCACAGTCTCAGAAGAGACATCTGGGTGGACAAGAGCAGAGTTGTCATTGCACACTATTACATTTCCAAGGGCGTTTAGTCTTTCCTCGATTCTTCTGACTCTGATCTTCTCTGGCAGCGAGTTTCTGAGGTGCTGCAGCTCCTGGTCTGTTGTGGTGGAAGAAACGAGAAGTCCTTTTGAATTTCCAACAGTCTGTGTGCCAGCCATTTTAATGCCGTTTATTGTGGTCTGTATCACTGGGATATCCAGCACTTCTTCAAAAGCAGACACAAAGTTAGTGCTGTCTGTGGCAGCGACTAGAGCATACATGTTGGTCATCCGCACGTAGGTGCCTATTTCTTGGGAGCTCTCAAAGCTTATTCTTTGACTCATAAAAAATTTTATTCTAACTCATCCTATATAGGCCAAATAGCCCAAAAGATGCTCCACTCTCGCAAATAGAGAGAAAAAGAGGTAGGAGAAGGATCAGTGCGGTAGAGCACAAAGAGCCATCTTATTACTATAGTAGGGATAGTAAACACCAGCTGTTTCCATCTTGGTATCTCCATCTTCAATAAAATGATAATTACTCTTAAGAATATCTTCCTCTGCTATTCTCTATCAATGTGTATTCATATACAAGAACTAGTACTGTCTACTAGCGAAGTAATGCTTGCTCCATCAATGATCAACACAGAATATAAATAAGTCTCAAGATGATAATGATGAGCTGTGGCGTGTATGCAGTTGCATTTATTCTCAGCTAGAAACAACTTAATATTAGCTTAGCAGAGATATTGCTATTCACTGCGCAAATTAATTGTAGCTTTTCATATTGCGCTGGACTGAAAGCTTTCAATTTTATGCAATTTCTAGAAAAAGACCACTGTAAAATTTTTAGCAGAACACTGATCAATAAACCAAACACAAACACACTCACACATTGTATTTTACTTTGAACATTTATTATTAGCATGGCACCTTCCTCTACTTTCTATAGTACTCATAAAACTTGTACAGCTCTGCCTTAATTGTCTCTACATCCTTTATAGATACTATCTCATGCTGTGTAAATATAACGGTCTGCAGAAATAGCATAGATCTAAACACGTAGTCTACCATTGCAGGCTTGCTGATGTTTTCACTCTCCAGGCCCTCTTCCAAAGCATCTACGTCAAAACACTTAGCACAAATTGCTTTTCTATCTATTTCCTTTCTATCTTCTGTGATCTTATCATTTTTCCCACTGCTCCCATGCGCATCGCACACTATTTTCCCATTGAGCACCGACCGAAGCCTCTCCAGCAAGTATTTAAACTCGCTCATCCACCGGGCTTTATCGCGCGGCGACTTTTTCTTCGGGTAGTCGTGGAACTCTAGCGCATAGTACTCCCGCATCATGTCTGAAATGGGCGGCTGGCTGTTTTCCTTCACTTTCTCCTGCGCCTTCTCCTCTGCTTCGTTCTCCTGCTTTGTGATTTCCTCCAGCTCTTTATTTCTGCTCTCCAGGCACGACAGTTTCTCCTGCGTCCATCTAAAGAACTTTTCAAAGGCCGCATTGTCAACTGCTGAAACTGACACTCCGTAGTTGGAAAGCTCTAAAAACGAAAGAATCTCTTCTAGCTCCTGCTCCTTAGTGGCGAGTGCATCGGGGTATCCATCCATTGATATGTCTCCGTCATCCACTGCCTGCGGGTGCAGGTCTATGGGCGTGAATGTCTCTGGCTTAGGCCCTGGCAGCTCCAAGTGCGGTGGGAGATTGCTCAGTGTGGATAAGTGCAGAAGAGTATTTGACAGAGGATTTGGCGTCTTGATCCCCCACACGCTGGAAATGCTCGTCTCTCCCATGCCTGCTATTTCCGGGGCCAGCTCAAGCTCTGATCTGCTCAAATACTCGTCGCTCTCTTCTTCTGATGTTTCTATGCTGTCGTATCCGTAGATCATTCTCTCTATTATTTTGCTCTTTTCTTCCTTCTTTTTCTCTATGAGCAGCTCTATTTCGTGCGCCCGTTTCTTTTTAAAATAATCTTTAACAGATTCTGCGGTGCCTCGGTTTTTAAAATATTCTTTGACCATTTTGTTGTACTCGTTCTTCCAATTATTCGAAGTCACTTTTGCATATACCTTAAGATATGCAGCAATAAACGAAGTCTTTTTTAGGCCGTATCTTGCTATTGCGTTTAACAGATGGAGGCGTGTTGTTGTCGTCCACATTGCAGTTCGAAAAAATTTTGCGCGGATACTTTATAGCTTAATAATAGAAATGCAATCTAAATACGGAAAGATTAAAATACTTATCACTTTAATGTCTTAATTGTCTATTGAATTTGGAAAGTTCCGAGATTCAACTCTTCTAAAGATGAAAAACTTTTAGAAAATACAATGCACATTTTGCAAGAGACAGCAGTTGGATACGCACTCTTTAAAAGTATGCCGCTAGAGATGGAAGGGATAAGAAGATTCAAGGACTCAAAGGACGCTGTGGATTCTGTCGAAGGATCTGCGCTGGGCCGCGTTCCAGAAGATCTTATTCAGCTGATTATGGAAAAGGGGATAAAGACTCTTGGGCTGTCAAATTCAAAGCTTGCAGAGCCAATAGAAGAAGAGCTGAAAAAAAAGGGATACCAGATAAAAATAGCCTCAGGCGAAGAAGTTGAAGAGAAAACAAAGGAAATACACAGCAGGCTGCCAGAGCTGCTGGATGTCTCAGAGAAAGAGCTCAGCAGATCTTCCCTGCTCTTGGCGCATGCCCTGTGCAGAGAAAAGCTCAAGATGACTCCGCTAAAAAATGATATGGTCATCGTTCAGGCGATCAAAGTCATTGACAGACTGGACAAAGACATCAACAACAAGTGCATGAGAATAAGAGAGTGGTACGGAATGCACTTCCCAGAGATAGGAGAGCTGATTGAGGACAACCAAAAGTATCTTGAAATAGTAAAGAAGCACGCAGAGTCCCCTGAGTCCCTGGCTGAGGACAGCAGTGTGCCTGAGGAGATAAAAGAGTGCCTGGAAAAGACAATAGGAGGAGACATCGCCAAAGAAGACAGTGATCTCATACAAGAGTCAGCTGCCACCGTACTGGACATGTATGCAGCACGAGAGAAACTGCACGAGCACTTATACAGCAGAATGGAGAGTGTTGCGCCAAATGTCCTGGAGCTGCTAGGAGCTCTCCTCGGGGCAAGGATCATAGCCCATGCAGGATCGCTCTCTGAGCTCTCAAGAAAGCCTGCATCCACCATTCAGATGATGGGAGCAGAGAAAGCCCTTTTCAAAGCTATGAAAGAGAAGAAAAACACTCCAAAGTATGGGATAGTGTACAACTCAACGTACGTGGGGCAGGTGCCTGCAGAGATCAAAGGACAGGTTGCCAGAACACTCGCTTCAAAGATAGCAATTGCCAGCAGGTGCGATGCGTCTGGAGAGGAAGAGAAAGGAGACTACGGCGTAAAGGCAAGAGAAGAGATAGAGAAAAGAATAGCTGCACTGACACAGAAAAAGACCAAGTCAAAGAGCATGCAGCCCCCACAGGGCAACAAGTTCGTGATGAAGAGGCCATCAACTGCCCAGCAATCTTTCAAACGACAAAAGACCAACAAATAAACACTAACTAAGCACTAATCCCTTTTATCATCACTTGTTTATTACTGATGCTAGTTAGAGTTATGCATATTTTTACTATCAATCTTTCTAAATTTAGAACAGTACGAGAATATCGATCTGATAGTTTTTATGGTATTGCTGGCTCACATTTATTTTTATACTGCTATACTAGAGATGCTTAGAACATTTCTAAAGGTAAAATATTCTTTATATGAGGAATGCAGGAGCACTGTTAAATTTTGTTCAAACCATTAGAGAGTGTTCTATCTGTGTGCATTCTCGGGTTATTCATAGTGAAATATTACAGCTATTTATCTTCCCATGCCAATCAAAGTCTTCTGCTCTTTTAGTGCGATCTGAGAATAAAGTTTGAACAGCCAGCATTGAATGCAATAAAAATTTATAGCTAAAATTTATTTATTATTTCTTTTCTGTACATATTACAATTAAAACTACTCTTTACTAAATAGTGCAAGTTAAAAAGTTAAACACTACTGCACGCAAAAAGAGAAATAGCCAGTGAATCTACACTAATACACTCTAAATAAACATTCTTATTTGCACGTACCACATTGATATACAACAAGAATATAACCCGAGAATAGAGACAGATAGATAGTGCAGTTAGCAAATAAATACAGGGATATATTACAATTAGACTTTATTACTTATTCTGGCGGTAGCACTATTTTCTCTATTTTTATGCCTGTGCTCTGGCACACCAGCGCATACTTGTGCAAATCGTTCACTTCTGTTTTTATGCACTGTATCAGCCCATCATACTTTAGCTCTTTAACTGTATTTGCTTCAAGATTAATGATGGAGTCGAAATATCCGTAGTTAAAACCGTCTAGCAGATAGACGGGAATGGATACCATGCACACTGCTCTGCTTTTTCTAACTGTTTTCCTGAGATGAAACAAAAAGTCGTTTATTTCCTGCTCGCTCGCCTGCCAAAGAGGAGAGAAGAGAGAGCTCAGCGATATTCTTGTGTTTGAAGTTGCTGTGCTATCCAAATACTCAGATATCTCTGATAAACTCTTATCTAAAATATTTTTAACCTCGTTTTCTTTCGGATGCCTGCTTTTAAAGTTGTACTTCTTAGCGGTGGAGAGAGAGCCCGTGGAGATATTTACAGTGTTGACGGTGCGGGACATTGTCTTGTACCGCCATGCAATCTTTTCAGCGCTTGACTGAGCTTCTTCTGCCTTCTGCATTTGTCTTCCTGGAACGGAAAGTATGGGATTGTCCAGTGATGAGTGCACGGTTACTTCATCATCCTCCAGTCCTTGTGCAATAAAGACTCTGTGCACTCCCAAATGGTACTTTACGTTCTCCTGCTGCACGAGCAGAAGAATTTCTCCGTTTCTAATGCCTCCTCCCAGAAGAGAGTCCATCTCTTCGATTCCTGTGCTCTTTTTTTCTTTCTCTTCTTTTATATGCCGTTTAAACATTGAAGCCCAAAGTATTTTAGATGGAAAATTTATAAAATATTTCATGCACATCGAATTTAAGGACTACAGAGAATCATTGCCGTCTGCAGTAAGGCTCCCAAAGCTTGATTATACGTACGAGGAAGTGTCTAGTGTGATGATAACCGAGATGCTTGATCTGCACTACTCCAAGCTCCACCAGGGATACATCGACAGATACAACAAGGCACAAAGCAGCATGAATCTAACACAGCTGATATACACTCCAGAAAAAGAAGAAGAAAAAGCCCTTCTGTTCAACCTAGGAGGCTTCTTAAACCATTCCCTCTTTTGGAAGTCTTTTAACCCAAATAAAGAAACACACATTCTCTCAGATAAGCTAGAACATCTCATTAAAAAATCGTTCCAAAAGGATCTCTGCGAGGAGATCGTTGACATGCTGCCAAAGATCAGAGGAAGCGGATGGATATGGCTTACATACTGCAAGGCAACAGACCTCCTGCAGCTGGAGATAACGATGAACCAAGACTTTCCAAACACTCCCATACTTCTGAACATTGATCTGTGGGAGCATGCTTACCTAATTCAGTACAAAGTCGACAAAGTCCAGTATATAACATCCCTGTACTCCATTCTCAATTGGAAGTTTGCATCGGAGAGACTGGACAGAATATTAAATGAATAAAAAATTACTTTATTTACGATGGACATGGATTTACTATTTGCCTGCAGAGAGGCTTATTTTGAAGAAAGCACAATTTTACTCGCTGAGTACGTGTTCAAGCAGAACCAAACACCTGAAAACTTTTTGATCCTTCTTACCTCGCTCGTTGCTACATCCAAGCACGAAGCAGTAAAATGGCTCGTGAACAGAAGACGAGAATACTTCCGATACGGTGAGGTGCAGAGGCTGTACATTGAAGCGATGAAAAGACTTGGAGAGATCTCTGAGATAGATCAGTTCCAGATGACCGATGAAAAAATACCTCGAACACACAAAACATCCTGGACACCCATCAGCCCAGCTTCACTGAACAGCTACTACCAGGCACTCGTGCAGAAGGGAAGCGAGAAGAAAAGAAGGGAGTGTCTGGAGGCAGCAATAAAGCACGATGAAAGAAACCTTGAGGCATACATCTACGTGGGAATGAACAAGTCCTTTAGTGAGCTGCCTGGGTACATCGATGCAATAAAAGACTCTGAGCTAAAGACTCTGTTTGGCCAGATACTCACAGAGCCCCGAGGTAACTTCTCTCTTTTCTCTCGGTCATTTTACTCGCCTTTTTCCTGCTGCAGAATAGCCAAGAGGCTTTTTAATGACCGACAGACCAGTGAAATATTCCAAATAGCACAGTACATGGCAGCAGTGTATCCATCACACTACTTTACATACGTAGCCACAGGGATGTATTACATTCTAGTGGGAAAGCACTCTGATGCCAAAAGATCTCTTTTCAAGGCGCTGCAGCTAAATAACACCTTTGGAATGGGGTGGATACTGCTTGGGTACTGCCAGGCATTCCTGTGCGAGGGAGGCAATGCCATCTCCTGCTACGAGAAGGCTGAAGTGCTTATGGAGGAGAACTACACACCATCACTGGGAATAGCGCTGGAGTATCACAGAATGAGGAGCTACAAAAAAGCAGAGAAAAAGTATCTGGAAATACAGAGTAGATACGGCCTTGATTTCTGCTTCAATGCGTACGTCTCGCTTCTTGTTGTCCAGGAGAGACACGAAGAGGCTCTAAGCCTCGTACAGGGCAGAGAGTATTCCGGGGAGAAGGCTCTGCTAAAGAGCGTATGCCACTTGTTTATGAATGATCCCGTAAAGGCAGAGGATGCGCTGACTAGCATAAATATTTCATACCACAGCCAAACACGAAGCAAATACTATCTCCTACTGGGATATATTCGGCACATAAACAAGAATTACTGCGATGCAATCGAGCTGTATCAAAGAGCTATTTTGGACCCTGGGAAGCCAGTGGGCAGTCTAGTCAATGACTTGCTTGAGTTGGCAATAAAAAACTCGCTGGAGGAGGACAACAAAAAGCTCATTACGCAGTACAGAGAGGACGTATTTGACTTTCTGGATCTTAAATCAGACCTGCCACTTGTCCTGTGATGTATCATTTATAAATTATTGTGTAATTTACTCAGTTTTACTTTGATTCTGTATATGATTTGCTGTAGCACTTGATCTTCCATCTTTCTCGGGTTATATCACAAGTTTACATATTCTCGGGTTATGTCTATGTATGCACTGCTTTTCTTAGGCCGTACTTTAATGTTCTATATTTATACAGAGTGTCTATGTGCATTTATAAATGAAAGGATGATTTTTTTTGGATGAAAAAAAGTCTCTTCGTGGTCATAGAGGGAATAGACAGAAGCGGAAAATCTTCTCTGGCGCGCACATTAAAGAACACGCTGACTGAAAAAGGGTATAGAGTGCATCTGATAAGCTTTCCCAACAGAGAGAACCAAACAGGAAAATTGATATCAAGCGTTCTCAGTGGAGAGAAAGTGCTCGAAAAAGAGGCAATGCATCTTCTTTTTTCAGCCAACCGCTGGGAAGACAAGAGCATAATTGAGACACTGCTCAGCAGAAACGAGAATGCTGGCTGCAATGCCACTCCATCTGTTATTCTATGCGATAGATACATTCTATCGGGCGTGTCATACTCCATGGCCAACGGCCTGTCAGAGAAGTTTTCATTTGCTTCTGATAAAGGCATGATCGAGCCTGATCTTACTTTGTTTCTAAATGTGTCTCCTGAGACAGCAGAGAAAAGAGCGGGATTTGGAGTAGAGCTGTATGAAAGAAGAGAGCTCCAAGAGAAGGTCTATGTGGCAATGAAGAAGCTCCTCGAGAAGTATGAGCACAAGCTCATTCCATCAAAGTCACAAGAAGAGATGCATGCCATATCACTGGACTACATCTTAGATCTGCTGAAATAGTCCATAGACATGGTTTGTGGTGCTTGGCTAGGATGTAAACTGTGAATAAATTGAATTTATATGTTTGAACTGTATCTCCCTGTTGCATGCTAGTTTACCATCCAGTATCTGTTCTCTGTGCTATTTTCAGGTTATTTTTCTGATTAGAATGCTAGTTGGTTCTTGAGATACAACTATAGCACTTGCTGCATAAAAAGTAACTTTTAAGTGGTAATTAGAAGTTGAAGTAGCTGCAATCAAAAGACACACAGTTAAGTATTTTGACTGTACTGAGAAATGGTGTTTAAACCTAAAGACACTTGCAGCCCTGTAGCTATGAAATTGTTTTGTTCTCGGCTATGTTCTGTGGTGTTTTTGCCCTTCCAATAAGATATTTAAATTATTTGCATTGGTGTGGTAATGAAAATACAGCTGGAAAGCGTGGAAGAGTTTGAAAACATTTTCAAGGAAATACTCAGCACAGAAGAGAACGCGAAGAACACACAAGATGAGCTTGATGTGCTGATGCATATAAAGAATCTGTTCTTGAAGAATGTAGAAATAGGAGGAGAAGAGCTGAACATCGGGCAAGTCACACAGGAGAAAGTGGAGAGGAAAAAAGAGCATGCCAAGATAGTGGCAATGGTTGAGGAGGCAGAGAGAAACAAAATGGACTCACTAAAAACACTTTGTAAACTAAGAAGAGAGCTTCCTCTCGCCCTAAAGGAAGAGATAGAAAGCGAATACCAAACACTAAAAAAACAACTTCAGCAAGCATCCTCAGTCCTTCCCTTTTCTCCCCCCAGCCCAGCACCAGATGAAGATATATCCAGAATAAAACATACAGTTGAAGAGCTGTCAGAAAGATGGCCTGTTGTAATATCTCAAATAAAAGAGCAGATGGCCTGTGTAGAGAAAGAGGTAAAAGAAAGAATAGACCAAAAGGGGCGAGATATTGAGACAGAGGCACTTTCTTTGCTCTTCAAAGACGAGCTAGAGCTGCCTGACAATTAAATACTTGTGCATCCAACCCTTTAATAAAACTGTTTATTTAACTAAATTACTACTATGTTTCTTCTCGGGTTATTCTCTGATTATTCTCGGGTTATTTTCTTCTCAATTTATTCTCTGAGAATTATAACTCAAGTGATCTATCAATGATCTGTCCATAACTATGACCTGCCCTTGTACTATTTTTGTATTATTCTGAGGTATATAATAGTTTACTGAATGCTCTCGGATTATGAGTATTTCTGATTTTATTTTTCTTGTTCCTCTTTGCAACATAACCCTGCAGAGCGGGTTTGTATTCGGGGTGCAATAATATTTTGCGTGCAAAGACTCTCCACCGCATGAAATCCTGAGACAGCATGCAGACTATGCCCTTGGCGGCACCCGGGCGATTTTGTTGCTCTTCACTAAACTTTTGTACTTATCTACTATCTGCTCTTTTGTCACGTTTTCAAAGTTGCACTTTTCCAGCACTACATCCCAGGCTCTTCCATACACATTTATGGCATTTATCAGCACTGCTGTTTCTGCAGGCAGCCAATTCTTCTTCTTCTTTCTTGTTTTTTTAATGTTCTCTTTGAAGGACTGGTCCAATGCTCTGTTTTCTTGTGCTGCCAAGCTCTCTGCGTGCGATACAGCGCTCTTGTTCTTTTCCGCTTTTTCATCAATTTCACTTTCATTCCACTCTACTTCTACGCCCTTTATGTTTGAATTGAGCAGAGAATCAATCTTTATCGATTTGTACTTTTCTGCAAATTCTTTTCTGGCTAGGTCTCTCTTTCTTCTTCTTTCCAGCTCTGTGTCTATGCGAGAAGCCTGCTTATACTCCTCAAATTCAGCTGCACTTTTACCACTCCACAGCATCTTATCCGTGCCCATCACTATCTCTCTGAAGTTTACAACCTCTTCAACAGTCTCTTCAACTGGACTTGGCTGGCCCATTGTTGCCAGGAGGGGAACTCCCAGTCCATCGTATATTCGCACAGTTTCTTGTAGTAGCTGTTCTTTGAACTCTTCAAAATACTTCTGTCTAACCTCTTTTTCTGCAAGCACATCTTTTGTGTTTGATGTTTCTATTATTTCTGCTATCATTTTATCGCACTCTTCGGTGTTCAACGATGAATACCTTGCCCACTCTCTGTCCTTTGTATTCTCCAGCAGTATCTTGTGTCCCCATATAATCACTCTTTTTATGGGAGTGTTTCTGCCTTCTGGCATGCTTTTCAGATAGTCAAAAACCTTGTAGAACTTTCTGTTCGCGTCTGGAGCAAAAAAGTTCAGCAGAATGTTGTTGTGAATTAAAAACAGAACGTATTTCAAAACGGTCTCCTCTTCCAGCTCGCATCCTTTTGACTCCAGTTTGGACTTTAGACTGGAGATTAGCGATGCAAAGTAGGGCGAATTTGAGCGGTAGGGTGCTTCTTGGCTGCTTTGCATGTTTTTATCTGAGCTGTGCAGCGCTGTCTTTCTATCCAATGGATTCTTTTCTATTGCAAGCTCTATATACACGTACAGAATATAGTCTATATAGTACATTCCTTTAAGACATTCCATTGCATATAAAAAAATTCTAAATTATATTATTGCCGTACAGTTGTTTTAATCACAGAGCTCCAATGGCATTTACAGTAAATAATGAAAATAGTATTCTCTCTTTATTGCCATTACACAACTCTTTTATGGTTTATTTCTCTTTATTCTGCAGTCTCTGATCTACTTTTTTCACCTATGAACAACAGAGATAGCCCGAGAATATTTGCTGCAAAATATTTTAGCTTATTTAAGCTGTTCAGGTGCTGGCCGTGTTTATATTTGCAGTGTGCACAGGATACATTTACTACTCTCATGTTATATCTAGTTGTTTTGAATGTACTTGTGCACTTGGATCGCGTCACATCTGTTTTAGCTTTACATATTCATTTTTTATGAGCAATAATTTGCTGTTTATTTGGGCATACAGCTGCACCTGTTTGTCTCTCTCCTGGAGATCATTCTGCTGTGAGTAGCACAGATTCAGCAGCCCGCCTATCTCTTGTTCTACTGCATACAGCACCCCTTTGAACTCCTGGGTTATTCTCTTCAGATCTGCTATGCTCTCATCTTGCAGCACTTCTCTTTCCATTCTCGGATTGCTGCGGATCTCCCGTCTTAGCATGTCTATTCTCTCGCTGAGCACGCCTATTATTTCAGTTGAAAGAGATCTGTTGGAGTTTAAAATGTTTTCTTTTAATATTCTATTTTCCTCTCTCGTCTGCTGCAGCTCTTCTTCCAGGCATATCACCTGCTCTATAAGGCTGTTTACTCTGTTATCTTCGCTTCTTTCATCTGATATTCCATCCATGCTAAAAAATTGTATAAATTAATATTTTTATAGCTGTAGCCACGACTGTTCATTTCTAGATTCCGTCTTTATCTGCACTAGGATCTCACCCACTGATTATTCTCGGTCTGTTCTCGTCTATGCCATCAGAATCATTCTTGGGCTATCCTCAATGTATCTTCAAATTAGATGGCTAGAGCTATGATAACAGCTAGAGAAACATTTATTCACTGCATAGCTTATTCTCGGGTTATTCTATGATTGCAAAGACGCAATAGAGAAGATGGGTGCGAAAATATCCAAGGATGCATGCAGTTAATGACAGTTGGCAGTAGTAAAATAAGAAGATTGCTAATTAGAGTTTATTTCAGATATTCTCATCATCCCTTCAGAGGCTTTGTCTTAGCTAGCGACAGAGTGATTTTTTTGTTCCCTAGCTTGAGAGTTTCGCTCACTGCTTCTGGCATCTCTGCACTCACTATGTGCGTATTTGCATCGCACACAATCTCTGATCTATCGATTCCAACGGCATAAAGAGAGGCCTTGTCTGCAATGCACAGCTCAGCCTTCTTTCGCAGCTTCTGCACTGCGCTCTTCACTTCCCTTCGTATCCACAGGGTTTCTATCTCCTCGTCTCTTTCTGTTTCCAAAATAAGATAGATAAGGTCTGACGCAGAGGCTCCCTTCTGTGTTTCCGGTAGGTTGACTGCTTCTCTTCTGTAGATAACTTCTTCTCTTGTTATTTCCATGCCCTCGCACACCGCCTTTCCTTCCTCTAAGAGTGTTGTTATTGCCTCTTGGTTGTCTGCTGTTTTCCTTATCGCTGCTGATCGCTTCTGCACCTCTGAGCCTCCAAAGAGAGCGCTGATCTTCTTGAAGTCTGGCACAATCTCCTTCTTCCACACGTACTCGCTCTCTTTCTTGTATTTGATCTTAATCGCATTGCACTCTTTCTCCATAATGTCAGTGATCACAGACGATCCCTCCATGCCCACAATAACTATCTCTTTCAGGGGCTTCTTCAGCGATATCCCGCTCTTGTCTCTTATAACACGGACTGTCTCTATGACGCTCTTCAAATTTCTGAAGTCCTTCAGGATCTTCTCCAGCGATGTGTTCTTTGTCTGTTTTGACAGCTTCAGTATTTCCTCCTTTGTGCTTTCAATCTGCGTCTTGTACATCTGGAAGTGCACAGACAAGCTCGACTCAGACCCTCTTCTCTCTGCCATCTCTGGCACACTGCATGTGTAGAAGTCTCTGTCATCTCCCGACAGCTCCTGGAAGCACACTTCACTGAAGAATGGCGTAAATGGCGCCATCACCACAGAGAAGCCCTTAAGGATGTGCCTCAGCACTTTCATTTCGGTGTTTCTCAGCCTGTCTCTGCTCAGCCTGATGTACCACCTGCTCAGATCGCTCATGAACTCCACTGCCTTCGGGAGTATGTTCTGCAGCCTGTACGAGAGCCCTTCATTCTGTATTGCGTGCGAAAACTCTTCAAACTCCTGCAGAATCCACAGATCAAGCATCCCATCGTCTATTTCTATGTTTACCTCCATCTCCGACACGCTCTGCGCAATGTCCTCAACATCGCACCCCGTGGTATCCGCCGATCCCGTGCTCGATGTGACTTTGAGGAACCTAAGGCAGTTTTGCCAGGGTATCAAAAGCTCTCTTAAAATAGCCGTTACTCCTGCGTCTGTGAACTTAAGGTTCTCAGCCTTCACAGCTGTCGATGAGATGAGGTACATGCGCATGGCATCTGCTCCCTGCGTGCTCATCACCTCCATGGGATCCGGGTAGTTCTTCAGTCTTTTGCTCATTTTCTTCCCATCTGATGCCAGCACAAGCCCTGTGACCATCACGTTCTTAAAGGCTGGCGACTTGTACAGAAGAACAGAAAGAACGTGGAGAGTGTAGAACCATCCTCTGGTCTGATCGAGGCCCTCTGCGATAAAATCAGCAGGGAATGTCATCTGGAACCTTTTCTCGTTCTCAAAAGGGAAGTGCTTCTGTGCGTATGGCATACTTCCGCTTTCAAACCAGCAGTCCAGCACTTCTTCTGTTCTCACGTACTTCACTCCATTCTTCTCTATTACTATCGCATCCACCACATCTTTGTGCAGATCTGCCACTCTTACGCCTGAGTGCTCAAAGAGCTCATCAGCTGATCCAACACATATTATGTCTTCCTCTGTTAGGTTGTTCCCTGCGCCCTCGCGTATCCAGATGGGGATGGGCGTGCCCCAGTATCTATTCCTGGATATTGACCAGTCTCTTGCGTTCTCGAGCCAGAGCTCAAACTTTCCCTCTCCCACAGACTTTGGGCTCCAGTTGATTTTTTTGTTCATTTCGATGAGATCCTTCACTGACCCCTTCACATTCACAAACCAGCTGGGCACTGCCTTGTACAGCAGCGGTGTGTCTGATCTCCAGCAGAACGGATAGCTGTGATCTATTGACGTAGTTTCGTACAAGATTCCTTCCTTCTTCAGGTGTCCCAGGAGCTCTTTCTCTAGTTCTTTGTCTTTGACGTATCTTCCTGCGTAGTCTGCCACTTCTTCCGTGTATTTACCGCTGTCATCCACGGGGCTTATGACTTCGTCATTTTCCTTGATTAGCCCGTTAGTTACGAATGCGTTGTAGTCTTCCTCTCCAAACCCTGGCGCGCAGTGGACAATTCCCGTTCCTGCGCCTTCTACGACAAAATCAGCTGCGTATGTTCTGAAATACCCGCTCTTTCTTTTTTCTTCGAAGTATTTAAACGGCGGGGCATACTGAGCTCCCACAATATCGGAGCCCTTGAATGTCTCCAATATTTTTGCTTTTTTTGCGTAGCTTTTGCTGGCTATGACGTACGCCTCTTCTATTTTGTCCTTTATCAGCACGTACTCCATCTCAGCACCAACCATCAGGGCTGAGTTCCCAGGCAGTGTCCAGGGCGTTGTTGTCCACGCTAAAAACGAGACTTTGCTGTACTCTTTCCCATTTAGTTCTATCTTTTCCAAAAGCGGTAATCTGACAGTTGCTGTAAGATCTGTTGTTGTCTTGTAGTTTTGGTTGGCTTCAAAGTTGCTCATTGGGGTTCTGCAGGCCGTTGAGTACGGCATTACTCTGTACCCCCTGTAGACCAGGCCTTTGCTGTACAGCTCCTTGAACACCCACCAGACACTCTGCATAAAGCTGAAGTCCATTGTCTTGTAGTCGTTTTTGAAGTCGATCCATCTTCCCATTCTGTTGACTATTTCCTCCCACTGCGTGGAGTACTTCATGACTATCTCTCTGCAGTACTGGTTGTACTGCTTTATTCCTATCTTCTCAACGTCTTGTTTTGTCTTTATGTTGTATATCTTGTCTATCTCGTACTCGATTGGCAGCCCGTGGCAGTCCCATCCGAATCTTCTCTCTACGTGGTAATCCTGCTGATAGTAGAATCGGGTAATGGTGTCTTTTATGGTGCCTGATAAAATATGCCCGTAGTGCGGTAGTCCTGTTGCAAACGGAGGGCCATCATAAAAAGAAAACTCCTTTTTTCCTTTGCTCAGTTTATTGCTCAGCTCAAACGCCTTGATCGTTTCCCAGTATTTCTGTATTTTGTCTTCTTCTTTACTAAAGTCCATGAATATAAAAAAATATTCGTGTATTATATCCAGCCAAAAGTCTCGCTCTCTCCCACCTGTCTCAAAAGTTCTTCAGTCTTTTAGATAGGATCGCAGACATCCAGTGCGCTCCTATATTCTGTGCCCAGTGTGGGAAGAAGAGTCTGTCCTCGAACCGACAGAGAAAATTCACTAAGATTGGCTCCCATCGGCTTAAAAATAAATATTTTTGCCAAAGCATGCTTTCAGACTTAGGCGCAGGAATAAGCAATGCACTCCAAGGATTCTTTGGGTCAAAGGAGGGAGAGAAAGAGCTCAACGACGCCATTAAAAAAATAACCACTTCCCTGCTGGGATCTAACGTAAGCACGCGCGTTGTGCTAAATGTCAGAAAAAGAATTCTGGAGCGGTTCAAGCTGCAAGAGCTGCCCACAAAGGCGGGAAGAGAAAAAGCGCTGCAGAAGATAGTATTTGAAGAGCTCTGCGGGATCATGGACTCTGGCAAAGAGCCGTTTAAGCCCAAGAAGAAAGAGACTTCAACCGTTCTTTTTGTGGGGCTGCAGGGAAGTGGAAAGACCACAACTTGCTGTAAGTACGCAAAGTACTACAAACAGAGAGGATTCAAGGTGGGGATAGTCTGTGCTGACACTTTCAGAGCAGGCGCGTACGAACAGGTAAAACAGAACGTGCAGGGAATGAACATTGAAGTGTTTATCTCAGACAGCTCTGTAGACCCGTCTGTAGTTGCGCAGACAGGAGCATCAGAACTAAAAGAAAAAGGATGCAACTTGATTCTCGTTGACACGAGCGGAAGACACACACAGGAGGGCGAGCTATTCAAAGAAATGGAGGATATTGTGCGCTCTATAGACCCCACAGCCTCTATTTTTGTGGTGGATGCATCGATAGGTCAGGCCGCAGAGATTCACGCACGCAGTTTTATGTCTCGAGTGAAGCTCGGATCGGTGATCATCACAAAAACAGACGGAACAAAGAACATAGGAGGAGCTCTATGCAGTGTCGCAGAGACAAAGACTCCTGTGGCCTTTATCGGCACTGGAGAGGGAATGGGGCACATAGAGTCTTTCAATCCAAAGGGATTCGTAGGGAAACTCATGGGCCTTGGAGACATCACAGCCTTTGCAGAGAAGTTGGAAGGGCTGAACATTTCGGTTGAAAAACAGGAAGAGCTTATCGGAAAGATCAGCGCTGGGGAGTTTAGCATGGAGGATTTCTACGAGTACTACAAGAAGATCCTTGAGCTTGGGCCTATCAGCCAGCTCTTTTCTCTGGTGCCTGGGCTCAGCAGCTCCATGTCGATGCTCAACGAAAAAGAGTTCAAGAAAATGGGCACTGTCTTCGCTGCAATGACAAAAAAAGAGCTTAGAACGAATGGAGAGGTGTTTATTCGGTCTTTGCCTCGGCTGGTCCGTGTGGCCAAGGGAAGCGGAGTAACTCCCACGCAGGTGAGAGACACTGTAAACTCCTACAGAATGATGGCGCAGATGTTCCAGCGCCTTTCTTCCAATCCCATGTTTGCAGGTCTTTTGGGCGGTAAGGAGGGGGCAGCAAACAAGGAAATCACTCCAGATGCAGCCCGCGCACAGCTCAACCAGCTCAAGAAAATGATGCCTCCTGGGTTCTCCTCTATGTTTGATCAGTTCGATAAGTTTTTTTAGATCTCTAGAAATAAACGGTTTATTTTATGCTTTTCTGTCTACGGGCCTTCTCAACTACTGCCAATTCTCTGTTGTGCAGTTGATATCTGATGCTATACTGCTCTGAAATACTTTTTTCTATATTTTTTACAAAAAAGAAGCGTAACAATAGTAGTTATTCTGTTGTTTAGTTATTGTAGCTAGACGTAAAAATATTTTTATTTGAATTAATTGGCTGGCTTTATTGTCTTTTATTTCTCCTATGAGACTATTGGCCAGTGGCTATTTAGTTTTTTACTGCGCACATTGCTTACTCCTACAACAGTATATATACGAAAAAATTTGCAAGTTCCATGATACTGTCATTTCTAGCTAAAAAGAGCGCTGTCTCTGACAGAACTGTTCTTTCTTATCTGTTTCAAAAGCTCATTGTGGATGTTGATAAGACACTGCTAAGCATAGTGAACAAAGAAAGTAACTCTGAAAATGCGAATAGACCAGATGAAGATGGTTTAATCCAAAGCAGAAATGATGCAGTTACAGATAAAGTTGCAGATAACGTAGTCAAATACGAATCAAGCTCTAAAATGAAGAGGTATAGCACTGCATGGCTTAAGCTCTTTGCACTGTTCTTCTTTGTTTCTGTTCTTACGTTTACGAGTTATTTGTGGCATGGATTTATGTGGATGGTTCCTCTCTCTTTATCTCTTAATCTGTATGGAAAATCCTTGATCTTGCTGCACTCTATCAGCTTAGTTATATACTATTCAGTAATAGTTGTATACTTCACTCTATACCCCATATACTCTCTGTTCGAATACATGGTAAAATCAGAAAGTTTGAAAATCCGAAATAGTGTTCTATACGTTTTCCTGTCTGTGGTGACTTATTCCACAGCATGGTTCTTTGCAAAGTTAGCGTGCAACATGTTTTTGACGCTTATGGCGATCCTGCTGTGCATGAACAATATTGGCTTCATAATAGCTGTTCTCTTTTTGCTCTTCTACATCGGGTACTTAGGAATTGAATTTGCTAATCTTTTCATGGGAGAGAAGCATGGAAATACATGGAGGAAAATAGGAGTGGCCCATCAGATATATATCCTGTATCTTATGCTCTCCAGTGTTACTCTGCTTCTAAGCTTCTTTGTGGTGATTGTAGTTCTCAAACATCGCTCTCTATCTAATATAATCTACGGCATACAGTCAACTCTGGTATATTTGTTCAAATGTTTCTATTTTCAAGATAGTGATGATGATGATGATTATGATTATGGGATTAGTGAATACTAGCACACTCAGCCAGCTAATAAACAGCCATATAAAACAACCAACTCTATTTATCTTATCTACTTTGATTTAATCCTGCAATTTCTAAAACTGCACATATTGGCAATATTTTCCAAAAAAAGCACAATTTACACAGGAGTAAGACCGATACTTCTAGCAGTATATATACAAAAAAATTTGCAAGTTCCATGATACTGTCATTTCTAGCTAAAAAGAACGCTGTCTCGGATAGAACTGTTCCGTCCTATATGCTTCACAAGCTCATTGCAGATGTTGATAAGATACTGCTAAGCATAGTGAACAAAGAGAGCAACTCTGAGCAAAAACCAGATACATCAGATGAAATTATTTTAATCCAAAGCGGAAACGATGCACTTGCAAATAACACAGTCAAAAATGAATCAAGCTCCAACATAAAGAGGTATGGTGTTGCATGGCTTAAGCTGTTTGCACTACTCTTCTTTGTCAATGTTTTTACATATATAGACTATGTATCGCATATGTTTCTGTGGGATTATCCTTCTGGTGCATTTCTTTCACTGCACAGCCTGCCCGTATATGTGATATGTTTTATTAATGTAGTTTCAAACCTGCTAGTAACACTTATGTACTTCACTCTCTTCCCTATCTTCTCTCTGATCAGATATATAATGAAATCAGAGAGTTGGAAAATGCGCAGCAGAAAACTGTACATTTTTTATACTGTGCTGACTTACTCCACTGCCTGGCTCTTTTCAACAATACTCTGCAGAATTTTTATACATGTTTTAGCGAATCTTCTGTTGTTCGTAAACATTGGCTTTGTGGTAGCTGTTCTCCTGTTGCTCATTTACATTGGGTGCTTGGCAATAGAATTTGCCAATCTTTTCATGGGAAAGAAGCATGGGAGTACATGGAGAAGCATAGGAGTATGCCATCTGCTATACATTGTGTATCTTATAGCCTCCTGCTTTATCCTGCTCTGCAACTTCACCTTGTTGGCTGTACTTCTTAGAAAGTGCACACTCAATCAGACAATTGTCGGAATACAATCAACTCTGGCATACTTATTTATAGCATACAACACCAGCATTCTAATTAGTGGAATAAAATTGTGCTAGAATACACATTCACCACTTTAATTACTATCTCAAGATATAGCTAAAGGCTAAGGAACAAGGTAAAGGAATTAAATTTTATTTTAATTTAATTTACACTATCCTGGCAGATCATGATAGAAGAACAAACGAATAGTATGAAGCAATTGACATACCGGCATAGTCCCGGACCTTTAGCACAGAGAATCAATAAATCATCATATACTTCTGACACTCTATCCATTCTCGATTACATTTATAGCCACAACAGTCTTCCCAATCGAGGACACGGCATTTATAATAACTGTTACTCTACTTATTTTATCTAATACATTTCCATATCTAATGAAGTCTTTGTTTCTGTCGTGTGTGTACCATTTATATCGAGCACATCTGAGAATAAGTATAGAGCAATAAATTTACATAAATTCTTTTTATTTTTATAGAGACGTAAAGTGTACAGATTTGTTTGGAGAATGTATTTATTTTATTTTGCAATTGCTAATAGAACAATTAAACTAGCAAATATACACAGCATTGCTCATGTACACATTTGCATCTAAAGAGCCTCACATGATGCACAATAGAAGAAAGTGTCTTTATTTTTAGAAGATATACTGAACAACATTGCACTGCACAGTACTAGAATAAACACAACAAGCACTTGACTTTTAAATAATTTATTATTCAGCTAATTACTAAGCTAGTAGAGCCAATAGCACACCAATATTTCCGTTAGTCAGTACAGGAAGATCTGCATTTGTGATATCTCCAGCTTCTTTAACCATGCTCTTTGCTGTCTCTTTTACTTTGTCCAAGTTGAGATTGATTTTGTAGATGGGATTTAAAGTGGCTTTTTCGTTGGGCGTTGTTTGCTTCTCGCGGACTACAACGCGGAGGAAAGGGCTGTGCGGCAGTGTTTCAAGATGCACGTCCATGAATACCTTGGGGTCGGTCTCTGAGTCTTTGCTGACTTTGGGAAGGTTCAGTATTCGGGTAAAGATCTGTCTGATCGCTGCCTCTTCTTTATTTGTGCTATCCGTAGTTTTCCCAAGCTCCACAAAGTCCAGCTCAACTGTTTCTTTAAAAGTCCCGCACTTTATGTCAATCTTGCACGATGTTTCTCCCGCACTCGCTTTTATGTTTTTCTCTACCATCTCTATTTGGAAATTCAGAGAAGTCCCTTTTTTGCTGTCCAGAATAATAGGCAGAATGGGATGGCAAAGAGAAACTGTGCTGAATCTCCCCAGACTTGTTAGCCGCTCGAAGAAGTTCTCCTCTAGGCTGGCGCTCTCAGAGGACAGCTTTACATCCATAAGATTTCCTCTTTTTATAATGTTGAAGAGAGGTCTAGCTGCCAAGTACAGTCTGTAGTACGCATAGTCTACCACGTTCCATGAGACACTGTCGAGTGACTCTCTGTAGAGGTTGTATGCGACCTTCACCCCAGACCACGCAACGAGATCTTTTTTGTTGAATATTCCAAATGCCAAGTTTGACTTAAAAGCACCGCGTAATGACGCTACAATGTCTTTGTTTTTGTAGCTGTAGTATGTCGTGTCTATTTGCAACTCGTTCTCCCTGGAAAGTTTTAAGAAAAGGCTGTCACCAACAAGCAAAATGACGTACTTAACGGCCTTTCCATTTTTATCAGAAAGATACCGGTACAGCTCATCAAGCGCATCCAAGCTATCTTCAGAAACGGTCTTATCCGCGCTTTGGGCGGTAGCTGACCCCAAGAAATGTTTTTGCGTGATTACCTCTTTGAGACTGTTCGAAGTGCTTGGCTTTGACTCGCAGACTGCAAATGCAAAAGCCTGCATAAATGTACAGAGCCACGGCTCCTTTGTGTTCGTGGAGAGCGCTTTTTCCAGGCAGCTTGGCAGAGAAAAAAGATACTGTCTTTCATGCACAAGATTCTTCCTAGAGTCTCGCATAAGTATTTCTCCTGCGATGGATTTTCCATTTTGCTGGATGTTTATGACCACGCTGTCCTTGTTTTTTTTGTAGTTCAGCAGAGTAAGCATGTCCTTTGCCGTCTGCACAAACTCTGCGCTGGCTGTGTTACTCAGTATAACTGCCTGGTCAAAAAGAGAGAACACGTTGAGTGCTTCTTCTATGGTGCACGGTCTCTTCACCGTTGTTCCGCATATTTTAACTGACTCAATCATCTCTTCTTTTGCCACTACTTTTATGTGGATTGGGGTTTTGCCGTACTTCCAGCTGGATATTGACGAGAGCAAGCTCACTCCATACACTTCCTCTGACCCGTAGTACTTATTCTCATTTCTGTCCTTCTTTTCTCTGTCGGGCAGCTGGACGAGGTTTCTGAAGAATCCTATTGCTCCGTCAAAGAACCCTTCCAGCTCTCTGCTGGGCGTTGGAGAGAACGCGATGAAAAGATCGGATTTCTTAACTGATTTTTTAGGCTCTCCAAATAAGGAAACAACGTGTGCAAATTTGTACTTTTCAACTGTCTCCACCTGTTTTTTCTTGTTCATGTCGTAGTACTCTATGCAGTACTCAACTTCTTTGAGCTTCTTCAGGCACTTCTCCTGCTCACTCGTCAGCTTCACTGGAACTTTTCTTATTTTTCCGTCTGACGGCAAAGAAGACGCATCTACGATCCCAGCGTGTGACATTGTAAATGTTGCTTCTGTGCTCTCCCCTGACTTGAGCGATCCTATTGATCGGCATATCTCTTTGAGTGATGCGCGCAGGTTGTATCCTTTGTATTTGAAAGATGACTCAAATATTTCCATAAATGTTCTCGAGTTTACCTTCAGTATGTTCTGCAGTCTGAACCGATGGGCTGTGCAGCCATCAACTCCCTCCGTGAATATGCTGCAGACAAGAGGAGCTTTGTTTGAGATCTGATTCGATGGCGAGGTAAACCTCAGGTGAATGTGCAGTATTCTGTTATTAGCAAGCTCTTCTGCCAGATGCTTCATGTAGTCTTCGCACAAATTGGAGTACAAGTTGTCAATTTCATCGACGAAATCTGTGAGTGCGCCTGTGGTGTCATAGAGCACTGTGCTAGGGTATACCTTTGCAGCACTGACTAGCTGGTCGTACAGCTCTAAGTCGTCGTAGAACATGCATCCTCTGCACCGCCCGCACAAGTTATCATTGCACATCTTGTCCTTTGCGAGTATTGAGTTGCTGTAGACACTCGCTATCTCTTCAACTGTTGTTTCTTTTCCTATCTCAGTAGCCAAGATCTTTGGATCACTTTTAGCAGCAGAGTAAAATGTTTTTTCATCTTTTTTCACCACTAGAGGGTCTGCCTCTGGAGCCAATGAAGAATTTTTATTGCTGAGAGCATTAGATGGTTCTTCTGCAGTGTGTGCATCTTCTCTTCTCTCAGAGCTGTCTGCTGTGATGCGGGCGGTAGATGCCTTCTTTTTGCCTTTCTCTTTGTGCGCCATTTGGCTGTCCTTTGCAAATTCTTTATCTTCACTAACTGATGGATCCATTGCGTAGTATATGTAGTACATGACAATGATGGCAACCGATGCAAATGTTCCCAGCGCGAACAAAGAGTACTTCAGCACTTTCTTGCCTCTAACATACCTCTTGAACTGGATTATCCTCTCTGCTATAAAAGATCGGGGAGGCTCATTTGTTTGATCAACTTCCATATTAAAATGAATGAAAAAAAGAGAAATTATATAAACAAACAATGGAAAACAGGAAACAGAAGGAAATGTACGATGCTGTTATTTTGGGCACAGGAGTCAAAGAGTCCATTCTGGCGGGGCTGCTGTCTACAACAGGCGCTAAAGTACTGCAGATGGACGTATCCCCCGTATACGGCTCTTCCTCGCGGACCATTCGGTACAATGAGTTCATAGAAGAAATGAAGATGAAGTTCCCAGCACAAAAACAGTTCGTGAGCATATTTGGAGAGAACGAAGTGTCCAAGCTGTACATAGACCTTACTCCAAAGATATTTCTAGCTGACGAAGGGCTCATTAAAATCATCGCCGAGCACAATCTCTCCCACTGCATCGAATTTTCCATTATTTCAGAGCAGTACATCATCAAAGAGTCAACGCCGATCCTCATCCCCACCACTAAAACAGCAGCACTCACCAGCCAGCTCTGCGGCCCCCTGCAGCTGCTTAAACTGCACAAATTCATAAGCATGATCAAGGGGTTCTACAATGCCTCCGATATAGAGAAGAAAAACATTGCAAAACAGTGGAAAACCGTTGAAGATCTCTACACGTACTACGGGATATCGCAGTCTCTGAGAGTTATCCTGGGGCACGGGGTGGCACTGTACACCTCCAATGAGTACCTGCAGGAAGACCCTTCCGAGTTCATTCTACGGCTCACCACGTACTTCAAAAGCGTTGCCAGAATTAACGGAGAGCAGTCGAGCGGAAACTCTCCATTTCTTTACCCAAAGTACGGGATAAGCGAGATATCGCAGGGCTTTGCACGGCTCTCAGCAGTAAAAGGGGGAATTACGAGGATGGCAACAGAAATAGTGTCGATGGAAAGAGAAGAAGATAAGTACGCGCTAACCATACGAACAGAGGGCCAGAACGATTATATACACACCAAGTGCATTATTGCCAATGACCAATATTATTCGACAATACCAAATGCAATAAAAAGAAAAGTTCACACTCTCCGAGGAGTATACATTCTCAAGTCACTTCCGTACGCAAAGAGCAAACAGGCCCTGATCACCTCTACATCCGCACACTCAGACATATTCCTACTGGTCATTGGGGAAAATGAAGAAGTGTGTCCATCGGGGTACTCAATAGCCTACATCACCGCAGAGTATAGAGGAGACGTAGATGCAGTGGAGGCGATATACAGCTCGGAAGAGGTGCCTTTGATCCTTAAAGAAATAGCAGCACCGGCTGTCAACCAGCTGTACGCATGGAAGTACTCTATCATGCAGCAGTTTCTGTGGGTTGACGAGGCAACAGAGGGCGTGGAAATGCTTGACCCCATTGTGCTTCCCCTTAAGCCAATGGACAATACGGTGGATTTTCGAAGTGTGCTGGGAGAAGTTCAGAATGTTTTTGACATGTTCTCCAGGACAACATCAGTGTAGAAGTTTGGTCTTCTTTCTTGATCAATAAAAAGTATTTTTAGCAGATATACCATAAATCATCGCTATCTCTCTTGTTGGGTTGCATTCTTTTCATCTATTTCTATCCATCTATGTATACATTGCCATATTAGGACAATCTGTACTATTTACATGCTTGTCTTCACTTATTTCTGCAATAAGAAGTTCTTGAGCGTTCATTTCTGTGCTTCTGGACTAGCTGTGTCTGGGAAGGGCAGAGTTTTATTTACTTCAATTTAATTTTAATGCAGGACAGATATTTGAAAATGCACAGGAAGGGAAGTTCATCAGATATTTGAAAAATAAAGTACAATTGGTCTCTGCGCTTGCATTCTGTTCTATCCAGCCTCTTTCTCTCGGCTCTTGTCCTCTTTTTAATATTCGATTGGGATATAAAGAAAAGACCCAGAAAATTATTTAAAGTTTACATGATCATGAACTTGCGGCCGCAGCACGAAAAGCTCCTCAGAGAAATCTACAAGAGAGAGGGGACAGTTGACGAACAAAAACTCTCCTTCTTCAAGCACTACCTGCAGCAGAAGCCCATGAAGATTTCTGAGAGCATGAACACTCTGAAAGAGTACACGAAAAAGTACGCACAGTCGAACAACTTCGAGAAACACCTGACAACTCTCATCATTTCCTCGCATCTCATCCAAGACTACTCGATGTTCTGCACCTCCTTTGAGATAGCAGCTCTCAAGCTCATAAAAACCCATCTGAAGGTGATATTCCGGATGATGAAAAAGGGCGTGGCAGCGTACCCCACGGGCTTCATAGACGCGTGTTGCAGCGAGATAAAAAGATGCTTTGTTCTTTTCACGTATGCGGGGACAAGGTGCTCGCAGGCTGAAAGCTTGAGCACGCAAATATTCCTGGCCATATGCAGCGCAATAGACAATGAGTTTACGTGCGAAAGAAGAACACACTTGGAAAATACAGAGCTGTATGAGAGAATTTCAAATATCTACGCAGGCAACTGGAGCACTCTGTCAACGATCAACATCAAAAAGAAAGAGCTAGACGAAGAGAGAATGAGCCCTCCGAAGGACCCAGACGACGAGTCGTATAGCACCGACGCCACAGCATCGTACAACTTCGCAGAAATGTCATATAATTACACAGAGGACAAGACTTCATCGTCATCATCTATTTTTTCAGCAAACGACAAAACAGAGGCTGACAAAAAACAAGATAAAAAAGAAATAAGCGAATCAGCAACAGCAAGACAGCCTGCACAAAAGGACGTGCCAGAGTACAGGGCAGGAGACGGCCTAGCAAATAGAATGCAGGGCATGTCGATAGCAAATAGCACAACCTCGCTCAACTCTTTCGCAATGAAAAAAGAGTTCATATCTGCAGAAGGATTCATCATCAAGTCAAGCAGCCAGAACAGGACAGAATTTAACGACATGTTTTTCCTCACTCTTTTGTCAATGGTTATTAAGACAGCAGGCCTCCTCGTTCGCCACCCAGAGAAAAAGATCTCCAGCTTGAACAAAGCCCTCATAAAGGCAGCACCATTCAACAGAGAGCTGCGTCAGGACATATTCAGCAGCTACTTCCATCTTCTGGCGCCTGCCTCCATTCTGTCCACAGCTATTTTTCAGGTACTAGAAATAGCAAGCGAAAGAGAGATCGAGAACATGCACAACATCATATACTACCACATAAGCACAGACTGCTACTCTGAGATAATCCGGCAGGCAAATGCAATCCTTGCCTCTCGCAGGTCTAAAATGTTTGACTCCGCAAATAACGTAGAGAAGAACAGGCGCACGTACATTTTCTTGCTGCTGCAGACCGTTTTATTTGTGAACACGATAGAGACATCAATCCCAACTGCTCAGATAGCAAAGAGCTTCTATTTCCTTCTTAGGTCACTATTTCCAAAAAAAACACTTTTCAGAAAGATCGTTCTCACAGACGCAGACATACAGGAAAGAGCCCTTACAGTCAAGTACTTCAAACTGTTTATAACCAAGTGCCAGGACAAAGAGAACATGTTCCACTCTCTCCTAAGGCGCTCTTTCCAAAAGGAGGTGGGGATAGGAACATCCACTGTTCCGTCTGATCTAAAGCTGCTGATTTCAAAAGAGCTGGAGTATACGGTGATGCAGCTGGAAAAGTGCACATCGCTCGGCCTTCTGGAGGTTCTTTTGGAGATATCTTCATCACCGAACCTGCAGTTCAGGGAGTACATCAACAGCACGCTTGAGCTGATAATTGAGAAGGGAATTCTTGGAAAAAGATCGCAGTTTGAAGAGCACAAGAGGATAAGTCTGTTTGCCAAGATACGCACACAGGCGATACAGCACGGCGGTCTGTACATTTCTCTTCTGAAGAAGTCCATTCCCACAATCAACAAGTCGGAAATAAAAACAGTGGCAGGCGTCTTTGCGATCCTGAACGAGAGCTCAGGCCTGGAAGAGTGCAGTAAATACGTAGACATAACAGGAACGAACTACAACATAGAAGAAGACAACAGGCTGTGCAAGAGAGAAAACAGTGTGCAGGGAAGCAGCATTCGCTCAGGCACTACTTTTGGTGGTGTACGTAAAAGCTCCATTAGGCTTTTTGAAATGTTTAAGAAATTAAATAAATAACGGTTTAATTGCCCATAGCATTTCTTTTACACACAAAGTGTTTTGGCCATCTGCTATCTCAAATCTTTTCTCTCCATTTTATTGCATTTTAAATGTTGATTGAAGAGGTATATTAGAAGCAGCACTTTTTATTTGAATGAAAAGAGTTCGAAGCAAGAAAATAGAAAATGACAAAAAGCTGAATGTTCTGTACGAAAGAGAGCTGGACTTGACGAGGGTGCAGGAGTACACGGGCCCCACATTCACCACGGGCGTAGAGAAGGAGGAGGAGGAGGAGCACCACTTAAAAGAGATTCTTTCGAGCCGAATAGGCAACATACCAACTCCGAGAATCGAAAAATCCATTGAGCACGAAATTAAAAAAAGAAAAGAATCAGCGGGCTCGGATAAAGTGCAGGAAGAGCCAACCAACTATCTTGCAGACATAGGAGATGTAGTGCCTCCGCCAATAGAGGGAAGAGAGATAGTCATGCAGGAGACAGACGTGCCAACTGAATTTCTTCCGTTTGTGTGCTTCAGAAAAAGAGAAGTCAAGACGCTTAGAAAGGCAAGAAAGCCAGACACATCGATAGAAAAGATAAAAAAGATAAAAGTCGATCTGCAGATGATGAGAAGGCTCACAGAGCTCACTTTGCAGAGAGACAACTACCTGGCACAGCACTTAACCACAATATTCTCCATTTTCAACATATCAAGAGAGATGAACAAGAGGCTAGACATCGGTGTTCTCAACATCAGCGAGTCGATACTCAGAGACATCTTGTTCACCAAGCTTATCAGCAAGAGCGATTTGTTCTACAAGAAGATACCGTCATTTACCAATCTGTACATGTGCAGGAAGAGCATAGGAAGCCTGAGAAAGCTCTTCAAGTCCGGGCCATCAAGCGAGGACTCTCTGAGTCTCACAAAAAAAGAAATAGACTATCTGAACACTTATTATTAGTCTGGCCATAGATGGCACGGCGCCAGTGGTCAGTAGGCTGTGCTGTGCATGGACTAAGCTGTAAAATAAAAACAATAGAACACTACCGCTTTGTGCTTGGTGCGTATATCATGTGATTTGAGGTGTCTGCAGATTGGCGCAAATTTCAAAATTTTTCAAATTTCCCTAATATGCACAAATTAAAGAAGTGACAGAGAGAAAGCCCCAGTTCTTCAGAATAAGGCACTCTTCTGCGGATAACGGCGTAAAACAGAATCTCTTCAAAATTTTAGCAGTTTAAAATTTGGCTGTATTATTTATAGTTGGGCATTTAAAAATATTTTATTCTATGGGGTGCGCTTCTGGTACAAGACAATTTAGAATAGCAATAGATGGCCCAGCAGGGGCAGGTAAGACGACCCTCGCAACGCTCTTGGCAAAAACCCTGGGTTTTTCGCACATCAACACAGGCATGATCTACCGAGCCCTCTCGTACGTGCTTATGGAGAGATTTCCGGAGAGATCTATCCAAGAGCTGGAAAGTGATATTAGGAAAGAAGATGCAAAAATACTCGAAGTGATCAAAGGGTTTTCTCCAAATATCACAGAAAACAGCTTTGTTGCAGACGGAAAAAACATCATCCACGAGCTAAGAACACCCAGGATAGACGCAGTGGTTGGGATCATTTCCAAGTACAAGATTGTCAGAGAGAAGGTGAAAATCATCCAGAAGAAGCTTATCAACATGTGTCCCATGGCAGTGGTGGAGGGAAGAGACATAGGGTCGGCCATCATGCCGGACGCAGAGCTGAAAATATACCTAGAAGCATCGGTGGAAGAGAGGGCCATCAGAAGAGAAAAAGAAAGATCGGAAAAAAAAGACAGAGGAGAGCAGACGCCAATAAGTCTGGAGGAAATCGAAATGAAAATAAAACAAAGAGACTTTTTAGATACAACTAGAGAAATATCTCCTTTAGTCAAATCCCCAGACGCGATAGTAATAGACAACACTAAGCTGACCGTAGAAGAAACAGTGAAGAAGATACAAGACATATTCCTGCAGAGGCAGCAGAAGGATTAGAATAAATGCACTTAGAAATACTCTTGCTGCACGTTTTAGCTGTTTATCGGCACACTTTGATTTTTGAATGAAAGCAGCAGCCTCAGCAGCTCGCACAAGAGCCGCTAGACAACAAAACAACAACTGAAAAATAAATAAAAACTCTCCACCACTCTTCAGCCAATTATTCTCAAATTGCAGAGCAGACAAATAGCAGATGATGCATTCTTGGCTATTCTCAATCAGGAAAAGCAGAGAACGCAAATGCAAAATCTTCTCTTGTTATCTAGACTGAATGGTAGGATCTTTATCGAGCATTCTCGTGCTCGCAGACTTTCACTTCTCTGCTATTTTCTTCTTATTGAATAGTGTTTTTATTTTTTATTTACATGCTCAGCAGCTCTGGGACATTTGAGAATCTCTGCAGCGCCATTATCAACAGCGAAAATAAAGAAGAGCCGCTAAAACAGCTGAAGGCCTACCTTCTAGCCAACAATGAGCGAAAGCACAAGATAGTTGAAAGCTTTGGCATCCTGACTGTTTTTCTCAAAGAAATAACAACGATATACGACTATTTGACGCTGGAAGGCACAGCCATTCCAGAGAACATCTACACAATACTGGAAATATCTATCATACTCACGGATGTAGACAGCTTCATAGAGTATGTGATAAACTCGAACCTACTGCTGTATTTATACCCCATCATCAACTCTTCCATACGGAACGAAGAGACAGAAGAGCTGAAGTACATCACCCTTCGCTTCATCAAGTGCATTCTTAAGAAGAACAAAATAGAAAACCTCATAGAATTCTTTAAGAACACAGAGCTAGTCCCTCTGTGCCTGCGCAACATGGAGCTAGGGCGCGAAAAAACAAAGATAGAGGCCAGCGAGGTCTTTTATCTCATCATTTCGATAAGAGAAGGGCTGGAGTACTCCTGCCAGACATACGACAGATTTATGGCGATATCGATGATTCTCAACTCTGTTCTTGTGCAGCTGGAGATAATACAGTCCGCCAAGCTCCTGGAGCTAACGATAAAAATATACACAAAGCTGTGCGACATGCCAAATGCCAAGCTAGCGTTTAACAAAAACAGGCCGCACATGCTCTACACAGAAACAATCAGAGAGCTGGTGCGAACCAACCCCAATGTAAAAACAGCATACGATGATTTTCTAAACATTCTGCAGAATTAAGAGCATGCACTCTGCCACTCATACAGTATCAGTACATCTGTGCCATCCACTTCTGTATTTATACTTTGCTTATTCATCATTGATATCCCAAAGTGGAAATAGTTTAATTTTCGAGCATGCACATTCCAATAACCCACAAATAGTTTTACTATTGTAGCCATATTAAATAAATATTCCTTATACACTCCTAATACACTTTGACTAGTCCCAAAACAGTAGATTAGACAGTATGCGCTGTACAACTCTGGTAAATCATACGGCCACAACCACAGAGCAATAACTCAGCGCAGTAGCAGACTATAAAGACTCTTTCTCATCTTTATACCATAATAGACAATCATACGCACACCAGCGCATCTGCTCCAATAGTTATTTATGATGCTCACTTTCTCCCTTCATTTTCCTTTCCATGCCTGGCTCTCAGTAGAAATTCTTTTGCAAATTTTGTCTCTGCTTGTGTGCAGCCATTCGACACAGTGTGCGCTTTTAGCATGCTGCACCTGCTGGGATGTGCTCTGCGTTCTTGCTCTTGTTTTTCTCTTTTTCTTCTCCAGATGATACCTGAATGGAGTACTCCAATTATCTATATTTTTTTTATTTTTTAGTAGATAATATTTGTGGTTTATGAAAGAAAAGGAGAATCCATTTGCACTGTCCCCATTTATTAGTGACAATATCTGGTCTTACATGAACAGCAAAGACTGGAAAGTCATTGGCAATTCATTCAGAACGCGCTCTAACAGCATCAACAAACTTCCCCACCAGTCGGTTTCGCACAATGAGCAGAAAGAGGGCAGGAAGAGAAGTCTTTCCCTAAATAATATAAATATATACAAGAATATTTCCAGCATAACAAGCAGCGTAGATGCCGAACTAAACACACAAATAAACAGCTCGATGGCGATGAACACAAGCATCATCGCCGAAAAAGGAAATCTTTCCCATTTGAGAAGACACTCGCTGGACCCTAGCATTTTCAACAATATAACGCAGAGCGCAGTAGACCTCTACAAGAGCAGCAACTACTTCAGCAACAACAACATCTGCGTGGTGCAGTTTGGGAGCGGGAACAGGTGCTTTGGGGTGTACAAAGGCCTGTTTTTGGTCAAAGGCGCTTTTGTGATCATAGAAGCAGACAGAGGCGAGGACTGCGGGTCTATCATTGTGGACATAATAGACGCAGAAAATATCAATGAGATTGCGGCTAAGTACAACATAGCAACGACCGATACGAAGAAAATATACAGAGTGGCGAACGACAAAGACAAGCTGCTGCTGCTCGAGCAGAATGAGCTAGAGCAAAGCGCAGTGGCCAGCTGCCGCGAGAAAGTGAAGGAAAAAAAGCTGTGCATGGAGATAGTCAGCGCAGAGTACCAGTGGGACAGGAACAAGCTGACTTTCTACTTCAAGAGCGACAAAAGAATCGACTTTAGAGAGCTGGTGAAAGAGCTATACAAAATATACAAAACAAGAATATGGATGTGTGCGGTGGAGAAGAAGGGAACAAGGAATGTAATCTATAAGCACGAGTGATGTCCAGGCTGCTAGCCAAAGAGTCGCGCCCCGGTTGTATCTATTAATAAGGCATGGCTTATTGTAGACTATTTAGATTGAATAGGCTTTTGTTGAAGAACGTTATGACGTCGAAACTAATAGAATAAATTATGCTAATAGAATTTAATTACGAAATATTTTCTGCTGTGCTTTGTCCAGACGAAAGAGGAAAATGCGCAGTGCACAACTGCAGATGCTAAGAATGTTCTATCTATGGTATAACTGTCAAAAGTTTAACCGTTAGAGCGAACAAGGCATTAACAAATAATTATTCGCTTGTTTTAGCAAGTGATTTATAAGTAAAATTTTTAGACATATTACTCTCTCTTTAATTCACCACTGTTCTCCAGACATTCTTAGTAAGGATGTTAGTATGGGCATTCTTCTAAGAATAGTATAGTACGAGTGTAGAATACTCTCTATATTGGCATATACGATGACCATGTAAGTATAGCTGCACAACACACAAAGAATAGACTAAGAGTTTTTATGAAGAATACTACTAATTACTACGGGTGATGCCATCTACTAATCGCATTCTCGTCTATATCTCTTTTATTAGTATGAATGCAGAATGCAGCAGAAACTCTACTAACTCTCTATTCTTCTAGATGTGTGTGCTACTGCTCTATTTTCTCGGGTTATAATACTTCTCTTTTTTCTGCCGTTCTTGCAGTGCATTTGTTACCAGGCGGCACATTTCACTCTGCTTTCTTATTTTTTATTTTCGTTTGTCGTTGGTTATTTTTTTTAATTTTTTCTATCCCTGCAAGATGAGTCACAGAAAGTACGAAGCACCAAGACACGGATCCCTCGCTTACCTCCCCAGAAAGAGAGCAGAGAGAATAAGACCAACAATACCATCATATCCCCAGGACGATGCATCCCAGGCAGTCCATCTGACCACCTACTTCGCATACAAGGCTGGTATGACCCACGTCCTCAGAGTCGGAGAAAGAGAAGGCAGCAAGCTGAACAAGAGAGAAATAGTCGACCCAGTCACTGTCCTGGAAACACCAAAGTGTGTTGTTTTCGGCCTTGTAGGATACAAGAAAACTCCCCAGGGACTGAAGAACGTAAAGACCGTTCTTGCTGAGCACATTGACGAGTCAGTGAAGAGAAGATACTACAAAAGATACTACAGGTCGCAGAAGACTGCCCTCTCCAACTATCCTCTTAAGTACAAGAACGGAGTAATTGAGCAGGAGATCCAGGCCATCAGAGAGTCTGCAGATGTCATCAGAGTTCTGATCCACAGTCAAGCACCAAAGATCAAGATTCTCAACACCAAGAAAGCCCACATCATGGAGTCGCAGCTGAACGGAGGAACCATCCAGGAGAAGATCGACTTTGCGCTGAACAACTTTGAAAAGGAGATCTCTGTCCAGGACTGCTTCGAGAAGCAGGAGATGATCGACATCATTGGAGTCACAAAAGGAAAGGGTTTCCAGGGATGTACCAAGAGATGGGGAACCACCATCCTCCCAAGAAAAACCAACAAGGGGCTTAGAAAGGTAGCTTGCATCGGCGCATGGCACCCCAGCAGAGTTATGTACTCCGTTCCCAGAGCAGGTCAGACAGGATTCCACCACAGAGTCATGCAGAACAAGAGAGTGTACCTTGTGGGAGACGGACAGGACAAGACCGTATGCAAGACAGAGTTCGATCTCACTGAAAAGACTATTAACCCAATGGGAGGATTCTGCGGATACGGAAACGTTAACAACGACTTCCTTATGGTCAAGGGGTCAGTTGTGGGCCCAAGAAAGAGAGTTCTTGTTCTGAGAAAGGTTGTCGGAAGAAAGTTCAAGGGAATCAACGCAGAGCCCATCAACATCAAGTTCATTGATACATCTTCCAAGATTGGAAGTGGTAGATTCCAGACATCCGCTGAGAAGGAAGAGTTCTACGGAAAAGTTAAATCCGAAATCGAAGCTGAGATCAACGCAGAAGAATAAATACTTTCCATTTATCTGTCTATTGGCTACTACTCGGCTCTTTAACGCTCCTGCTTCCATATCTTATGATATCTTGTAGATGCGTTTACGGGCGACAAGTAGCTGCTGTTTTCTGCCGTCATTGGCTGCTTTTATTTTCATCCTACTGTGCAAATTTTTGGCATATACTGCAAATCAGTATTATATGCACACATTCTTCTGCTATTGCATCTCCCTCTAAACTCAGCATGAGAAGTACTCTTACGCTCTATTCAGATTGTTTGTACTGCTTACACTCGGTGTGAATCTATTTTCTAACTTCTTTATGCTTGCATCACTTGTGCTAATACTATATGTAGTATTTCTGTAAATGCACACTCATTACTTCATCTGCTGTTTACTAAATGAATCAGCTGAATATTCTCTATGCGTATACACGTAAATACATACTGACTTTTAGATGTGATCTCAGACAGTAAAATAAAGCAACAGCACTAACCGAAGAGTGTGGAGAAGAAAAAAGAGAAGAATGATTGCAATTAGTGTGCTTATCTGTTTTTGGGATAGCTAGCAGATCTAGTGCGGTATTTATGCATTATTCGACTTTATCTTCTCTGCATATAATTTCGAATATTTTTTTGCTTCTCATGGACAGCAAGTTAAACCGATTTAAGCTGAAAAATACCATAAACAGCAGGAATGAAACCATCTCCAAGGTCTTTTTAGGAGAAATTGATGAAGAGACAGCTCTGCTAATCATGACAAAAAGCTCGCTTGATGACTCTCTGGAGATACCCGCGGTCAGCAATGTTATACATCAGAATGATATTTTCACGAGTGGAACTCTCGAGTCAACCGAAAGCATCAAATACTCGATAATACACCCTGCCACAGAAACACTGATAAAGAAGTACACAGAAGCAGATAGAGTTATGGTCAGAGAGACATACGACATGTACAAGAACAAAATTCTTCCCTTGGCGCTTGAAAAAGGGCCAAACCATCTGTGGATAGACAATATATTCGCGCAGGTAGAGGGCCACTCAATCCCCTGCACCACCGAAAGCAATGAGCAGGTGCTATATCTAGATGAAGAGTTTCTGATATGCCCTGACCTGAAATGGGATAGAAAAACGATGGACTCTCTCTATCTTCTCGTTCTGTTCAAAAACCCAGAGATCTACACGCTCAGAGAGCTTACAGCCGAGCACATTCCTCTTCTGCAGAAAATAGAGCAGGCAATTGAAAAAGTTCTCAGAATATACAACTACCAAATAGACCAAACAAAAGTCTACTTCCACTACTACCCAACGTTCTACAGAGCACACATCCACGTATCAGCAATAACTGCTTCCTCACTAGGAAGAGCAATAGGAACGTCAGTCCTTCTGCACGATGTCATAGACAATCTAAGGATATCGTCTGACTACTACAAAAAAAGAACAATGGAAATAGTTTTATCAAAAGGCTCCTATCTCTATGAAGGATATATCGCTAACGAAAAGTAATTATAATAAAGTACAACAGATATGCAAACAATATATCATCTACTTTTCTACTACATTACTTTTGCCTCTAATCCTTGTGCAAATACTACTTAAAATAAAGAGTGGATGCTGAATAAAAAAGTGTTCATATTTGCTTTAGTAATCTTTTGGTGTTCACTGCTAGACTAAATAAAAAGTTTTAAAATAGAAATAATGTAAATATTATTTATTCACTGTATTTATTGGTGGAGATGTCTTGCATCTACTCTTTGTGTGTGAGATAGTACCTGAAGTACTCCGACTCTTCTATTGCCTCTATATCAGCTGGCACTTCTCTGTTCACCGATGTAACTGTTATCTCGCACGGCTTATTATCGGTAAATCCTAGATATATCTTGGAAATATCTGTGACAATGCTCTGCTCAATGAATCTCTGCATTGGCCTGGCCCCGTACTCCGGCGTATACGACTCTTCTATTATCTTTCTCATGGCATCCTCTGTGACAACCATATCTATCTTGTGTTTGCCCAGTCTTGCATTTATCTCTTTCATGTATATGCCAACTATGTCGATCAGATTGTCCATTTCGAGCGGCTTGAATATCTGCACGCCATCCAGCCTGTTTATAAACTCTGGTGGGAAGAACCTTTTGGCTGCATGCAGCATATGCTCTCTGTCCATGGCTCCATTTGAGTTCATTATCTCCTCTGATCCCAGGTTGGAAGTCATCAGAATAACCGTATTCGAGAAGTCAACCGTTCTTCCTTGTCCATCTGTTAAGTGTCCATCATCCAGCACCTGCAAAAACACATTCGATACTCTTTTGTGTGCTTTTTCTATTTCATCGATCAGTATTATGCTGTATGGCTTATTTCTTATCTTTTCAGTCAGATACCCACCTGTCTCGTATCCTACATACCCCGGAGGTGCCCCTATCAGCCTGCTGACGGAGTGCGGCTCCATGTACTCGCTCATGTCTATGCGCACCATTGCATTCTCATCATCAAATAGCTCATACGCCAGTGTTTTAGCAAGTTGTGTCTTTCCCACACCTGTTGGCCCCAGGAACAAAAATGATCCAATTGGCCTTCTAGCCCGACCAAATCCTGCCTTAGATCTGATAATTGCATTGGTTACCGCAGATATTGGCTCCTTCTGGCCTACTACTCTGGCTGCTAGTCTGGCCTCTAATTCCAGCAATCTTTTATTCTCGGACTTCGTAAGCCTTTTGGCGGGTATTCCCGTTATGCTTGAGACCATCTCTGCAATGTGCTCTGGGCGTATGCATATCTGGCTGTCTTTTTCTCCCAGCTTGCTAAGCTCTTCTTCTATCTCTGGGATAGCAAACGACTTGATATCGTACGCAAGTGACGTATTCCTGGTTCTCTCAGCTTCTGCTAGTTTTGTCTTTAGAGACTCCAATTTTGTTCTAAATCTTTTTCTTTTAACAATGTGCTCCATTCTCTCCCCGTGCTCTTTTTCCAGCGGTATTAGTTTATTGTACAGACTGCTTATCTTTTCGTCCACTCTCGAGAGCCTTACGTCGTTATTTATGTTCTCGTCTCTTGTGGTGTCGATGAGTATTGCTTGTTTTTCTATCTCTGCTGCCCATATTTTCGATTTCAGCGTCATTACTTCAGCAGGCTCAGTTTCTAGGGCAACTTTGACAGAGGAGCAGGCTGCATCCAGGAGAGTAATCGCTGTGTCTGGCATGTGCCCGCCTGTTAGGTATCTCTCTCCCATTTCAGCTGCGCACTCCAATGTTTCATTCAGAATGCTCAGCCCGTGGTACGACTCGAATCTCTCTCTTAGCCCGCGGAGTATCGTGACTGTGTCTTCAACTGAAGGCTCTGGGACAGAAACCGTTATAAACCTTCTTTCAAATGCTGGGTCTTTCTCTACGTACTGTTTATACTCTGCAAAGGTAGTTGCTCCAATGCATCTGATGGCTCCTGAGGCAAGCCCTGGCTTAAGGAGATTAGCTGCATTCATTGCTCCCTGTGTTTTTCCTGCTCCAAGGACCATGTGTATCTCATCAATAAATAAAATTGTTTTTCTTTTTGACTCTTCTGCAGCTTTGATGAGAGATTTGAGTCTTTCTTCAAACTGTCCGTGGTACATTGCGCCTGCAACTAGAGCCCCTAGATCCACGCTGTATATCCTGCACCCTGCCAGAGATGGTGCCTGGTCATTTGCTATCAGCTGTGCTAATCCGTTGACAATTGCGGTCTTTCCCACTCCAGGCTCTCCTAGTAGCATGGCATTTGACTTGATTTTTTTTGTGAGTATTTCCAGTATCGATCGGATCTCTTTGTCTCTTCCTATCACAGGATCAAAGAGGCCGTCTTTAGCCTGCTGCACCATATCCACTGCAAACTCTTCTATTGACGACTCTTCTCTCTCTTTTACATTTTCTATTCTGTCTAGTATTTCCTGCACATTTATGTCTCTGAGTATTTTAAGTATGCTGGGCGATTTCAGTGTTCCGTACAGAATGTGTATCTCTTTTATTTCGCTTCCTTCTTTCTGTGCGATGGTTCTGCTAGTGATCAGAAGGCTTCCTAGCTCCTGTTCGTTTATCTTAGGAGTTACATGGTCAGGCGCCTTCTGGTCATTGTCTATGTATTCTTGTGCTCTCTTCTTTATTTCTTCGTTGTCTTTTATTGCTTTCTTTATTGCTAAGCTCCCACTAGACAGCAAAACCAAAAGAACGTGCACAGGATCAACTGTGTATGATCTGCTGGTCTTTGCTAGTGCTTCTGCTTTCTTTATTACTTCTGTTAGTTCTTTTGAGTTAAGTCCTTGGCCATACGACATGTTCTGCAAAAAGTTTACTTCTTTTATAGTTTTATGCTTCGACCATATTCAAGAATTTTCCAGAAAACACGTACACTTACAGAACTGTGGTGAGAATTAATTTTAGTAAATTATTGTAAATATGCCAATAGAGTAATTTAATACTCGTTATTTCTTTCATTATAGAGCTGACCAGCTGGTGGTTACTGTTAGATTAGATATTAAGAAGAAAGTAGAGAGGTGAAGTATCAGTCAATCAGTGAGAGTCATAGAGATACACTGGTAGAGCATTAGTCATTCAGCAGTTATAGCTACATACCACCAATAGATGATAACTAGTGCTGATATTCACCTGTGAGTGCAATAGAATGATAAATTATTGCTCTCAGATTGCTGGTTAGATGAACATTAACGGGTGATCAATGGTTGGAAATGCACTAAATTCTCTATTAGATATGCTCCTTAGTTGAGAGGAAGGATTAGACACTTGCTCTACCAGACTTGTATGTCATATGAACACACTCGTAGTTTTGTTCTAGTTGGATATGAATAAAACTTTTTCATAGTCTCGCGCGCAATGAACACACTAAAAGACACATACCAGCCAAAGCCAGCCACATCAAAGAAAGACATAGAAAAAGTGCAGCACACATTTGATTATGAAATATTCTCAGTGCACACTCTATCAGATATATTCGTAATTCTACTGAACGGCAAAGTGTTTAAAGGGGTGAAGCACAGACGAGGAGACGATAGTGCCACAGCAGACACAAAATATGCAGAAATAGCTGATCTGAAGGAAACAGTAAAACACTCGGAAATACTCAATGGAATACTCTACATTGCAACTTCCAGCACGCTTTATAAGATAGAAGACCCCTTTGCAAAAAAGAACGAGAGTGATGAAGAGAAAAATGAGCCAAAAAAGGAGAACAGCGGAGTAAAAGAGAGTGCACTGCATGAGAGCAGTAAGAATGGAAAGATAGAAGTTAAAACTGTGTTTAAGCACGATTTTGAAAAGATAACAGCACTAAACATAACACAGGACGAAGGAATAATCGCATTTGGTGACTATGACGGGAAAATAACAGTCAAGCTGTCCGACAGAGTGTATGACTACACAGAACATGAAGACGCAATAGTTGATCTCCTGGTGCTGACAAAAGTGATATTCTCAGCGAGCGAGGATGGAATGGTTCTAAAAACTAAAATAGGAGAGCTCGAGCCAGCAGATGCATACGAAATAGGAAAACCAATCAGATATTTTGGCAAGCTAGATAACAAGCTTGTTGTCATTGACGGGTACGGAACACCGTATACCGTGAGTAAGTCTGCAAACGATCTGAAGAAGGGAAACAGGCTAGTTAGAAAAATAACAGACGTGGTAAAGATAAAGGGAGCGCTGTACGTATCACACAACAACGATTTCTACAGAATAACAACGAACAAGAACATAAGCAGGGTAAACATTCCCCGCGCCAGAGTAGATGGAGTATTTGAGTACAGCCACAAACTCTACTGCTATGCCGGCTCAGAGATAAAAGGATGGAAAGAGAAGAAAGCAACAGAGCTGGACGAGTTCTTTGAAGACCTATAAACACAGTAGAAGTAAAATATTTCCGTTTTTATACATTCTACAGCTCCATAAAGCCCGTTATCCATACAAAATTATTTTTATCTGGTAAATAAAGAGCAATAATCAACTAGCGAGAATGCTCTTTAAAGCGCAGAGACATACATTAGACCAGAGAACGAATGCGTGCAGAGAAAAAGAGAGAAATCCACGAAAAGATGGGATATAAATAAATGGCCGTTTCGTATAAGCATTAATGCTACAATTTTTTACATTTCATTTTTTGAATCGTATGGGAAGCTGGATCAAGCCGATGGTCGTGGGACTGCAAGAACAACTGGGCTGCAAATGGATAGAAATAGGATGTGACATCATGCAGTGCGACGTGATGACGCAAGCAATAGCATCGCAGGAAAACAAGCTCTCCGAGAGCCCCTATAAAATAATCCGAAAAAACACAAACATAGGAAAACTGCGGGCGCACTACAGAGAGTACGTCTTTGAAATAGAAAAACTGATAGGCTCGAAGAGCAACAACGAAAAAGCAATGGCTCTAAAAGACGGCAATCTGCCCATCAGAATAAATGATGGAGCGAATGGAATAACTGCATATTTATCTAAAAATGCCCTAGACTATTTGAAACACCACGAAAACGTGGCAGTCAGCATTGAGTCGTTGCTTACCATGTATGGAAGGCTGCTCAAGGGGTACTTTATAGTGAACACGAATGAAAATAGAAGAATAAGCCTGTACATTGAGAAGATGTCCTACATCGGAGAAAGGCCCGAAACAGGAAGTGTTAAAAACCGAAAGGCTCTGAGAGATATAAACGATGAAAAAGAGGTGTATAGCATAACCCAGAAGATAAAAGAAGAAATCAGCATATACAGAGCCTGTGCTAATATACCTGACATTCAAGAACAGCTGAAAAGCTTTACTATCGCCAACGACATAGAGATAATAGACCCCTACAATAGCACAGAGCCACTTCACGACAATAAAAAGATATCACACTCCCAGGTGTACATAAAAGACACACAGGATATTCTGTTTAAGTCCATAGAAAACGGGCTAGAAAAAGACCAGGAATCTGATGCAGTAATTAATAATGCTGGTGTTCTAAAAGAGGTCAGTGCAGAAATTATGAAAGAATGTGCATCTGATGATAAAGATAAAAACAATGATATGCAGATGGAACTAAAGGAGAATACAGACAGCGACTCTTTCTCTGTACCCAGTCCAATGCCTGCTAGCTACGTAAAAGACATTCCGTGCGAAATAAGTCCTACAAAAAAGAAGAAAAAGAAGAAGTCAACTAAGAAAAATAAACTTACGAAGAATGAAGATGAAGCACAGGCAATTATCTTAGAAGCTGCTCCAGATGTACAGGAAAAGACTGCATCGCCTGTGGTAGCTGTAATAAACCAAGAAGATTCTAATGCAGATTCACTGAAGAAACAATCTGCAGTGGCTTCACCAAAGTCCCAAAATGCAGTAAAGTATTCGCCATCCAGCACAGCATCGCCTGTGCAGTATGTAGCAAATATAACCAGTCCAATCAAGAAGGCCATAAGACAGAGTATATCATACGCATCCTCAAACCTAATCGTAAACCAGCCGATAAAAAGCGATCATTTGCAGCAGAATAAGATACCGTCCATTGGAACTCCATCCTGTCCTGTTACGCCAATAAAGAGCAAAAAACAAAGTGGCATAGAAGTGCAAATAGTATCACCTAAAAAGAGCAAGTCTGTAAAAACAGTGGGAGATGATACACTGGACAGTGTAGTTATAACGCCAAGTGTGCTGAAGACAATAAACACTTCTGCAGAGATAAAACCAAGTAAAGATGCAGTGTCTTCTCAGAAAGCAGATGAAAGTGACCCAGCATATTACTCAGCTGCAGAAGATGAAAAAGAAGAGTGGTCATCAGTTGAGGAGATATCAGAAACACAAGCAAACGAAATGATCGATGAAACTATTTCAAACGTCACTCCTGTTCTTACAATATCTGAATATCTGAAAAAACAAAAAAAAGAGAACTCGTAAACCCATAGGAAAGTAATAATAGTATAAAACTCTTCAGAAGTAAAGATCAATAAAAACAAGAAAGTAAAACAAAGGAAACCGTTTAATAAATTCAAAAGTATAATTACAATGCAGAATACACTTACATTTACCACTTTTAAAATAGCAGGAACTAACTGTCTAAACTCCGATTGATGCATTCTATTAAGCTGATGTGTAATCATTTAAATCTTTATAATCATTGTGATTCTTTACTAGAGATTCATATGCAACTGATACCTATAGAAAAACAAACCGATTGCACAAATAGCATATGGATATATTGATAATAATCTTTCTTACTGTTTTAATTAACTATATTTATTCTTAGACCAATCTTATCAGCTGACATGCGATCAACACCCAGTAGAAGCTTCTTAATATTACACTCTTAATTCACCAGCAGCATCATTCGCTGTTACAATCACTCTCTGCTTTTTCTAACTAAACACACCATCTAAGCTATTTGATATTTTAAAACATCTGCAGCACGCATAGTTCACAGAGAGAGGCTCGTCTTCTCTGTTATCCTTAGGCTGAAACACTGCGTGGACCCCGTGGTTGCATCTGCTGCACTCTTTTGATATTCTTTTTAGCGTGGGATCTGATGCGATCTCTTTGGCAGCCATCTCCATCGCCACTTTTCCTGTGCTCTTTTTGTACTCAGCTGTGTAGACCGTGGGAGTGATGGCTTCCTCAAAGTGCTCGCAGTTCCTGCAGGCCAGATATAACATTTTTTCAAGTTTGTCCTCCTTTGGGTAGAGCATATTGTTGCACTCTCTGCAGAATTGTTTTGTTTCAGCAACCATAAAATTTTTAGCAAATTGTCCTCTCTTATTCTTTCCTTTACAGCTTTCTTCTTCTATCGTCCCTCCAGTCTCTTTCTCTGTCTTTTTTTCTGGGCTTGGTGTGGTACTCGTCTCTGAGCCTTTTCTGCTTGGCTAGGTACTCCTTCCATGTGTGCTCATTGAACCCGTAGTTAAAGTAGTCTGTTATGTCTTCTCCCGGCTTGTTCCACGGCTTATCTGTCAAGTTATCGCACTCCACTGTGTATGTCTCCAATAGCTCTGCGTTCTGCACAAGCGCATCCTCCGTATCGTGCAGGACTATTTCAAAGCCATCACTGGACTCTCTTTCCTCTTCAGACGCGAACTTGTCCATAAAAATATTCTAAAAATACATTATAAGAATAAGAAGCACTGCGCAGGAGATTAAAAAGTAAAGAATGCTGCACTAAGCAGATTAAGAATAGGAGGATAAACCACCCTAAAAGAAACTAGTAAGAACTTAAAAGCGCTATTTCAGCAATTCTCTTATTCCAGTATATTGTAAATATGTGCAATAAACTTACTGCAACAGAAAAATGATCACAACAGCAACGATAAGAACAGCAATAAACAGAGAATACGAATATAAAAATGAAAAGATTAGTGCGATGGCAAGAGACCAATAACTGTGCAAGAGTAGGATAGTTGAACACTTTCCATCGCCTAGCCTACACACCAATTATGTGCATCTCTCGATCTTTGCTTCTTCACTGCACAGCAGATACTAGCCCACAGACACACCCAACATAAAAGATAACATGATAAGCAAATAATTTATTAGTTTTATCTGTATCTAAGAAGGGAAACTGTGTTATTTCTTCTCCAGCAGGCCTTTCTTGATCCTCCGATGGTCTTGTTGAATCTCTTTCCTTTTCCAAGCCCTCTGCTCTTCTTGGTTGCCGATGTTAGCCCTCTGCACTCTCTGTGCTTCTGCTTGGGGCTGCACAGCCATGCGAGTCTTCTGTCGGTTCTTATGTTCTCAACTGTGGGATCAACCAGAATTACCTCGTAGTGCTTGTAGGTGGCGTCCTGTCCAACCCAGTATGAGTTGAGGACTCTCAAGCTGCCGAGCTTGCGGCCCACTCGGATCTCTGCAAGAGCGTGCAGACTCTTCTTCTGTTTCTGCTGGTGGATGCCGTGGTTCACTGGCTTTCCGTTTACCTTACCCTTTCTGGCAAGCTTTCTTCTTCCTCCTCTTCTGATCTTTACTCTGTATATGACTATTCCTCTCTTCTTAATGTATCCCAGCTTTCTTGCCTTGTCTGGGCAGGTGGGTCTTTCTGCTCTGTGGATCATGTTTCTCTGTCTGTACTCCCAGCATCTCATTCTGAGCAAGTATCTCATTACATCAGACTGCTTGTTCTTCTGGATCTCTGCCATATATTCATACGCTGACATTCTACTGGGGTGAAAAAAAGAAGAAAATTAAAGAAAAGAAAAGAAAAAACAAAAAAATAAAAAGAAAAGAAAGCGCAAGACTGGCTAATTAATTATTAAATAAGCAAATCTTGTCATATGAATAAATGAAAAATAAACACATTCAGTCCCTATATAGGTAAATGAATTAATTTCCTTTATAATTTCAGAGAATTAGAAGTAGGATGCTTGAAGAGTTTCCCGTCTTCATGATGCATAGAGCCAGCATAGAAGTAAGAGATGAAAAGTATCTGCAGCAGGTAATAGACGACAAAGACATTCCTGACAGAGGGCTGGACACAGCCCTGTTCGACCGCAAAGAGAAAAAAGAAGAGGAGAAGGACAAAGACCCTGAAGAAGATAAGAAAACATTTCCCATTCTACTGGAACAAGCCATCTGTCCAAGGCAGCTGTTCGATGCCAAGAACTGGCCAGGGATACATCTGTCAGAGATAGAGCTGAGCACAGAGGAGATGAAGAGCATGAGCAAAATAATCCAGAAGCCTCCACACTCGTACGCAGTGCTCATCAAAAAGGCTCTCAATGAAACAACAGAGGGCCAGCTGAGTCTGAATGGGATATACAACTGGATCAAGAGCAATTACCCGTACTACAAAACAGCAGACCCTGCGTGGCAGAACTCCATACGCCACAACCTTTCTCTTAATAAAATGTTCGAGAAGGTGAAGAGGCCTGCTACGGAGCCTGGGAAGGGAGGGTTCTGGAAGATAAACTCGCACTTTCAGCCCGTCAAGGCACGGACAAAGAAGGAGAAAGAAAATAGAAAAGAGTAACTGAGTTATTTTGTCTTTAGCACACAAGAATGTAGGTGTAAATAAATCAATAGTTAGTAAATGTGTTGAATGAGTAGGAGATAGACTATAGCAGTATTATAGAGCAGGTTAGCACGGATTCTTCAAACCGTATCAGATAATTCTATTGATCTGTGTGATAAATCATGTGATTACAAATACATGATGCAGTATAAAGGGGTATCTATAACAGAATAATAGTAGTATGATGGATTGACGAAGCATTATAGTATAATGGTTTGGTATGATGGATTGATTAGTAGAAACTGTAGAACATACTCTTTTTGGAAATACTTTTATTTTTAGAGTTGGTGATCTCTTCAATATCCGTCTAGATCTGACAGGCTTTCTTTAAGCTGCAAGCTTTCGTTTCCGCTGTCGCTTCCCTTTGTGTCTCTGCTGTCGCACTCTTTAAGTTCCAGGGCTTTGGTAAATCTTCTTATCAACTGAGTGCAGTTTCCTCTTCTTCTGCGCTGGCTCACTTCTTTCTCAACTTCTTTGAATATTCTTTCTAATTTTTCTTTTTCTGTCTCCTCTTTTTCCGTGATGTACAGCCTTCTATACGGCTCAGCTAGCTCGGGTGCGTACCTTTCTACTACACTTATCAGTCCGTCCATACTGTTGTCTTTGCACGCGTCTAGTATCTCAGCAAGTATGGGCTTCAGCTCTTTGTGTGTATTTTCTTCGCTGTTAATGTACCTTTTGAACTTGTCTGCTATGCTCTGTGTTTTAGCACTGCTGTCTGCAAGAAGTGTGTGCAGGAACACGAATATGAGTAGGTTTCTCGGGGCGTCTTCTTCAAAAATGATCAGGTCTTTAAGATCTTCTTCTGATCTATCTATCTGTTTTATGCAATCTATGTGCTTACTAAGCACCTCTTTTGATATGGCGCTATCTGTTTTTCTGATAAGATACTCTGCCAGCTCATCGTTAAGAATGTTCACCATCTTCTGATCCTCTGAGAGCAGCTTATAAGTGCCGTTCTTCTTGAAATCTTTCTTTGCTAGACCGTCAAATATCTCTAGCAAATCTTCTTCTGTTGTGTATCCTAAGTACTGTTTTGCTTCATGCACCAGATCTTCTTTTTCTTTTGGAGAGAATATGTACGACTCTTTTGTCAGCAGAAGACAATTCAAAGTTTCGGGCAGGCTGTATCCCATCTTTGACAGAGACAGAAGATCAGGCGATGCCAACCCAACAAGCTTAGTCTCAAGTATTCTTGAGAGATAGTCTCTGATATACCCAGTTGCGTTGCTTATCGCAAAAAGACAACTTTCTATTTTTTTAATTTGCTGTTCTGAATCGTACAGCAGGTCGTCTAATGGACTGAAATCGTGCTCTTCGGGATTTTTTATCTTTTTGATGTAGACATCCCAATCGTACATTTTAGTGAGTATTATGTCTCCCTCTACAATGTCGCTGTATCCTGTATTTTGGAAGCTTCTCAGAATGTTAACGGATATCTGTATGGCATCTGGAAATATCTCAAAGGATGCATCGCAATAAAATTCTTCGAGGGTTTTCAATATATACTTGGCTCTGTACCTAGCCACCACAGACTTTTTCAACAGCTCTTTGATTACATCTCCACCACTCTGCATGCGCGCGCGGTAGCTAGCAATTTCTTCGCTTTGCATGCAGGCAGCTGCACTAGATAGCAATATTAGCATCACAACCAACGTTAACTTACGAACGCTTCTGTAGATCATAAAATTTTACTAAAAATTAATTATTTATACAAAAAGGGCAGGATTGATTTTATTTTTAGCACTGTCACTAGTAAACATTTGTTGTATTCTGCAGATCAACTAGCAGTCCTTTCTGTAGGCTATATAGCTTCTTCTAGTCTCTGTATAAAGTCTTATAAGATTCATGCCTTATGGCCTATTGTATGCTATTTTTTACCATGTAGCATACTGTTATACTCTTATTTCCTTCTATAGCATATACTGTTGTTATGTGTTTGTTTTGTCTCTACATTGTGTATGCAAAGCTTTTACTCGTGCTTATTTACTTCACTTGTGCTCTTTATTCATTTACTGTCTATTTATTATAATGTACAGGTGCAACAAAATACAAAAATACTTATCCAATTTTCATAGCTGTACAGGAAATAAAAATATTTTTATTTTAAATGATTTACCAGATGCAAATGTGTAATAAACTATTATTAGATTTGTAAAGAGTGTTTAATAAATCCATTGTTCATTTCTAAGCTGCTCTTTCTCGTACTAAAATGCCCCACTGTGCATTCGATAAGGTTTTTATCGACGAGAAAAAACAGCAAAATGTAGTAAATATGGCTATAATATTTACAAGGAGCAATAAGAACATCGTAGCCTTTCTTACTTTTTTGCTTGTGAACATTTCATTTGTCATGTACCTGTATCCAAAAATGTCTATTTTCCTGAGAAATTTAAGGAAGTGCTTTACCGCCCAGCTATTATTCTTCTGCTCTGTCAGGTAATCATAAGAAAGCCTGTCGCGCAGGTCTTTTTCTTGTTTTTTGATAAGATCAGTCATCAGCTCGCTGTACGAGTACTGGCTGTATATAAGCTGGCGCGCTGTATCATCTACAAACACGCTGTTGTCTGTTGCATCAGTGTGCAGCCTTTCTACTGCAAGCGTTATCTTGTACAGCAGATCGTCATTTAGAGAAGAGAAGGGGAATAAAAACTCTAAATTCTCGTTGTACATGCACAGCTGCCGAAGGAGCGGCTCTTTCTTTTTGTACATAGACAGAATAGTCAGGAGCTCTTTGAAATTGCACACCTGGCTCTCTGTTAGGTCTATATCAGGGTTCATCACTACTTCTTTGTTTTCGTTCATTACGCAAAAGTTTCCTCTGTTCTTTTTTACGATGTCCAAGAGCTCGTGCAGTATGGTGGAGCTGCTATTTGTCTTGGAGCTAGAGTACAGATGGTGGTTGAGGATGTCTAAGTTAGAATCGTCAGTTGTTTCGTACTTTATCTCTTTGTTTTTTTTCTGCAGAAGATCTATGTACAGCTTCATGTCCAAGAATATGTAGCTTGTCTGCTCCAAAGCCAGCAATTCTCTCAGCTCAATTAGGTACTGGGCTGTGCTGAAGTAGTTCTCGGGGCATATGGAGTGCGACTTCTCTATCATATCCACCCATTCTGGCACATTGGCATTTATGTACTCTATGAACCTGTCCAATCCTTCGAGCATTTCATCTGCCATAGCATCGGCTAGCTTAAATCTCTCCACTTTTACGACCTCATCCAGCTTTTTAACCAATAAGTAGTAAATGATTGTCCCAATGTGCTTCCTTTCCACATTCAAGCCTTCCAATTTAATCTCAAGGCCGTCTTCTATCATGTATTTTATTACTTCGTGTTTGCAGTCCAGGAGTGTTCTTCCGCCTCCTGAAGCACTGTATACACTTTTCTGAGCCTGTGCTTCTTTTTCCATCTCGTGCCTTGCTTTTCTCTCGCTCTTTTGCGCCTCCAGCATCCTTATCAGCTCGCTGCGAGCCTTCTCTTTTTTCTTTATTATTTCAAATTCAGTGCCCTTTTTGCTCAGTCCCATCAGTGAATAAATAAATTTTTCCTTTTAAGATCGAATGAATCAATAAAATATTTTAAAAAGGGGCCCAGGGGCTATTTAATACTTTTTAATATTTATTCGTCAGATGGAACAACCGCTAATAAGATGCTTTTGTCCAGGTTGATCTCCGTTTTAATAGGAGTGTACCAGCCGCTGAATATCCTCTCCACAGCAGCAGGCACCACAGGTAGGGCAGAAGAAGGGTCTTCACTCTCCCACATCTTCGGTATTTTAATTATAAGCCTCCCTGAGCTACTGGAGAAGCCATGCGTTGCTCCCTCTATCCCCAGCGCAGGGAGTATTTTATTCGATATAGCGCGCCCCCAAGTGCTTTGGTCTGTGCTCACTGTGCTCCTCGGGAGAGACTGCAGTATGCTCAGCCTAGAGCCCAGCCTGCTCCCTATCCTATCCAGTGCGCCTGGATACTTTTCTTTGTTCTGCGTAAAGTACTGGGCTGCTGTTGAAAGCATCGCTCTGAACTCTCTTGCATTTTTCATTTATAAATGATTTCTCTTTTGTTTTTCGTCTTTTATAAGCCTGTTGAGAATCGTCACGGGCTGGTGGTTGCTGTCTATGGGGATGCTCATTACCTCGTTGTACTCTTCTATGCTTGTGTATCCATAGGGTATTTTGTTTATCGCATACTTCTGGTTCCTGGTCAGCGGAGTTTTTTCGTTGTAGATTACGTGCGAGACAGCAAAGTCTTTTCTCTTTCTTATTTCAATTCCAGACCTTTTTACTTTCTTTGTGTTCGATGATGTCTTGACAGGCTCTATCGATGCGCCTCCCCATGTGCTCCATCCGAGCAGCACCTCTTCTTTTTCCCAGGGCTTCTCGCTCTCTTCTATTTTCATCTTTTCTGCTTCAAACACGTCTCCGTCTATCTCTAAAATGCTATCTATCTTTTTATCTGAGTTATTTTTTGTCGCTTTTGACGCAGTGTGGACCTGCTCGAGGCTGATAGGCTCTGCGCTGATCGTGTTTTTGATGAAATTATATGCAGTTTCTTCAGCTGTGGCTATTTCTGGGATATTTTGGGGAGTGTTCTGCTCTACTTCTCCTTCGCTTCTTTCTTCGTCCAGCAGCTCTATTTGTATTTTTTCTGCTGCTTTTCTCTGCTTTTCCTCTCTTCTGGCTTTTCTGTACGACTTGCTCTTTATTTTCTTGGACCATGCGTTCGATCTCATTTGGTACGACATCTGCAGCCTTCTGTTTCTCTCCTGCTTCGTCTTTTCTATCTCATCCTGTGTGTATCTTACTTTTGCCAGCTCGAGCTCCAGCTGGCTTTCCAGAGGGAGCTGCAATATCTCGCTCTCTTGTTTTGCAGGGCCAGCCGCTCTCTCTTCCTCCACCTCTTTGCTTATTTCTTTCCTGTGGTGCAGAGTGTTCTTCTCTATTAAGTCTTTATTGCTTGGTATTAAATCGGTAAAGAGTATTGCCATGAAAAATTTTAATGGAGTATTACTCTATAAAGGATGCGATTACCGAGGGGGTGCTGATAAAAGTAAAGCTGAAATGCGAGCTAAACAGCCCGTACATCCAAGAGCTGCTCAGAGACAGAAGGGTGGAAAATAACTGCGTGTATCTCCCATACTACATGGTAGAGTGTGTAATAAACACGGACTACTTGGAGATAGTAGAGCTCATAGAGAAGGATAAACAGGAGGAAATGGAAGGCGCACCAGAGCACGTAAACATGCAGGGAAGAATGCTGTACAGAGCCCTTGAGAAGATAGAGAAGATACACCCGCTTTCGAAAGAAGACAAAGAAGTAGTAAAGAACATGCACATGGCAAGAGCCATCAAAGGCTCAAGAGAGCTGGCAGAGCCGGCAGCACAGCAGGGATACGAGAAAGAGGAAGAGCGCATTCTGCGAAAGGGGAAGACGGGATGGAAGTGCGAGTGGCAAAAATGAATACAAGAAATGGTCGTGCCGAGATTCGAACTCGGGTTATCAGATTCAGAGTCTGAGGTGCTAACCGCTACACTACACAACCACATGCACTTTTAGAGAAGCTAGTACGCAATATATCAGAATAAGTGAAAATAAAACGAAATTGTCTACTCCTTTGGATGTTCTTAGCACATTTACTTCTAAGCATTTTTTATTGGAGCAGGAGTGTAGATGAACACTAAAAAATTTATAAGTGTGCTGCTATTTAATTTTAATTGCTGCCAGTAAGCTAGCTGAGCTTGCTTTTTAACGGCTCAGAGCTTAAGTCTACTCGGCTCTATCGAAGTACAGGTTCTTTCTTTTCTGTACGTCTTCTTTTGTTGTGAGGCCAATGTAATCACTGCTGTTTTTTATTCCTAGCGATCTAAGCTTTCCCTTGTGCTCTCGCTGTGCGAAGTGGCTCATGAACAGTGTTTCATTCGTATATGTTCTGTCGCAGACTCTGCACTCGTACTTTATATCTACTCTGCCTGTCTTCTCTTTCCATGTGATCTTCTGGTGCGGGTATACGCTCAGTGTGATGTTCTTTGGCTTGACTTTCAGCTGTCTCTGTATCAGGTTATTCAGATGCAGTTTATTTCTTTTTATGTGGCTTATGAACTCCTGGTCTATTTGATGCGCCTGTGCCTCTGTTATTCGCAGATACACTGGCTTATCTTTCTCGTGCGCCTTTGAGCTGTTGTGCCGTGCTGCCATCTTGTTAGCTATCACTCTTCTGCACGGTATGCAGTATGACCTACTCTCCAGCTCTGTGTACCTATGTTTATTTACTATTTTATGTGGTGGTACATAGGGCGTAAATTCTCTGAAATATTTTGAGACTTTTCTCTTCACCTCTATCTCTTCATAGTCTGCTGTGAATATCTCTCTTTTGTTCTTTTTTAGCCCGCGCAGAAACTGAAGGTAGGTGTGTCTTGGCCTGAGCCACTTAAATATATCGTACATCTTGCATCCTGTGCTATACAGCATCAAATGTTCGCTCTGCCTCTTTTTCTTCTCCTGTGTGCATCCTGTTTTTATTTTAAAGAGCATGTGTTTTATGTGGTGTACAGCCATCTGTTTTACTTTCTCCAGATATTCTTGCTCTGGCAGCGGGCGCACCGACTGCTGCTGCCTAGCAGCCTGGCAGTACACAGCTATTTCCTGGGCTATGCCTTCATACATTTCCCCAAGAGGCGAAAGTTCTTTTTTCATTTTAAATTTTCGTGCAATGCTAAGTATCTATAGTAATGCTGTGCTCTCCTGTGATAAAGAAGGAAACACAGTAGAGCACGAAGGAGCACTGCAGTTCTACACAGGCTACTTTGAGTTCACATCTCCTAGCTATGGAATGAGGGTGTGCACTGAAAAGATAGAGTATATAGCCTACGGTAGCGATGTGTTTCTAATTGTGTCCGGTGATTCCACGGACTATACGATAATATGCAGCGACATTGCAAGTGTCCAAGAGAGCATAAATGCACTGCTAAGAAACTGGCTGCTAGAGCAGCGATCTGCTGAGGCACTGGATGCAATATACGACAAGGGCGTGCCTTTGAGCTTAATCAGCGAATGGATAGTAAGCACGGACTGCATGGGACACATTAGCGCACTCGTAAAGGATAATACACCTGAAGGAATAAATAAAGCCAAGACAATGCTCACAACAATGTCCAAGGTGGAAGAGAAGCCAGTGATCCTTGAGCTCTCCAACAGTCTGCAGATAATATCCACACTCTTTGGCATAGCATATAAAGAGACAAGCGAAATAGAAAAGTACGTGAGCGATCCAGAGATAAGAAAGTGCAATGACTTGCACTGGCTGAGGAAGTACTTCTATGGCATACACTTAGGCCTCATCAAAGTTCCCATTTTAGACGAAATGATCCAAAGGTCACAGGAGAGGATCGTATCAAAAATTCTCCCAAAAATATCGATAACAGCAAAGGAAGTGCGAAAAGTGTTTGAAGAGCTGCACGACCCACAGACCCTCTCTATTTTCATCAGACAGCTGAACGACACAAACATTCTCTTGCAAATAGAGTCGCTAAAAAGTGTAGATGAGGTATACATCCTGTACTACATCGCGCTAAACGATAGAAACATCCTGTACTCCTACGCTGTAGATAGGCCACAGACGGTAGAAACAATTATACACACATTTTTATCTAAGATAGAAGAAAAAGACCTAGAAGCAGTAGTTCCATTGCAGGCTGTCATAGAGATACTCCTAGCACACGAGAGTGTTGAGCTGAGTATAGTACTGTCCGAATACCTACCAGCACTATTTGAAGAAGCAGGGAGTAAAAGCATAAAAACAATCAACGGATGGCCGCAGGTGTCAAATGGCCACAGACTTAGTATATACCACCTGCAGCTGCTTAACTCGCTGGTGAAGCAGCCAACTGTACACATGAGACTATACATAATCACATCAGGAATAGCTCTGTCCGTTACTGATAAGATCAGAGCAGAAAGCGCAGCAGAAAAGTACCTATCCAGCAGCATTATACTGTCTCTAATCAGCAGAGAAAATGATAGAATACTGATGAAGTACATAAACACACTTAACATCCCGCAAATAGCTAGAGATACTATAGTGAGCACAGAGCCATGTGTAGGCACTGCATACTACCCTGTGATGCTAAAGATACTTCAGACAGTCTAAGGATAGTATGGATGGATCATTGCATACGCTAAGTAGATAATAGGTAAGTATATGATAAATAACTAGCAAAAATAACTGAAAATACCGTCTAATAAACAACTTAAAAATGGATTTTATCTATTGCTGCACAGCAAGCCAGCTAATACATATTCTGTATAAGCCTGCTAGATGCTTATAGCGCTTTGAATGAACTTTAGGGCATCTTCTGCTGTTATTCTTTTATCTGGGGCTATCTTTAGCATGCTCTCTATAAGGAAAGCAAGCAGCTCACTGTGCTTTATGAATGTTTCTCTTATTTTTGCTTTTTTGCTCTTTCCAAATATTACTTTGTTCAAACTCTCCATTACCATGTTCTTTTTAAACACTTCTGTTTTTATTTCTCCGCACATGAAGGATATAGCAGATAGCTGATCCATCTCAGACTCTGCGACAAACAACGGCTTGCTCAAGAGCATCTCCCCAATGACGCACCCAAGCGCCCACACGTCAATGGAGTTATCGTACCTGGAACAGCCCAGTAGGAGCTCCGGCGCTCTGTACCATCTGGTTACTGTGCCCCGCGTCATGTTCTCGTCAATTGTTGTTCTGGAAAGACCAAAATCCGCTATTTTCACAGTCTTATCAGACCTCACAAGAATGTTCGATGGTTTTATGTCCCTGTGAAGTATGTGCTTACTGTGAATGTATGCCAGACCCTGGAGTATTTGCTCGGTGTAGCTAATGGCATCTTTTACTTCTATTTGTTTTCTTTTAATTAGCGCCAGAAGATCGGTCTTTATAAAAGGAAAAACAAGGAATATGCTGTACGATGTTTTTTTGAAGTTGTGGACTTTGTCTCTGTCTTGAATAAAGCTGTCCAGTAGGTTGATTATGTTTTTGTGAGATAGCGCCTTGAGGATCGAGATTTCTCTAATAAGAGTGACAGGGACTCCATCCTGCTCGTTCTTTAGCTTTATCTTTTTTAGTGCTACTTTCTTGTTCGTTGCTGTTTCTTTTCCCTTGTACACCTTTCCAAATGTTCCCTCCCCCACTTTTTTGACTATCCTGTAGACAGGCTCTCCACTGTCGCTTTTAAACATTTATCTATCTAAAAATGTTTAGTTTTTAAATTCATCGCAGAAGAGTGCTGATGAAATGGCACAGGAAAGCACCCTCGTGCACGGGCAACTGGCAATGTCTGCTTTCTTTTCCATCGAAAAGTATAGATTGTTTTGACTTCGAAAAAATTTACAAAATACAAATGAGCTGCAACTCCTCCTCTGAGCCTTTGAAAAAGACGGAGTATTTCAGCACCCTTTGTAAGTTGACGCATCTGAGCCCAAAGAAGCCCATTCCTCTGCAGAGCATCATACAGCTGTACAGACAGGGCGTGCTCACAGGAAGCCTCAACTACTACAGAGCCATTCTCAAAACACGAAACATTGTGTATGCTTCAATACGCAAAAGCATGTACAAAATAATGAATGGACAGGACCAAGACGGACTGAAAATAACAATATACGAAGAGCTATACAAGGCGAACCTTGTCACAGACGATGAAATACTTGAAATATTCAAGGAGTTTTCAAGAGTGCATCCAAACGAAATATTCACAGCCCTGGAGAACCAAAACAGTTTTTTACTGAAGCTGTGCCGGCTGATAAAAACAGACTTTTCTGAAAGTATTTGTGTCATTGCAAGAACAATGCTCGAATCAAACATAAACAGCTTGCTGGAGTACATCAACAAGAGACAGCACTCGAAGACGCTTAAGTATTTGATCAAAGACATAGAAGGGATGGCGTATCTGAAGGAGAACATTCTAGCCAATTTGACCAACACAGCAAACACATTGGAGGGACTTAAGGAAATGCTCAACAGAACAATCTCTCTGCACATCAGCCTGACAAAAATTGACTTTACTCTTGTTCTTCTTGCACCGGTGATGGAGTACATAAAAGACACAATCACAGAAAAGCTGGAATGCTTCGGAACAGAAGCCGCTTCAGAGGTTTTGTTTGCCGTTATTTCTCAGAGATCGTCAGAGCTTGTTGAAAATGTGGAGGAGACAGGCGCAGGAAATGAAAAGGCAAAGCTGCAGCTGCAAGGAGATATTTTAGACTTTTTGCTTTCTCTGCTGTCCTACGACAGCATGATGCAGACGCTGGCTCTGAGCATATCAAGAGACTTTATTCTGAAAAGATCGCACAGACAAGAGCTGCTGAACATCCTGGAAAGCAAGCTAGGGTTTTACAGGGCCTCCAGCATAGGAATTATAAAGAAAGATTTTGAGTATTTTTCGAACATCGAGATTTCTGAGTCAAAAGTGTATCAAGACGTGGTGGGAAGCACTTGCATACCAAAGGACATCTTTTCGAAAAATAAGAGGCCAAACATAAACCACTTTACTCTCTCTGAGCACTACTGGCCAGAGACCAACTACCAGGCATGGGACGATCTGCCTACAACAGTCTGTTCTCCGGGCATTTATAAAAGTAAAAAAACAAACACGAATGTGCACAGACAGATAACTCTAGAGTACTCGAAAAGCCACACGTATTTAGACATAACGGTGGAGATGCACGGCGCATCCATTGACGTTTCTGTTCCCATAAGCTACGTTGAGTATCTGTACAATAGAGAGAGCCTGACGGAAGATGAAGCAGCAGTAATTAAAGAGTTCTGGAGCCATTTAGAAAAAAAACAAATCCAAAAACAAAAGTGTAGCGAAGTGTAGAATATATGTTGGTTTCAATAAAATTTTATTTTATTATTCTTATTATTTGTTTCTAGCTTTCTTAAGCATTTTCATTCTCAAGTTGCTTTCTTGTTAGGCGAAGTCTTTTTGAAGAATTTCTTAGAAATTTTACTAAAGTAATTGCTAGATCCTTTCTTACTCTTTTCATCACTAGGTAGAGGACTCTGATCTGTCATTTCATCGCTATTTTCATTACTAGCTAAAGAATGGTTTTTTTTGGCTTTAGTATTCGGGGCTTCTTTCTTCTCTTTTTCTAAAGTCATAGGGTCTTTCATTCCTTCTTTAAAGAATTCGTCGAGATGTTTTACTCTTTTTTCAACAGTACCAGAGCTTTTTCTAGTGGAAGAGTGTGTATCATCATCAGTCTCTTCATATTCATAACCAGGATCCCCTTCTTTATTCGCAGAGTCAGAGCTTAAAGCATGTTCTGGATTGGCAGATTTATCAATATGTACAGACATAGGATCTGTTACACTTATCTGCTTATTGCTTGAATCATTATTATATGCTGTCGCTTTTTCACTTGAAGGATGTATTTTTGAAAACTTAAAATAGGCAGGTTTATCCATTTTACTTATTTTTTGAATCATAGCAGTAGCATCCTCTATTTGTTTTTTTCTTTCCTCTTGTGTTAAAAAATCATCAATGGGTGTATTTCCTCTTAGTGGACGGGTTTTTCTAATCTGTGCATATAGTTCTGGCTTATCATCTTTATTTTTGTTCTTTTGTACTGAGCTTTGTTCATGAAAAGTGCTATTTCTAACTCTAGGCACAAACAGGATAAGCAGAGCCGCACCCATTAGCATTTTGAGTGTATTAAGAGAAGTATTCTTGTAGAGCATTTTATGTTATCCAAAGCGCGATCTCTTTAAATAGTTTTCTTTTAATCTATCATCATTCACATATTATTTGTCTTTATGTCACTGCTAATTTACTTGTTTTTTGACATCTTCTCCATAGAGGCAGGATCCAGATTCAAGAAACAACCAATAAAAAGAAAATTGATAAACTTATCTTTATTTCCTTTTTGGATAGCACTTTCAAACTATTACTAGAAAGCTGTGGTTGTAGCAGACCTCGACTATAGATGGTCAAGCATTGAATAATCTTCAAATAAACTCTATATAGTCAAAAAATGTTTATTGCTGCTCTCATTTCCGATGGCATTCATTTGTATGCATCGTATATTTTCATGAAGGCTATTGCATTCTATAAGCACATAAATTGGTAATCAGATTCATTTTGAGTAAGTATTACTAGCTCTTTATCACTTCATTTTCACTTTGCGCTCCTACAGCTGAAGATTTGTCTTCAATGCTCGAGACTTTCTTGTCCTGCACATAACTATATGAATTTTCATTTTTATTTTCAGTGTTACTTTCTTCTTCTTCTGAGTCTGATGAAAAATCAACTAGAATGTATTCAGGCTCGCTTTCAGAATCAGCTTCATCTGAGATGGCACCAGCACCTTCTAAATTTTCATCAGAACAGGACTCAAAACTGAGTGAAATAGTGTCTGACTCATCATTGGACTCAAAGCTATGTGAAATAGCGGGATCTTTTCTATCTAGCTCTACAATAGCTGGTTCTGCAATATCTGGAACTCTAAATCTCATGTTTGAGCTATTCTCTTCCATTTTAGAACAATGCAAAGTTTCATTTGTCTCTTCAGTCGTATCCTCAAAAATATGTTTGCTGAACTTTGCTTGGTCTTCATTAAATTTTAACTGGTTTAGTATATAGTCTGTCGCTTTGAGTGGTGTAGCTTGTTCTTGCGGTACAAGTACATCTAAAACTATAGCATACTCTACATTAAATTCTTTTTCTTTAGACTTAAATTCTTTTTCTTTTTCTGAATCATCGGCCAGTCTGCTCTCCACAAAGGGAGATATATTCTCTTTATTATCCCTAATACAATCTGCCTCCTCTTTTAATGGCTGTTTTTCAATAGCTCCACTGGTCTTTTTAGATGTTTTTATTGTAGGCCTCTTCTCACCTCCACATCGCACTGGATATCTGTAGAAGATAAAAGAAACAATGCCTACTCCCACAATCCCTAGCACCAGATACTTTACTAGTGCTGCTCTAGAACTCATAACCAAATGTAATTTCAGCCTAATGTACTTTGCTTGTTAATATATCACAAGATCTTGCACACACTATGTCTGCATTAAGAAGGTTCAAATTGCTCAATTACAAAAGTGGCACAAAAAATACAGTTTTGCAAACAAAAGTTGGCAGGGCTGCTAGATAATGGTTATTTGCAAAAAACAATAAACAGTATAGCTTTGTAAAACAAACATTACAGCACAGGTAGCACCCCTAGAGCCTCTATCCATCTTTATACTTCTCTGCTCTATGAGAATATTAACGCTTAGCGCCATACATGATAGAGCATTTTTATTCAAGTAATCTAACCCCTGTAAAAGTTTTAATTTTAAAAAACTATCGGAGCTTTTATTATCTCCAATAATTTAAAAGTAGTAATTCCCCAGATATCAATTTGATCCTGGTGCAAAATATATATAGGAGTGCATTTTGCATTTTACACATGATACAGAGCCTTGGAAAAACAAAATTTACAATAATAACAATAATAGGTGTGGCCGTTACAACCATTATTATCCTATATTTTACACCGAGCAGTGGCAGTGAAAATAACTCTGAGAAAAAAAAGACAGGAAAATCTCCCACAGCAGGGGCATTGCAGGGCATGGAAGATGCCGCCAAAAGGACAGAAGCTGCAAAGAAACCCATCAAAAAGAGTCCAGACGGGAAGAAAACCGTAAAAAAAGAGAAAGACTACAGCCTTCCAAAGCCAGATAAAACCAGCCAGCTAGCAAAAGCCAATCCTCCTGTCCTGCACACTATTGAAGATAATTCAAAAGAAAAAGTGGAAGTTAAAACACAAGGCCTACACAGCACCACTGAATTTCCAGAGGAAAGTAAAAAAGAAAAAAACACAGCTGCAGAGACCGACACTAGTGTATCTGCTAAGCCAGAAAAATCTACACCCCTTAATATTAACGTAGATATGAAGGATAAGCCTATGAAGCCCATTGTGCCGCCAAAGCTCACCATACCTATGAAGCCAATAAGTGTGCCAACTACTAATCTATACAATGCGAATACTACTGATCCCATAAGAACTAAACCTGTAGATGCAGCAATTCCACAAATATCTCCATTAGCACGCCCATTATCATCTCCACCAGCACCACCTGTGCCTCCTACTGACATAAACAATAAGAGATCTCAGGATGTGGACTCTAAAAAAGATAGTCTTATTGACAGCCCTATAGAAGATGTAAAAGATACAGATACAATTCTTTCTCCATCTCTTGAAAGCCAGAGAAAAGAAGACAAAGAAGAGCCTATCGCATATAATAAGCTGGAGGTAGATAAAAATACGGATGAGTCAAATACTGATAATGCAGAGCAAGAACCTCGCTCGCATAGTGAGTATTTTACTAAAACCCTAGAAAACTTCGAAGAAATGTCAAAACCCAAAGAAGACATTACTTCATATGAGTATTTTAAGCGCACTAAAGGGAACAGGTCTTCAGAAAGCAGCAATTCTCCGATACAAAGCCCATCATCAAGCCCTCCCATAAAGCCAAACTATGAACTTCCCCAAACTAACTTTGAAAATTGGTCCACTGGCAAATCAAATTCATATATTCGAGCTATGCAAATCAATGAGGAAGTTAATGAGTCAAAAAACATGCTTAATGCACCAGATATAAACATGCAATCAGGTAAATTAGTCAGTGCAGCTGAAAAAGAAACATCCCACATAAGAGGAAAGGATACAGAGGCAGCTTTCTTGCATATTGAAAAGAAAATACCTGCTTCTATGCTCCTGGAGAAACATCAGTCTGATAGCGCAAAGCCTGGAGAAGATACTTTGAATAAGAGCAGCCCTGTGCCTACTACTGATGCACCAACAGATGGCATTGAAGAATCTTTGAACTATGCGACTGGTGCAGAAGTTGCAGGCAATGAGGAAGTTACCAAAGCTGGTGTAGAGGTAGAGGTTGCCAATTTTACTGTGCAAGAAAATGCCACAGAAACTACTAGTAAAAATCCCGAAAAGACATCTAGTGCAGCAGACATGAAAGATGAGTCTGCTAACAAAATCAGCAGTGATAAATCTGCACTAGCATCTACTGGTCCACTTGTAGACTCTGCTTCTTCACTGGAGAAAATAGCCATTGATAGTGGGCTTATCCATCCGCCTACAGAAAAAAAAGATGAAAAAATGCAACAAAATTCTCAATTCTCCGAGCCCAAAGACAGTCCGCAAGGCGCATACTCTAGCATGCAGCAAAGCAAGCTTAAAGAAGACCAGGAGAAAACTAAAGAGTTTATAAAGCAAGAGTTAATCAGTGAAGATATGACAGCAAAGGTGTACGAGCCAAGGACCTACTACGAAGTCAATGATAAAGGATTGCTTGTACAGGTCACAGACTTATAAACTGTTTGCTCAGTCGTTATCTAACGAAATCACACGAGTAAAAAAGAATGAAAGATAAATAAAAGCAGTTACAAACCAATCAAGCGTAAATCTATTTATTACTCGCGATCCCAGATAGCTTCTAAAGAGAATTTATCCGTCACTCCACTAGCTGATCAAACACTCGTCTATCCACTGCACAGCACCACAGTCCAGCACACAGACTATTTTTTAACAAATGGACACTTGTGAATGCAGAACTTCTCTACCTGCGAGATTTGATCATTTGTAAGGGGCTTGAAGAGAAGGGCTGGCTGTCCTATCACGCGTCCCTCCTCTATCTCTTCGGCGAAGCTCTCTTGCAGCTTCATCTCTCCCTCTACTCCCAGCATGTTTTTTAGTTTCGTTGCCTCCTCGGGTGTGATGGGGTACAGCATCTGGCCCATCAGATGGAGGATGTTCACAGACTGAGACATGACACTTCCCAGCTCACTGGGCGCGAGTTTATCTGCAAATCCTTTCTGGATGTATCCGTTTCCGATATTTGCAACTGCGATGATGCACTGTATGGCCTGCCGTATCTCTGTTGCCTCCATGCACACGATATACTTCTGCAGTGCTTCGTTGAGTGTTTCCTTTATCTCCTGCGGGAGCGTGGTCTTCAGTAATTTTCTGCTCAATTTTTTATCGATGTACGAAAGCACTCTGTTGCAGAAGTTCCCTATTGTGTTAATGAGGATGGAGTTGAGGGACTCATGGAACTCCACCCAGGAGAAGTTTGTGTCTCCTGTCTCCGGCCTGTTTCTCATCAGATGGAACCTCCAAATGCCTGCAGGGCCTATTGCGTCATTTAGCAGGTTGTGTCCAAATATTCCCACGTTCTGAGACTTGCTGAACTTTCCTCCTTCGTACATAAGGTAGTGCGTGGAAGAAATGAGCTTAGGATACTTCATGATCGAGTTGCATCCCAGCAAAAGCCCGGGGAAGAACACGCTGTGGAAGAAGACATTGTCTTTGCCCATGAACTGGTACAGATCCACAGAGCTGTCTTTCCACCAGTCTATTTTTCCTATCTCATCGGTGAAGGTAATGTATCCTATGGGCGCATCAAACCACACATAAAGCACTTTCCCCTCGTACTCTTCCAGGGGCACAGGAACACCCCATTTGTGTTTCAGATCTCTTGTGATGCACCTCGGCTGCAGCTCCTTTGACTTCCACTCGAGAGCTATCTGCTTGGCTGCAGGTGTCCATGCACCGGCATTCTTGTCCATCAGTTCGTGTATTTTGTCCTGGAACGTGTCCAAGTTGTAGAACAGATGCTTTGTCTCTTTCTTCACGGGAGGCTCAGAACACGTCGAGCAAAAGGGGTTTATTATCTCATCAGAGGCGAGTATTGACCCGCAGCTGTCGCACTGGTCTCCTCTTGCCTGGTTTGAGTGGCAGAGCGCGCATGTTCCATTCACATACCTGTCGGCTAGGAACATATTGCACTTTTCGCAGAAGAACCTTAGCTCTGTTTTTTCGCTAAAGTTTCCGTTATTCCACATCTCCAAAAAGAGCTGCTGTGTGATCTCTTTGTGTCTTTCGCAGGACGTTCTTCCAAAGCTGTCGCACTCTATCTGGAACCAGTTGTACACCTCCTTGTGCTTTTGGCTGTTTTCTTTGCAGAGCTCGGCTGGCGTTTTTCCAGCCTTATCTGCTGATACCTCGGAAGCAGTCCCGTACTCGTCAGTCCCGCACACATAGACTGTTTCAATGCCTCTCATTCTGGAGTATCTGGCAAACACATCAGCACTCAGCAGAGCGCCCACGACATTCCCCAAGTGCGGCAGATTGTTGACATACGGCAGTGCTGCTGTGATCAATCTTCTTTCTTTCTTTGTGCCAGTCATAATAAAAATAATTTTATTTCTCTTTTAATCTGCACAGAACGGAAGAACAGCAAACTCTACAGATAGCACCAGCTCGCACTAAGAGCAATACAGCATCGCTAAATTAAAGAATGTGCTTTCATAGCTCAGTTGGTTAGAGCATCGGTCTAATAATCCGAAGGCCCCAGGTTCGAGCCCTGGTGAAAGCATCTTTTTATAAAATTGATTTATTGCAGAATTGGCACTGGCTGTTTATTTCTACTGCTCTCTGTGCTATTGCGCTCTAGCAGGTCTGCTGATATTTGCTTAATACTTGCTTATTTACACTAGCGGCCCTTCTGTATTAGAATGCAAAATGCTTTCTCTCTTTTCCGGGGGAATAAAAGAGCTACAGTAGGGAGGGGATGAAATTATAAAATAGGCTCTGTGTGATAAAATCTGCTTTATTCTATGGCTGTCATACCTGTCTGTTCTCCAGGCTTTTAAAGTATCTTTCTACACACTCTTTTTCCATGGCGTTCCCGTGCGCTGAGGGGATGATAATCGAGTGCAAGGGAGGGCCATGCTCTGCACTCTTTAGCTCTGCCAGTGTTCCGTACGTGAAACACTCACTTTGTAGCCCGAGTCTTTCTATTCCAACTGCCTTGGAGTCGAGCAGCTGTCTATTGCCCCAGTGCTCTGATGCCTCCTCTATCTGTGCTATGGCCTCTGGGATGGTCATGAATCTAGTGTATCTTTTGTCCTCCTTTCCCATCAGAGTGTCGAGTGTTGGCTCGTTTATTTTTATGTCCAGTAGACAAAGTGTGTGCAGGCCGCTATCAAAGTTACTCAGAATGTTCTTCAGAAAGTCGTAGGGTCTCCAGTTGTCTGCAAAGAACGGGATAGAAACAGTCCTGCCGAATCCATACGAGTTGAATCCACAGCACCCCATTGCGCTTTGGATCGATGAGTTGTGAAGGACATTCACTTTTATTTTCAGCTCCTGCGCCCTGACCAGCAGCTCCGTGTGCGTAGTTGCAAAGAGTGGAGTGCCCACCACTAGCAGCACTACATTCTTGCTCAGTGCCTCTTTTATTATCAGAGGATCACCGCCATCGGATCCTTCTATGTCTTCTCTGAAGGCGGACTTAACACTCCTTTCTAGCACACTTTCTATTTCTGTCTCATCTAGAACGATGCTCGTATATCTTTCTAGATACACACTGTCTGCCTCTTTTGCCATTTTCAGCCCTTTTACTGAAATGTCTGTGGGCTCTAGTCCGAGTCCTATAAGCGTAAGCATGGATATTTAGCATAAAAAATATTCGCATATAAGAAACTGTTAGCTTACCGGCAATAACCGATGGCATTGTAAACTAGCATAGAAAAATAAAAATAAAAGTGTCCATGAAAGAAATTGTCTGTACTCATCCACACAGCTACTATGGACACTTTCTGCTAGACTAAGCCGTACTCTTACTGTCTTTAGACTCTGTTAAGATATTGTTTAATGTTCTATCTCTATATCTCTTACACGATTTTTATCATAAATTTATGTTTTATGATGTATAAAATCATCTTTTTATTCTCAAGTTATATTCAAGACCCAGACTCTTAGATGGCTGATTATTTAACAGTTATTTATCTTTATCTGTACATACGTTAACTACCAGTTAAGCTGCATTTCATCTACTGATAGACAGGCCAATGGTATAATTGGATATAATTTGTCTACAAATTGACAAATATGATGCTAATGATGCTTTTTGTTCAATGATTTAATTGGACATTCTCAGAAAGCTCTATGAGTGTGCTATGCCATTAAGCCAATAGCATAAATTTTTTGAGAAATTAGCTTTAAATTGTTTTGTGGAGCTAAAATTTTATTGCAATCATGAAAGAAGCTAAATTAAAGATAAATGTAGAAGGAATAGTGAAAGCGTGCCTATCTATCAATGCTGAGAAAATTATAGATGTATCGGCTAAATCAAGTGATAAGCTAACTCATTTGGTAATACTGGACCATATTCTTAGCGATAATCTAGAAATAGAAAGTAGACAGCACAGTAAGAAAGAAAAGAAGAACATTTTAGATGTGCTCAAGAACAACATGTACCAGTGCCTCATAGACAATGAAAATGAAGCATCTACGATGATCAGTTTGCACGATGCACTAAGAGATGGAAAAGAGGAAATGATTAAATTTTGGTCTCTCAGTTTAGCCAATATGCTCATAAATCCAAATCCATTCATATACAATCCAAACCATGGAATTAGCAGAAAAAATGAAGCAGTAGAACACATAGTATTGTTTACCCCAAGTTCTGATCTGAGTCCCAGAGAGTGCACATTGGAGCTTAGAGACATAAACTGTTTCAATCTGGAGAGCGCACTTCAGCTTACCTCGGAGAGTCTTGATAAAGAAATTCTCTGCCATGTCTCTAACTCAATATCTTCAATAGATATGGATATTTTTAAAAAACACGTACTCTTAGGAAAAGACTACAGTCTGAGCGAGTTATACTCTTTGAAAAAAGAAAAAATGCTATTGGTAGACTACGGGCTGAATCTTATTCGCAGAAAATATCCCGAGATTAGAAGGCTAATTAAAACAGTTAAAGCACTAGAAGAGGGTCCTAATGAGCAGAAGCATCAAATTGGAGAGGAAATTCTCAAAGTGCTTACTTTTGAAGACATGAGAATACTCTTTTCAATTATGGACAACATAGAAGAAGTTAAAAAAGAGAAAGCAATACATAATCAAATGTTTAAGACATTTGAATACATGGCAAATGAGACTTCCCTCTTGGAAGAAAGCCACATATCAAGTCCATCTTGGGTAAGGGATGGCATAAGTGAGTTTTATTACAAGTATATATCCACTGATAATGGTCTTGAAAAAGCATCAAATAAAAAAAAGGATGAACTAGCTGAAGAAATAAGAGTAAAAAACCTAGAACTAGAAGGAAAAGAGGCAGAATATAGTCAAAAAGCAGCTGAGCTCAAAGACTATGCGGATGCAAATAGAGCTGATTGTGATCCGCATGAGTACGAAGTAAAAGAAAAAGAGATGAAAGAAAGCCTGCAAAACCTACACCTTTCTATTGAGAAGATAAAACATAGTCTGTATGCATTAAAATTTGCTGAGAAAAAAGAAAAGGTGCAGCTTGATAGAAATTTCGAGTTGTTGAAATCTGTCAGCTTCTTCTCTTCCCAAATAGTCCCGAACCAAAAAGCATACATCTACGAAAAGATGAATGACTTTGAAAATATGCACGCTCTGAAATCAGTAGAACCAGGCAGATTTTTCTCAACAAAGCGCACAGAAAGAGAAGTAATTCAAATACTCGTTTTAATCATCTCCCTTACAGCAGTAACAGCAATGCTATTATTTATATTCAATCATTATCCAGAGAACAAGATAATTGCTAACAACTGATCTGCTGAGCCAAAAAGAAGTATCACGAAATAAAGTAAACTTGAATAAATACATACAATATATCTATATAAATACATATCACTAAAAATAGTCCTAGAACACATCATACTCCTGCCAGCTATACAACAACAGCTGCACTGAATTACCAAAAATAGCCAAAGAAAGTATTTTAAATAGTTTATTACTAAATTTATGCTGTTGCCATTGGATGTATCTTGCATGTGGGAACGGGCTGCTTTGGAGCCTTTCCAGAGCACCTGACTGACGAGCTCTTAATGAGGTTGTATGCTGATGCAAGAGCCTGCTCTAGCCTAGTAAGTGATGCTCCGTACATTCCGTACAGTTTGTTCTGCGTCATATCAAACCTTGTGTTAATGAGAGACTGCTCATTAGACGGCATTCCCTGGTAGAGAGGATCCGTCATCGCAGACTTAGAGAGAAGACACATCAGATCGTTGTTCTTTGTCTGGCCATAGAGAGCCTGCGAAAGCATTCCCTGGTCCATGCCGATGTACGATGCAACACTTGGAGAAGCTAGCAGCTGTCTGATCGCATTGAACGAGCTATTACCCAGGGAAACAACGCCAGCGAGCTGGAGCCCTGCATCTGAGGATATTCCATCGAACGCGCCCCTGGACATACCAGCCTGCAGGCCCAGCATAGGATTGCACACACTGATACTTGATCTCATTCTTTCTCCAAACTTCTCCTTTCTCATGCTTGCTTCTATTGTCTCCTTCTGCGCCTTCAGCTGCACGATGAGCTTCTGTATCATCTCTGGCTGCTTGTTCACTACGCTAATCTGCTCTGGGCTCAGGGAAATGGTCTGCGACTGGAACATAGCCTGTCCCTCCATTAGGTACTTGATTATGTCTCCTTCTGTCATCTGCGATGGCACTCCCTGTATGCGCGACATGACATTAGCTACAGCTGGGCTTCCCAGTGGGAAAGCAGGGAACATTGGGTTGAATCCCATTGGCATTGGCATTGGTGTCTGCATCGGCATTTTCTCCAGCTCCTGCCCCTTTATCTGCAGACGCAGCAGTATGCCCTGCATCTGCACAGGAGTTAGTGCACCTATATGAATAAGTGTCTGCTGCACCTGCTGCGGCGTAAGCATGGAGTTCAGGGCTCTTATCTGCGCCACAGAAAGGACTTTGCTGAGCACCTGTATCTGAGAGGTAGTCAAGATCTGCGCTACAGCCTTGTTTAGATCTATTGTCTCTTTCTCTGTCATAGACTCAGTGGGATTAGAGAGCTGGTGCGCAATGATCTCTGACTGCCTGGTGCACTCTTGCAATTTATCTTGCTGGAACTGGCCCACAGCCTGGCCAAACTGCGCTGCTCTTGCGGTGTGCTTGGAGTACGTTCTTGTTTGCCTTGTTGCTGTCTTTCTGTACGCTCTTGCCTGCTTCTTGTTGCCCTGTGCTTCTGCCTTCTGCGCCATTGCTTTGTATGATGCAGCTTTTCTTTGGGCCCTTGCTGCTTTTCTGCTCGATCTTATCGCAGCTGATCTTGCAGCCTGTTCTTTCGCTGCTGCTGCTGCTACTCCTGCAGATGTTGCACCGCTCTGCATGAACCTTCTCGAGGCTCTTGACATGGCGCGTCTCATCCTTGTGATCTTGGAGATTCTTCTGGTCAGCCATCTTTTTGAGCTTCTGCTCGATCTCACACCGTATGCCATGTGCTTCTGGCTCTGGTACATGCGGCCCTTTGTGCTGAACAAAGCGTGCTGCATGGTCATTCCCATGAGGGACCCTTGTATCTCTCGCGTGGCGTATTCAGAGGAGGAGACTCCCTTGTAGTATGTTTCATGTGCTTGGTGCGCTGATATGATGGCAGATGATGCATTGGCTGTAAAGGAGCTGGCTGCAGCCTTTCTGGAGCTTTCTTCAAAGACCGAAGCAGATGCTGTTGTTGTTTCGCTCTTGCTCTCCACTATTGTTTTAATTGCTACATTTTTGTTCATATCTGCAGAGAACCATGCGGCTCCTGCTTGTGTGGTCTCTCCTTCTATCATGCCTCCTTTTGATGCCTGTCTTGCTGCTGCTGCGTCTTGCTCTGCGCTTTCCTGATCGCTGCCGGCCTTTCTCGCCTTCAGGATCTCGCCTGCTCGGGCTTCTTTTTCCATTGCTCTTGCCTTTCTTCTTGCCTTTCTGGCTTTTCTTCTTGCACGCTTTTCTTGCTTGTAGTCCTTTCGTGCTGCTGCTAGTGCTGCTTTTTCGTCCATTCTCAGGGCCTTTCTCTGCAGACTCTCTGGCGTATCTTTTACACGCGGGACAGATGAAGCTTTGTCTTCGCTGCTGGATCCATCGCTTGAGCTTGGGTGGTGCTTGTGCTTGTGCTTGTGTTTGCGCGGGTGAGAATCACTGCTGCCATTCGCTCCCTTAGTGTTATCAAGGGAGCTAGAGCTGGGATCAGAGTCAGAGCTAGAGGAGCCAGAATCAGAGTCAGAGCCAGAGGAAGACCCATCACTCGATCCATCGCCGCCTTTTCCTTTGTGCTTGTGAGGGCTGCTCTTGCTTCCCGAAGAAGAAGAGGCACTAGAGTAGCTAGATGAAGAAAGATCGTCATCATCGTCTTTTTCTGCTGGTGTTTTTTCCTCAAAGGGAAACTTCTTTCTGATTGTTTCGAACAGATTCTTCTTCAGACCAGATGTGAACTTCTGCAGCTCTTCAGCCACAGTTCTTTCATCTCTTGGCTCGTACGCCAATTTGTTCAGGATCAGCACTCCCTTGTATATCTCTATTCTCTTTGCCTTTTCCAATGCAAATCCGTACCCTTCAGGCGTTGTCATGACCTGACTCACAATGGGTGTCTCTGGGTTGGGCAGAACTATGTTAACACCGTACACATCGATGTAGTACACGTATGTTCCATCGTTATCTCTTACCTTGGTAAATACTCCTTTGGCTGAGTTTACCTTGGAGAATGACTTCATGTACTCTTCAGTGACCACTAACTTTCCTATTTCAATGGAGAGTGAGAGAGCAGTCCTAGGAATGTAGAAGTACATCCCACTTGAGTATAAGACATTGAGTCCGCTGTCATAGTATCTTGAAGTTCCCTTCCCCTCGAGCTCGCTCATCAGCACATCTCTTCTGTCCTGCGCTATCACTTCATCTGTTGACATAGTAGTACTTGATAGAAGAACCTTCAGCGGGAACTTTATTGACACATTACCTAGAACAACGTATGAGTCTTCATCACCTATCGAGAAGAGCACTCCCAGAGCTTCGTCCCTTGTTGGACCATTACCAAAGCCTGTGGCCATGGCAGTGATTGGGTTGAGGAAAGGCATTGCGCTCTTTGCGTATGGCTGGTAGTTGTTTGCCGACACAGGCATTGAGCCAAAGGAAGGATCATCTGGATTAGTTGTGTATCTCTGCGGTCCAAATGGCGCGCCTATGGGGACAGGCGTAGGCACTCGGCGCCCTCGTCTTCCCATGATGGGGGGGAATGGATCTCCTGGAGCTGGACTCATTGGATCGCCGTTTGGGTTTTGCTCTCCTACGAATGGCATGCTTCCTTCAGAGCATGAGTTATTGATGCATACGTGCTCAGTTCCATTGTGCTCCTGTATCACTCCGGTGTTGTAGGCGGAAACAGAAGTTGGAATTATGGCATTGTCATTTGAGAGGCCAATTGGTGACTGCAGGTTGTTGGACCCCTTTCCTGTGCTTCCTTGAGAGTTACCTGCCTCAAAAGGTATCAATACACTATCTATTGACTCGCTTTGTGCTATGGAAGTTGCATGTGCTGCATTGGCATAAAACAGTAATACTGACAATATCCCTTTCGTTTTCATTCGGATCATAAAATATCTCGAGTTTTCCCCTATAAAACCTTTGTGGTAAAACACTCTTGAAGGCACTGTTTTGAATTCCTCCAAAGATCGCTGTGTTTTGAAACACGTTTAGCAGTAGATCGCCTGGAAGTGGCTCTCTCTGCCATCAGAGTGTTCCTTTGCATGTGCAACGCTGTTTCACCGCCGATTGGGCAGATGCGAATGTTCCAAAAGACAATAAGCGCGAGTGAATAAAAATAAAATGAAGAGCCATAAGACAAAGTATGAGATATGAAACAAAAAGAAAATTACCGCTCTGCAAAACAGAGCCAACTGTTTGTGCTACAGATACTCAGAATTAACAGCTTTTATTAAAATATCGGCACTTTTCTCCTTCACAGTTGTGTATACTAATTACTTGTAGGGCGCTGAATGATGGGCTCTGATGAATTGTGCATCTGTTGAATAAATTGTCGTTTTTAAGTTATTTTATCTTATCACATAGCCTAAAAGGGCAATTGTTTCTCTTATTTTTATCTGTTTGACTTATATTTTCCCATAAGAGATTAAGCATGTTTATTATCAGAGAATGCACCAAGAAAAAGAGAAAAGCAGAAGAGAGAAGTGAAAATGCAAAACAGATCAGTGTGTCATATAAATTTATTATGGAAGTATAGTTGGCGTTTCTTTCCACTCTGTTGGGCCTGCAGGCGCAAAGACTTTTACCTCGCCTTTTCCATACCCCACAGCCAGGGCGTATCCCAGCTGTGTCCATGCTAACTTGCTGCAGGGTGCTCCTATCTCGTGCTTATCTACCGCAAACTTCAGGGGCGCGTCTTTTTCTTCTGTGAATATCAGCAAAAGCCCATCGTCTGCACAGGTTGCAAAAATAAAAGACCCGTACTCATTAACACACACTTTGCAGTCTCTCACTGGCTTTGTGTGTTCTTTTATCTCCAAGAGCAATGAAAGATCTGTATCCTTCCATATCTTTACAGATCCATCAACTCCTGATGTAATAATGTACTCTTTGTGGACAGTGACTCCTGTTACGCCGTGTTTGTGCGCTGTGCACTCCATAGACGTGCTGCCTGCCATTGTGACTCTTCTTACTCTTCCATCTGAGCATCCGCATAGGATGTCTCCCTTGTACTCGCATATTACATTAATGCATCCCTGGAACACAGAAATAGATGACTCAAACGCATACTCGCCTGCGCCCATCTTCCACACCAGCAAATGCCCATCGTGTGTTGATGCTACAATTCTTTCGTCCATGAAGAGAATAGAGAATATAGCAGAGGAGCTATACGATAGCTTCTGCACGGGAACTGTGCTATCACTTGCTATTTTGTACAGAGTGATGGACCCATCCTCTGCTCCTGCTGCCACTAAGTCCCCTAGCGGGCTACTTTGTAGGTTGTACACCAATGCTTCAGCACTCTGTGTCTCTATACTCATAAATAAAACAATAAAAAAACAGAAGAAATATTGAGGTGTTCTCATCTACTTCTTCGATTCTTTAGAACGCTCTGCTGCACCAGATGAAGAGTAGAGTTGAACAGAAGATAGGCGAGAAAGATTTCCTTATCTGGAGAATATGTACTTTTGTAGACACATGTACTTAATTATGACCATCTTTATGGTGCTCAGCTAGAGACAAATCTCATAATAAAAAATAGTTTAATTCCAAAGAGTACACACCAAAAACTAGTAGTAAATTATTTTTATTCTTCTGGCACTGCGGGCACAGTTGTACGTCTATAGATAGAATATCTGAATCTGCTGTAAAACTGCTGTTAGATCACGGGTGTAAACTCATGGACTATGAGTTATGAATGTTTTCGTAATAATAGCGGGGAGAGATGTGTAGATCGGCTTTACCTACTGTTTTTCCCCTGCTGCTGTTAATCCGAGTCATTTTCACTAAATTTTTACTAGCATCTGACGGGTCTTCCTCTGCGCTAGGAGAAGAAACTGCGGACCTATCCCTCTCATACTCCTCATTGAAAATAAAAACACAACTTTTGGCATTTTTTGTAGTATTGTCTATAGAGCTAAGTTCAGTACACTTTGTGTTGTTTAAAACATCCTCAACTTTTTTGCCTGAAGGAAGCTCTATTAAAAAGTAGTTAAAGTCGTCTGGGTTGCTAAACTCAATTTTAATGCTCTCTTCTGTGCCTAAGCTTGACCAGTATTTCATTTTGCCTGTGAACTTCTCGCGCTTTCCGTGTTTGGTGCTTCTCCTCATTTTAAAGTTAATGCCACTATTTAGTATTTTTATACCGCTCTTTTTTGTTGAAACGTATATCTTAGGACAGTAAAAGCCAGGATCATTCTCTCTTTGCAGCTCTATTTCCTGTAGATAGGATGACATGAAAGAAGATTGAAAAGGGATGTTCTCTGTAGAGACTCCCGGATGATTTTCATTTTTATTTGTCTTTTCTTCATACATATTTGGGCTACGGACATCCTTTCCTTGAAATTCTTCCGTGTTCTTCAAGAGGCTCTGACTCTCCTTAAACTGCTGTTTCGCTAATATCTTTCTTCTGGAGTCTTCAGTATCTTTTTGCACTTCATCAATGCAGTACATACAAATAGCACTCAGCAATAGAAAAAGTAAGCATGCAAGACAAGATGCATTCGTTTTTTTCTTTAAAACCATGCGAGAATAATAAATTATTAAGCTACAGAATCTTTAAATACTTTACATTGCAATCAGTGATATGTCACATGCCATATAAAGTTAATATATAGCTAGCGTGCAGTGATAAATTGGAAAGTTAAAGACTAAGCAATATTAAGCTAAATAGCTCCAGTAATATATGCTCTATATACACACTAAACGCTGATGTGTGCATAAATAAGACTAAGAAACACGAAAAACTGAACGTAGATAGCGTATTATACATAGAGATCTTTCTTGGATAGTAGATAGATCAAGTGCTCTTTAAGTGCAGTCTGAGAAGATTGGATCTTTTCCATGCTGTTTACTCTCTAAATCTTCACTAACCAAAATTAAATATTCATCATTTTGATAGCTCTGCATACTATTAAAAAATGTTTCAAAAAATTCTACATGCTATCCTACAAGATACTTCTTTTATCTCTTACACTTACTGCGATAATATGCAGCAGCACAATATATAGCTCAGAAAGTGAAGAAGAGAGTGTTTCTGAAACAATTATGCCAACACAATTGAAAAATAAAGGGCTTAAGAGAGTCAGTAAAGCCAGCAGAACATCCTCTAGCAAAGTGTTTGTAACTGATGCAGATAAAGAAAGAGTCTCATCTAGCAAAGATACAAATACTTCAAGCAAGCCAGTCATACAATCGAATATTTTGATCCGTAAACCAGTCTGTAGCACTTCTTTTGTTTCCAGTGCAGATAGAAATGAGAGCCAAAGTGATTTGTTCATTGAAAGGCTGCAGTTCCTAAAAGAACAGCGCGTGTTTGAGCCAATAATGAAAAACATACACTCAATACTAAACCCAACTACCATGATGCTCTATACCAACTTCTTCGATGCGTCTTTTATGTCTGTTCTTATTATGGACACGAACTACAAGAAGAACTACATTCTGCTCAACTATACAAGAGGCTCTGATCTAGAGAAACCCAATAACCCGGATGATCCATTAAATCTATTCAACCCCATGAATCCACTGAACATATGGGAGGCTCCTGACCACCGAGCCGAGTCTACTTTCAAAATAAAATTTAAAAGAGACGGAAAAGAGCTAACTTTTGAAATAGACTTAAAAGGAAACGGAAGTAAATATGCTGCCAATCCTGATAAAGCCATGCAAATCATCAATCCCATGTATCTTTTAAACAGCGGTGCGGATAAGAATAAAGTATTAGCATACTTCAAACATGGCTCTGATGGGAAAAGCCGTAAAACCGAGTATAAAATAAACTCAGCAGAACTGCACAAGATATTTCATCTCATATGAAGACCATCTAGCTTTATATGAGATAGACACGCTTTCTTGTCATTTTCTACTGTTTATACTCAGAGAGTTGTATGTGAATTATTTAAAATAAAAGTATACTCACGATGTCCATTAAAATAATTATTTTCGCCAATTAATTCATAAACTTTTTATTTCTAGGAGTACTTTTACAGCTTCTGTAGAGTATAGAATTTTGCAAAATTATTTGTGTATTTATAAATCCATAAGCAAACATAAGACAGGAATTAAAAGCAGAAAGATACAAAGATATAAAGCCAGTGGATGGAATACTTCTCAATAAAACTATAACTCTGTGTGTGAAATCGTCTTTAAATAGATTTGTGAGGAATATTAGAATTTCCATCAACATTCTTTTTACTGTATTATTTTGACAGGATATGGGAGTAGTACTTTTTCTCTAGAGTCTATACAAAATAGAGTTTATGACAGCTCAAACACGCCACATTGTGTCATCTACACGATCTAGCAGTTATATTTTCACTCTCAGATGAAGACATTGAACATGCTTTGCGAAGAAGAGAAGTAGGAGTATATAGCCTAAAATATTTTCATTTTAATTTTCTGTGGCTTTGCACTGAATGAAGATGATGATAAAGTGGATAATGGCACTGGGCGCTGCCGCACTGGCTTATTTCCAACAAACCAGCTGCCGCATATCAGAAAATGACATAGTGGAAATGCAAAAGTACTGGGAGAATAAGGTGCTCAATCTGGAAAGAGAAATCCAAGTGCGCGCAGATTTTCTTAAAAAGATTAATTCGATAATTTTTTGGAGAAAAATATTTATATTAATTCCAGAACTAATCTGCATACCAGCAGGAGACGAATATCTCTCTGAGCTAAAAAAAAGCGTGGCAATTTTCAAGAAAAGCACAGAAGAGCTGGCTGAGGAGCTCGAGTCACTGATGGCCATCTACTGCTGCCTAAACAACCCTCGCATTGCCAAGGCCAAAACAGAATTCTCTGCTGTGATTAAAAACAAGAAAACTAGCTTAAAAAAACTCCTTGCACCGGTTTTTACTCATTTTGATTTAGCGATGGAAAGTATTAGCAAATACGACTCAAACATGATGTGTTTGATAAAAGGAGAAACAGATGAAATAGCAGCAACCAAGCTTACCAAAGACTATGTAATTTTTAAGTACACAGAAGAGAACAAAATAACAGCCATAAATGTCATATACACCCTCTATTTGATGGACATAAACAAAAGAAGAAAAATATTCCGTATAGTACATTGCGACTTTTCTAAGCTGGACATTGCAATAAAACATGCAGTATTCTACCTGTCTACCGTAGCAATACCCCATATTTCATGCATCAACATAACCAATTTTATGAACGAAGTAAAGAAGAAGTTAATGAAACCAGAATTTGAAGAGTCACTTATAATAGAAGTGATCAACGAGGCTTTTCCCTTGCTTTTTTACAACACTGTCAGTCTAGAAGACACGCATGAACCAGACAAAGAGATACATCTTATCTATAGCGGCCTCTTAAAAAAGAACATCCCAGAAAGTGAAATGGACACATACAAAGACATGCCAGAGAATAAGATTGTAAAATTGATAACAATAGAATGCCTGATGCACGGAGGCCTTATGGACTACAGAAGAAACCATCTACTTTCTAGACTAGGGGGCATACTAGAGAGCATGTTCGATCCAGATCCGGATAAGAAAGGAAACCCCAAGGATATTCACGAAAAAATGAGAACAAGCAGAATAGCCCAGGAAAGAGTGCTTGGCTTTCTGAGCATGCTGTGGAAAAATCAAGACACTTCAGGTCTCTCGAATATCCAGATAGTTTTTATGAAGCACTACCACGCGATCAATGAAGTTGATTATTTTGACTTTAGGTACATACAGGAGAGCATAATGTCTGCCAAATGGATGTACGGAGTGGCCAGCTACATGCACGAATTCGAGCCCGCTGAAGACGAAGACGAAGTTAGCATGGGAATGCACTTTGACCTCTCCTACACACACCCCATGTGGTACATCTGCCAAAAGTGCGAACACATCAACCATCTGAAAGAGGCGCACCTTAAGCCAAGCACACGCCCATTTATGGAAATAAGCAACGGCATAATTACGCTTAGGCCAGATAGAATAAATAAAACAGAGAATAATCTAGCACGGGCCATGCGCATGCAAAGCTGCATCGAAGCATTTTTCTTTCCCTCCGTTGAAATTATCATCCAAAAAGAAGAAGAAGAGCACCTCAGCGTGCTCAGTGATTTTGTTATATGTCTGGCAAACAGAGAAGAAAAAACAGTAAAAGTGTATGAAGAAGAGTGAAGCCAAACTACTTATCCAGCACAAAAGAACACTCTTATCAGTAAATAAAGATAAGATACCCCTTCCAGACTGCATCTGCACCTTTCAGCATTTCTATTTATTCGCGCAGCCCAAAGACAAAACAGCAAACTGCAGCAAAATGCGCCTGCAAACCAAGAAGAGTGAATTAGTTAAGAGTGTTTATTCGATCTACTCCTTGCAGAAGTACTCAGACGGGTCTTTCAGCTCGCCAAGGCCTCTCTTGGCTCTAATCTGCTTGACGATCTCAAACATCGGGGTGCCCTCCTTGTCCAGCGCTCCCGGAACAATCGCGTAGTGCGAAAGCACAAGGTTGATGCTTGCGCCCCCGCCAGTGCTCTCCATGAGCTCTTTGTTCAGGTTGAATGATCTCTGCACAGGAACGTACGCCTTAAGGACAGACTTGTGGTTGTTGTAGATTGCATCCACGATCTCTCCTCTACGGCCCTTCACAACCTGCATTGCGGCGTCGATCATGCTGTCCTGCAGGGATATCTCAGCGAGGAAAATGGGCTCGTAGAGAATGGGGGTGGCTGCGAGCACAAGGCCCACTGCGAGCCTGCTCATTGTGGGGATAAGCTGCCCTGCGCCTCTGTGGATGGCATCAGCGTGGAGAGTCAGATCCATGAGGTCGAGTCTGAGCCCCTGCAGAGGCTCGCCAATCACAGGCCCCTCTTTCACTGCGGAGTCAAGCCCCATCTTCAGGAACTCTTTGACTTCGTGCAGGTTCTGCACGCCCTTGGAGGAGTCCACAATCACGTTGGGCCCTACGTCATCAGGGGAGTAGCAGAGCACTCTCTTCACCCACTCGTCTGCAGCTCCAAACTTGTTCTTGAAGAGCTCCACACGGGCCTTGGGGTCGTTGGAGATGAGCTCACCGTCTTTGATGGCTGCTGTGATCTCTTCACCCAGGGGCTCAATGACCATGTACACCTTGTTGTGCTTGTTGGCACTCTTGGACATGGCAATTGATGTGACGCTCTGCGAAATGCTCTCGAAGTACGAGACCTGGGGCTCGCCGCGGATGATGGGGACCTTTGCGTGGTCTTTCTCAAGGTCGTTGATGCATATCTCCACGTGCATCTCTCCTGCGCCTGCAATGACGATTTCTCCGGACTTCATGTACTGCACCTGGCAGAGAGAGTCCACCTGTGCGAGCTTAGTGAGGCCTTCCTTAAGCTTGGGGAGATCGCACGTGTTCTTGGGGAAGATGGAGTATCTCACGACAGGAGACACGCTGAACTTCATTGTCTTGATGTTGAAGGATCCGCGCGCGCTGGAGAGAGTGGCAGTCTTCTGGATCTCTGCGTCTACTCCAAGGACTCCCACGATGTTTCCTGCAGGGCATGCGTTGACTTCTTCTACAGTGCGGCCCATCATCAGGAGGACCTTTGTGACCACGCGGGCCTTGAGCTCCTTTCCTTTTCCTGGCTCGTAGTCTGGTCCCTGGACGTACAGGGGCATTCCTGGCTTGATGACTCCGGAGAAGACTCTTCCAAAGGCAATGAATCTGCCTGAGCCCTGGGGTATCATCTTGGAGACGTACATCATAACTGGAGCATCTTCGTCTGCTGCTGTCTTCTTGATGGCTGTGCAGAACTCGTCATCCTTTGGTCCTTCGTAGAGGGAGTCAGCTCTGTATACCTGGCTTTCTGCGGGGGAGGGGAGGTTGATGACGATCTGCTCGAGGAGGCAGTCTGCTGCTGGGAGCCACTTGCGCATCACGTGTTTGAACAGGGCCTTGTCTGCTGTGATCTCTTCGAGCTCTTTAGACCCGAAGGTAACGCCAAACTGCTTGAGGTACTCTTTGAGCTCCTGCTTCTTTGTTGCGAAGCACAGATCGCGCACTTTGTAGATTGGGTTGAGCACAAAGACAACGAATGGGTGGAGCTCTGGGTTTATCTCTGGGCCATTCTTCTTCTTCTTGAGGATCTTGCACTCGGGGTCAAAGGGGTCTGCGGATGTGCAGTATCTGTCCACCTTCCAGAGACACTTCTGGAAAGCATCGATCATTGCGGGCTTTCCCACCATGTCAAACTTGGCGGAGAAGAACTCTGCGAACTGTCTGAGGGTGAATCCCCAGCCCTGGAGGCCAGAGCAGAAGGACACTTCCAAGTCTGCAGGGTTGAGCTGCTTGATGTTTGATGACTTGTCTTCGTCCATGAGGAACTTGGAGAGGGTGGCATTGAAGCTTTCCACTGTGTTACGCAGAGACTTTGCAAACTCAGAAGGAGCCTCTCTCAGCTCGAGGAGAGCTCTATCGATCTTGTTGAGACACAGCACGGGCTTGATCTTCTCAATGATTGCCTGTCTGAGCACTGTCTCGGTCTGCACACAGATTCCTTCGATGCAGTCCACCACGACGAGGGCTCCGTCAGTCACTCTGAGGGCTGCTGTCACTTCGGAACTGAAGTCCACGTGTCCTGGGGAGTCGATTAAGTTGATCAAGAAGTGGTTCTCGTCTGTTTTCTTCTCCATGAAGGTGTCAAATGAGTCTTTCTTCAGCTTGAACTGCATGGAAATGGCAGTTGATTTGATGGTGATTCCTCTTTCCTGTTCATCCTGTCTGGTGTCGGTGAATCGCGATCCTGACTTCTCTGCAGAGAGAGACCCTGCTTTGACAACCAGTGTGTCTGTGAGAGTACTCTTCCCGTGGTCCACGTGGGCGATAACTGACATATTTCTAATGTTGCTTGGTTTTTTCATTAGCCGAACAACGGCTTCCATTGAAGCTGTATTTTTAGACATTCAGGGGTACAAAATTAAAAAAATAAAAATAGAAAAGAAAGCAACAGACAAAATAACAGCTCTGTGTGTACTGTGAAAAATAAAATGAAAAATTAAAAGCAGCTCGCTGGTGCTGGAGAGTAATTTAAAAATATAAAAATAAAATAATGGCACTATACAGTCTAATGGATGAATAAATAGATAGTTAGTAGATGGTTAGTAGATGGTTAATGGATAGATATATAGTGAATAGATGCATAGATAGTTAGTGGATGGATGCATGAATGCATAGTCAGATAGCTTATGGATCGGTACATATTTAATGGATAAATATAATGAATGTATAGCAAGATAATTATTGTATGGCTAATGAATATATAGCAATTAGTAACTCTAATAATAGTTGTGGATGTAATTGAATAAATAGCTCTACCGCAAGTGAATAGCAGCATATTGAATAATAAATGAAAAAGAGGGTCTTTAGTGAGAGTAAATAAAAGAAAATATTGCAAAGAGAAAAGTTGACAAGTGGTTTTATTTTTTGGATGGAAGCAGGGCCTTCATAAACTCTAGTTTGGGGTTGTTCATTATACACGACTCTAGGTGCACAAGAAGTATTTTCTTTGATGATTTTTGTTTTGCATCGGCCTCCATTTCCTTTAGAAGACTGATTAGGAACAATTCTATCGCATGGCTGATGACTATCGGGGCTGACGTACTGACCTTCCCTATCTCTTCGTCTATTTGCATTATTTTCTTGATTCTTGCAATGGGAAATCTGCACTTGGCTTTTCTTCTGAACTCTACAGGCTTCTGCGTATTCATTTGTTTCGTAAAAATTTGCACTGGATGAATAGAGACGCAGACAGCGATACGTACGGCAGCTCAAGTGACGTAGACAGAATAGAGCTCGAGGACTCAGAGCTCGACCCAGCAGGCGATGACTTATTCAACGACAACTACAGCAACGACTATGCAGACAATCCGCTCCTCGACAGGTACGAAACAGAAGACGAAGAGTACGCGCCTCCTTTGACGAGGAAAGAGCTGGAGTCAGCTGAGAGAGAAATATCGCAGGCCCTGGGAATAGAGTCAGAAGAAGAGGAGCACTGGAACAAAGAGCCCTCAGATCCTGAAACAGACGAAGAGCCTCTCTCCAGCTTCTCTCTCCTGCAGAAGCACATCCACACGCCAGACGTGCAGCAGAAGGTGAAAAATGAAACTGTTAAATTTCTGAAAACAAACAGCAACGGGAAATACATCGAGCTCATCAACCAAATGGCCTCGCTGAACAAACAGTCCATATACGTAGATTATTTCGACCTAGAAGGATTCTCTCCCGTGATAGCCCTCGCAGCTGTATCTATGCCAGCCAGGACACTTCCCCTGCTGAATGAGTCTCTGCAGAGCGTAGTCAGGAACATATTCCCCAAGTACTCGTTCATTAGGCCGTCTCTCATACTCAGGCTTGTAAATATCCCATCGTACGACAGGATAAGGTCTCTGCGCAACTCGCACTTAGGCACTCTCGTGAAGGTCCATGGGATAATAACAAAAAGAAGCGCAGTGCGCCCAATAGTCTCGCTGGTGAAGTACACCTGCCAGAAGTGCAAGGCAATCCTGGGCCCTTTCCTCATAGAAGACTCTGATGCAAGCGGAAAGAGCAAGAACAGGCCTAATAGGTGTCTGGAGTGCCAGTCTGCGAATACCCTCGCAGTGAATCAGACAGAGACCATATACAGAGACTACCAGAAGGTAACGATGCAGGAAGTACCGGGAACAGTGCCCCCTGGGAGACTCCCTCGCTCTAAGGAAGTAGTCCTGCAGTACGATCTCATAGACTGTGTGAGGCCTGGGGATGAGATAGAGCTCACAGGAACATACGGCAATACTTACTCAGTCTCGCACAGCAGTAAAAATACAGGAGTGCCGTCCTTCTCTACGTGCATAGAAGCACTCAGCATAATAAAGAAAGAGGATGTGTCTTCTGTAGTGAATATAACACCGCAGGATGAAAAAGAAATACGCAGACTTTCTAAGCTCGAGAACATCCACAACATCATCATACAAAGCATTGCACCGAGTATCCACGGCCACTACCCAGCAAAAAGAGCAATGGCTCTCTCTGTGTTTGGAGGAGTGCCTAAACACTCGAGCAATAACCACAAGGTGCGAGGAGACATAAATGTGCTTCTACTGGGTGATCCAGGCATGGCCAAGTCGCAGCTGCTCAAGTACATACAGAGCATATCGCACAGGGCAGTCTTTGCCACGGGACAGGGCGCATCTGCAGTGGGCCTCACAGCCATGGTAAGGAAAGACCCTGTGTCAAAAGAATGGACACTGGAGGGAGGCGCATTGGTGCTGGCAGATAAGGGCGTGTGTTTGATCGATGAGTTTGACAAGATGAAAGACACAGACAGAGTGAGCATCCACGAGGCTATGGAGCAGCAGAGCATAAGCATATCCAAGGCAGGGATAGTCACCAGCCTGCAGGCAAGGTGCGCAGTGATAGCAGCAGCAAACCCCGTGAGGGGAAGATACAACCCTGCGTACACCTTCCAGCAGAACGTAAACCTCAGTGACCCGATTATTTCAAGATTTGATGTGATATGTGTGATACAGGATGAGCCCGGGAACAGGGAGAAAGACAGACAGCTCGCAGGGTTTATAGTGGACAGCCACAGAAGAGCTGCTAATAACAGCACAGAAGAGAGTGCTAACAATTACTACACAGGGGATAGTAATAAGAGCGGTAGGAGTAGCACTGAGGAAAGCACAGGCGCAGATGGGCTGATACCGCAGCACATACTGAGGAAGTACATTGCATACGCCAGGGAAAGGGTAAGGCCAAAGATCGAAGTGTTTGACAGCGAAAGAATCTCTTCGCTCTATGCGTCTCTGCGTAAAGAGAGCGCAGCAGCGAGAGGCATTCCTATTACGGTGAGACACGTTGAGTCAATGGTAAGAATAGCTGAAGCATCGGCGAGAATGCACCTGCGCGAGGTGGTCACGCAGAAAGACATTGACACAGCAGTTGAGGTGGTTCTGGACAGCTTCTGCAGCACCCAAAAGAACGCAGTAAGAAACCAACTGCAGTGGAAGTTCAAGAAGTATCTACCCGCTAAAGGCGATAGCTCGGCTGCTGTGATTGATCTGATCAACTCGCTGCTTGCAAGAGGAGAGAACACTCCGAATGAAGGCGCTACTCTTTCGGTTAAGGCTCTTAGAAGTAAGGCAACTGCTCTGGGAATTGTGCATAAGAATATATTCCATACGAATGAGTTCAACAACGAGTTCAAACTAACAGAGTGCGGTAATTATATTATAAGAAAATAAACCATCCATTATTTAGCAAAGTACGCATTCTTTTTGAAAGTAAATCTGCTGCCGAGGAGTATACAACAATTTTAATAAAATTTATCTTGGGTTTTATTTTAGCTGGCAGCACTCTTTAACTCGAGTAAATATTTTATTTCAAAAGTAAAAGTATTGCTCTGTCTATTTGTAAATATTTTGCACAGATTTTATGGAGAAGAGAAATAAGAGAGAAACAAAGCACACACAGAGGATGAGAAGATACCAGAGCATCACGACGCACATTCCTCCCTTTCTTGCTCCTGTCTCTACTTTTCTAACTGCGTCTTCTGCTTCTTTTTCTCCTCTCATTGTTTCTTATCTCACATCCAGCGCGCCTGCCTTTGACACTTTTGTGCGCAGATATTCACACCAGCAGCTGCGCTACGAGCCCTGCTCTTTTTCTGAGGGCTCTCTTGATCACCAGCCTACTTTTACTCTTCCTGGCTCTTTTACTTTTAATTTTAATTTGCACCCCTGCTCCAATGGCAAGACGAATAATAAACCCCGTTTCAGAGAAAAGAAGAGAACTTTCCATAAACTGCAAGGAAATGACCAAGGATGAGCTGTTCGACATGGAAGAGTGTGCTAACTTCTTGGAAGTGAACAACAGACTGTCAAAGCACAACCCAGAGACACTCCCAGGAGGACCAATGAACGTCCTCCTAAAGAAGGCAGAGCACAAGATCGTTTTAGATATGGGCGTAGATGTAAGAAAGTTCTACATAAAACAGCTCCTCCGTAAGTACCTCCACAAGAAAGGCCTTAAGGACTGGATACATATCAAAATAGACACAGAGTCTGGTGAATACGGTCTCCATTACTACAACTTAAATGACGAATAAACGCGACTACTATTTATTTGTTTTATTCCCCTGGTAAATTTCTTGCTTGTATTTACAACATGAAGAAGTCTAAAGGGGTCTACATTATTCTTTTCAATACGCTTTTGCTTCTGGCTGTGGAGCTCTTTGCGCACCACAAGAGCCATGCAGTCTCCATACTTGGAGAAGTATTTCACATGGCAGGTGATCTGATGACTGTCGGGGTAGGGCTGTGTGCATCATTTATCATGCAAAGGTGGAGTGGAGGTGATAGGTGCACCTTTGGCCTAGCTAGGCTAGAAGTTCTGGCTGCTGCTATTTCTCTCTTTTTGATCTGGTCTCCTTCTATATACCTTGTGCACCTGTCAGTTGGAAGATACTTCAATCCTGTGCCTCTTGATAGACACATTCTTCTGGGCACTGCTTTTTTCTCTTTGGTTGTAAACTTAGTGAACTTCTTCGTTTCTCTGCACATGAACAAAAGGTGCACCGGGGATATGAGCATTACCTCGATATACATCCATGCTCTGAGCGATCTGATGCAGTGTTTGGGCCTCTGTTTGAGCGGTCTTGTGCTGTACATCGACTCTTCTTTAGTTATTGTCGATCTGCTAGCTGCCATCCTCTCAACTGCGATTTGCTTCTACGGGTCTCTTGGGCTGGCGCGGGAGGTAGCGATGATGCTTCTCGATGCATCGCCTGTGGATGTAGAAAGCGTCAGAAATAGTCTTATGAGCGTAAGCCACGTAGAGTCAGTTACTGACCTAAAGGTGTGGAGCATAAGCAGAAGCAACAGAGCAACTATGGCTCGGGTGTCCCTGGCTGAAGGAGCACAGCACACAGAGGTGGTGCGAGAGTGCAGAGAAGTTCTTCATAAAGAATATTCAGTGGGCATTTCCAACATAGAAGTATACTAATAAATGCAGATATCAAAATAAGTAAAGTGTAAATGTCTTAATACTTACCAGTTTTGTTCTATTTTATGCTACTTTTTTATGAATGCTAAGAGATTCTTCTGGCATGCACAGGATAGGAGTGTAACTATTTAGTGTCTTTTTCCTTTCTTGGTGAGTGTGAGGAGGCAGAGCATAAACTACTGATCTAGTAGCATGCTCTTTGAGTACACTGTGCATGCATTTGGAGGGAGATAAGCCAATATTCTCTGCTTCAGAAGAATACAGATATAGACTGGTGATGCCACTGTGTGAATATTTTATTTAGTTGCAAATATTTTACTCTGCATGAACTCAGCAGTAAAACCGCAAAAAAGAAATCACAGACAGCGTGCCCATTCCAACCCCTTTTCAGACCACAACATTTCCTATCCTTTGAATCCTTCGTTCTTTGATACTCCCGTGGATATGGTGGACATTGGCTGCGGGTACGGTGGCCTTCTTTTCAAGCTCTCTGAGCTGTACAGTAACGACCATATCCTAGGCATGGAGATACGAGAGAAGCTAGTGGACTACGTAGATCTAAAGATAAAGTTTGAGCAGGAAACAATGAACAAAAGCACAAATGTATCGGTGGTAAGAGCCAACAGCATGAAGTTCCTGACCAACTACATCGAGAAAGAGTCGCTTAAAAAGATGTTCATTCTCTTCCCGGATCCACACTTTAAAAAAAAGAAGCACAAGGCGAGAATAGTATCAAAGTCTATGCTGGATATATACCAATACGTAATAAAGCCAGATGGCCGCCTGTACATCTCAACAGATGTAGAAGAGCTGTTCAGCTATATGTGCCAGTGCATAGAAGAGCACCCTTTGTTCAGCAGACTAACTGAAGAAGAAGCACAAAAAGACATTCTGTACGAGGTGATAATAGAGACAACAGAAGAGTCAAAGAAAGCGGATATAAAACACTCAAATAAGTACAGAGCAATATTCAAAAGATTGCCATAGGACCTACCATAGACACCTTTCTAGTCTGTCAGTGATAAGAAAGAATGGCAATATAGCACTGCCATACTCATAGTACTAGCACTAGATCTTCTATAATAAAAGCAATAGTGTACTTCTGAGAATAAGTCTCTTTTTCTATAAAATATTTTATGATTCAATGTGTTATGATTCTGAACTTTAATTGGTCCAGTTTGAGAGAGAATTCTATTGGTTAGATAGTAGAGATCACATCCAAGTGTCTTTCTTTCGTGCTATCACGGGATTCATCACATCACAAAGTTATATAAGAAGTAGTTCTGCACTCTTCTATGTTTTCAGATTTCTATAGTCCTATGCCCTTTCTGATAGGAACAGCTTTTCTTATCGCTATTCTTGTCGTTATATACTTCTTGCTCTCATTCACAGGAGTAGTAGGAACAAGTAGCAGCAGATCAGAGCTCACAAATATAGTAACGAACAATAATAACAATAACAACAGTAATGCAACAGGTGGAGGTAGCCAACAGCCAAATGTTATAGTAGTCAATCCAGCAGCCAATGCATCAGGAGACAACAATAGGCGCCACACCCGCCACAGTCATCATCATAGAAGCAACTACTCTCCTAACCATTAGTATTACCATCTACCACACTATCTACCGTGTATTAACATTTAGATCTACCATGTATTAATACTACCATGCTATATTCTATCTACTATCTTTCATTATCTACTACCATCTACTGTATTCTTCTATTATCTTCTATATTGCTGAGAATTGTTTAGCATTGAAAAATAAATTGCTCTTGTTCATTTAAAAAATGTATGCGTATGCTTCTACAGCTGTAATTGGCCTTACGCTCTGTATTTCAGTGCTGGGGGCTCTGAACATTATGCGATCCATCTATTTCCACTCTAGCAGGACTTGGCTGCTCTGCAGAACTCTCTCCATCTGCATAATAAGAAACATCATTCTATGGGGCCTGCTGGATCACTTGAATGCTTCCATTGGAAAGATAAAGTATACGAGCGGCAGAGAGCTGGATGGCAACGAAAAAGACTTGTTTCTTTTGGGTGTGTACCTGATAATTAACAGAATATTCGTGATATCCAGAGACCAGAATGCCCAGTGGAAGCTGTACTTTATATCTACCATCAGACACATAATAGTCTGCATGAGCCTGCACACTATGATCTCTGTCCTGGATGGAGACAACATTTTATACAGCACACCGCACCAGCTAATTCTTGTGATCATTGGGGTCATTCTTTCAGCCAATTCTCTCGCTGGCCTTCGAGACTTTGAGTTTTCCTACCAAGTGAGAAATCCCCTGGAGGACGGATTGCTTAAGACAAAGCTGTACGAAACACTCAACAGAATATACCCGAGACAGTACCAGATAGTGTGGATGGACATACCAATGACCAAAAAAACACCTGTGTACGTAATGGAGACAGGCATCACTGTTCTTCTGATTATGGACAGGTCTTTCATAGATACCCACAGTATACTGGAGATAGAGTATGTTTCCATCCACCACATACTAGAACACTATTCGGGATACAATGAAATACTGGCCTTTTTTGACACAGGGTCAGTTATTCTCCTGTTTCTAGCCTACTTTATGATAATATTCGGCTATGCCTCGGGGCTGCCCATCTACATACGCTACATAATATGCTACGAGATACACGAGATAGCCACGCAGATAAAAACAGTGGCACTCTCGTATCTATGCGGGTATGTAGAGAGAGCCATCACTAAAGAAACAGAAAAACACCTGAAATCTTCTTCACCCATCAGTGGCAATGCTTTGCACGGACTGATGAATACATGCCGGGCATTTTCCATTAACAGAAATACAAGCACATACTACGACTATGTATTCTGTGACTACTATTCGAACGAAAGAGCAAGAGACCTGAATATTAAGCCAGCCCATCAAGAGAGGTAGTAAGCATTGCTTTAATCATTAGCAATACATCTTTTCAATGAGCAGTAGACTTTTATTCAGTAAATTGGCGGTAGAACACATATTTATTATACTAGAAAGATAGCTGTTCTTTGGCTGTGCTTAAGCTACATAAATCTAGCCAGTTGAACACACAGATATTCAATAGCTCATCGCTTCATTATGCCACCAGGATAGGCTAGCGAAACTTCATTAGGTCATCAGGATAATAATTTCTTATTTTTTTGTTGGTCTTTTATGTTTGCAAAGTGCTTGGTTCTGCTGCTGTTTGTGCTTACTTCCTACGCTTCCTACGTCTTTATCTCTTTATACCAGATAGTTAAGGTGCAAATGAACACTAAAAAAAGAACAATCAGCGAAAAAGAGTCTCTTCGTCTTTCAGATGGCGTTGTTTTATCTGTGGTAGTACACACTTTTATTTTCATTTCTTTCATTGTTTCTATTAAGCACAGCGAATACACTCTTCCCGTAGACACCAATACTCTATCATTTCTATACTGCTGCACTGTAAGCCAGAATATAGACACAATCAATCCCTGCGTATATGCATTATTAGATGCACTCGGCAGCGCATTTATGTACAGTGCTATTTCCACAGCAGATGCACTTACAGATAGCATTATCATAAGAACAGCAGTGGAAATATTGGTGGCAGCATTCATAGTAAAGAGTGAAGTAGATCAGAAGCCATGCAGTACTCCAATACTTCACAAATCACACAGAGTAACTCTTACATTCTTTCCCTATCTGCTGAAGAGACTGTTCATACACGTGCTGAGGAGTGATTCAGATAGATACTTTATTAAATCTCTGTTCATGGTAGAAAATAACAAAGACGTTTCAAAGGTAGAGCACTCTTATGCAGTAGTCACCCTTTTGCAGCTGCTCCACACCCAAAAGATAGTAGAGCGCATCATCACTGCACCAGGTATCTATTCTTCGTAGGCTTGGCACATCCAGTAATTCATGGTGCCTCTCGGGCTGTACAGACAATAATAAACCATCAACACTATTTCATCCTATCTTCTGTTTTTAAATGCTTTAAAAACGCTTATTCTCCTCAAATCTACCTATATTAAAGATAACACAGTTTATTTTCTAAAGTGAAAGTGCGAATAATTCTGTTCTTATACCAGAATAAAAAAATGGAAAAAATGGAAAATGTAACAAAAATACCACTTGACACAATATGTGTGTACAGGATAGACATTAAAAAAGCGTTCTCCAGCTTATTTGCATCCGTATACGGCAAGCCCGGGTTTGTTTTCAGGTCTCTGGGAATAAGAATGTTTGAGGCAGGTATGATTTTGGTTCTTCTAATATTCGGAGTGTGCAGAATTCTTTCCAGTCTGCTGGCTATCCCTGTATACCAGCAGGAGCTAAAGGGATTTCAAGGGAAGTATGGGTCTCCCTTTGAATTCACAACAGCTGCACAGCACGATGACAACGACAGACTAACTGCCAGGCTACTGGAGCTCGCTGAAGACCCAGAGAACACAGGCATTAAAATGAAGTCGCTCGTGGAAGGACTGCTGTACGAGAAAGAGTTGGATCAGTCAAAAATCAGCATGAGCGAGTACGTGGAAAACAACTGCAGCTCAAATAATAAAACACTTGTGATGAGCATTGTATCAGCTGCTGTTAATGTTCTGTTCTTCATCAGAGCCAGTGGAATATGCACGAATCTCTTCAATGCAATAGGCGATACGAAGAGCTTTGTTATTTCTCTATTCCTGATCCTCCACGTGATGGTGCACATATTCATATTCACTATTTTTATGATTCTGACCTTTGACGAAAACGGAAGAATTACTGCTGCATTTGCTGTTATGATCATGGACTTTATCACGATGGGATTTTCTTCATTTTTTGGGCCCATAGGAAGCAGTGCCATTGGAATGGTCTTTAGCATTTGCCAGTCTCCGCTTGTTCTGAATGTCTTGTTCTCGTCATTTGGCATTTTGTTGCACAGACTCATAAATATTTCCATAGAAAAACGGATATCTCCAGAAGCCAGTGAAATAATAGATGCATTCGGAGCGGGTGCATACAGCAAAGTGCTTGCATTGGACAACGAGCAGCTTACCAAGGACTTTGTAGATAGAGTAAAAAGTGTAGTGGGAAGCGGCAGTGCTCTTTCTGAGGTAAAAATAATGGATGTGTGCAGATCGACTATAGGCAATTTCACTGTTTTTATGCTGAGCTGTTTTTTCTCGTATGTCATCATCTATGAGCTCGACAAAACAGTAATTTACTATTTTTTGCTGTGGGCACCGGACATCGCCCCGTTCCGTAAGATACGTAAAATGATGACAGTGCGGCTTATGATAATCTTCAAGCTTCTTTCGTATGTAGGCGTGCTTGTATCTATTTGGTTCTTGTTCAAGAAGAACCCAATGTAGATCGTAGATGACAAAGACTCTATGCTCAATTAAGAACCGATATAGATGCAAGATAGAAAAATAATCGTCTTATGCAGAAAGTATAAAACAGGTGCCTCTATAGATCATAAACCGTCAATAAATTATCTAAAAAGTATAATCTACACTCTCACTTTTAACCGTTACAAACGTACAATTATTCCAGGAAGTACATCTGTATATTAACGATATTTATTCATATTAAACTGTTATAGTACAAGCTGATTATCTTACACCGAAGCATCTTTATAGCTGATAGATCCAGCAGAGTGCACCTCTACTTCTAGGCATGGTATATTTCTGATGCAGCTGGCTTGTATATGTGTATTATGTCTGTGTACGTCACTCTCTTTGCTGTTTTCTGTGGCAGCGACAGTCTTTGTCCGATGTACACGATAATCATGGCTCCATCCAGGCCGTTGAAGAGGTACGCAAATGTCATGCGCATAAAAGAAAGAGTAATCGACATTTCAGAGGTGGTGTCTCCGTGGTACCTTTCAAATATGTAGTATGTAATGCACAGGGGAATGAACACAATGGAGATTACAGAAATGTACCTGCACACTTCAAAGTACACGAAATGTTTTTTGTTTTTCTTCATCCACTCCACCCGGCTGACCACGCATGCCTTGTCAAATGCTCTGTACGTCTGCAGGACTTGGTATGGCACCCAGTATGCAAATCCCATTCTCATCAGGTAAAAGCCAGCTGATGCAAGAATACTGTAGTAGTATCGAGCATGCAAATGCTCCACCAGTGCTAAAGAAGAGAGAATGCTGTAAACAGCACCAGATGCATAAAGAATGGCAATGCGCTGGTACTCTGGCCAGGTGTTCTGGAGAGCTTCTGTTTTGAATGTGCTGTAGAACACCACAACTGAGAAATATATTCTAATAAAGGCTCCCGATCCTATGCACATAAGCCTGTGCCAGAACCACTTAGTCTCGGATATGCTAATGGATGCTATATTGAGTCTGTGTACGCGCAGAACCATAAGGTAAATAATACTCAGCAAAACAGGAATGACTGAAAGATGGAACACATCCCAGAGGATAGACTTAATGGCAATTTTGCACGCATTCATTCCGAATAGGAGCATGCCTGCGAGAGTGTGCGCTCTTCTCCTGCAGAAGGGAGGGATGAGGGAGAGGAGCACGCCGCCAAGTATTATCGATGTTGAGCCATAGATAACGTTGGTTACGTTGTTCCAGATGCTTCCAAAGACGGCATAGCAGGAGAGGTAGAGGATCAGAGAGATAACAGGAAGCGTAAGAAGGCTGATAAAGTACGAGACACACTTCGCCAGATAGTACGGCGTGAATAAGTGAATAATTGCACACGTGCTTACCATCAGCCCGTTGCCCAGGAGGATCACTCCGAGACACCTTCCCATGCAGTAGGAAATGCAGTACAGAGAGTCCTGTAGGTGCACAGGCCCTTCGTGCACGAGGTATCCATTGAATCCAATGTGGTACACAACAAAGTACAAAGGAAGAGAAATAAAAAGTAGAATGAAAAATATACTATTGGCAACTCTTGTTGCCTTGTAGTACGAATCGATTGTGTACTCAGAGAGTTTCATTTTTATATTTAAAAATTTATTATTGTTTTTTTATTTTTACTTCTTTCTTTTTTCTTCTTTCGTATCTTCGGATTTTCTTTTTCTTATTTCTTTTTCTTTGAAAATCTCCAAGATACTTTGGAGAGACTTTTGCTTCACTGGGATGACGTCGTACCTAATTTCGCACTCTTCTTCGTTTTCGTACGCCTCCAGGGAAGACTTGAACTCCAGCACCGGCTTCTTTAGGTTCATTTTCTTCGAGGCGTTCAGGGGCAGCTTGACTGTCGTAAAGTCAATGCCCACGAAGAGCACTCCCAGAGTGTAGGAGTCTCCTTCGCACTTCAGATCTTTTAGTATGGGGATGTCCTTTGGCGATACATCTTCCACTGTGTATTTCTTTGGAAGCGTGTACGAGCACGTGATGTTTTCAATGCTTTCTAGCTTCTGTGCGAACATTCTTACTCGCGTTTCTGCGAATCCCAGGAACTTGCTGAACTCTTTGGAGCTGTCCCCTGCCATGGCAACCACAAAATAGTTTTTGTGCCGGGTGAAGAAGTCTGTGCCTGCGCATAGAGAGTCGAGAAGAGAGTACATATCCTGTTTTTCAGCTGCATTCTCTTCAAATATCGCGCATCCTCGGGCAAACTCTTTCTTCATTATGCTCAGTGTGCTGTTCGTTATGTTGTGCGTGGAGCAAAGGGGAGGATAGACGGGAGTGATGACAGGCATTTTATCGTTCTTATGGTGTGCATTTACTTTTGGGTTCCACACCTTCAGATTGTAGTTGCAGTCTGGCACTTCCTTAATGATAACGGGCGCAGGCCACTGCCACTTTGAAAAAAGATCGAAAAATTTGTGAATCAGGTCAATTGCTTCAGAATTTGGGTTCATCTGGCAGACTTTTGCTATGCACAGCGCATACGCCACTCCTCCCATGTATCCGTACGAGTGGCCGTAGACCAGCCTGCACTGCGCCCAGTACTTAATAAACCTGAGGGCTATGTGGAATGTTTTAACATTTGGAACCTGTGCCAGTATTTCATCGGTTACTCTGTTTCCGTTCAGGCTAAGAATACACTTTTCGTTCATGTGCTTTAGTAGTTTATTGTCCAGCAGATTTATGTTTGGCGGGATAGAGGAGAGATCCATGCGCGCAAACACCAAGTCAATGGGAATTGAGTTAATCTTAAATTTAATCAGAGGAACAAAAGTGTTGGTTACTTTTGATATTTCAGAGATGTATTCCTTAGACGCAAGCTCGTCGTAGAAGGTCGTAAAAAACTCGTTTCTACTCACAAAGCTCGGCACAATGCAGAGCGTGTCAATGTCAGCGCCGGACGAGTGCACCCCGAGTCTATAACTGCCAAATGTAAATATTTTAGATAGACTTTTTGGGTCAATTGGGATTTCATTACGCCGAGCTATACTCATGATAAATTTATTGACTAAATTGCTAAGTATTCCCAGCACTCTTTCCCTTTTTATAGATTCATCTTCGTCTTCAAAGAAGCCCTTTGTCTGCAAGTACGAAATAATTTTCTCATCGGGAGCTGTCTCCGTTTCAGTTTTAGTCATTTGCATAAAAAACAAATATTAGAAAATATTTATGAAGTGTCCTCCTGGCGATGAGCAAAATATTCTGCTGGACGAAGTGTGCAGGGAAGTGCTCAGCAACACCATTTACTACATCGACACGAACTACCATGAAATAACAAAAAGAAACAAGGTAGACCAGAGTAAAGTGAAAGAAAAAAGAGAAGAGCTGGAAACAGTCCAGAGAGAGCTCGAGACAATAGAAGAAAGCATAAAAAAAGAAGAAGAGAGAATAGAGAGCCTGAGAAAAATAGCACAAACCGAAAGAGTAGAGGGAACTGTCGATCTGAGAGAGCTGCTCAAAAAAGTGGCAGAGAGAAAGAATGATCTACACTCCCAAACAGTGTCCTTTTCCTCTGCATCGCCGCAGGATGTTCTCTACACGGTAAACTTCACCAACACAGAAGTGCAGAGCACCGCAGAGGATAAAGTGGAGGCCCTGGAAAAAATAAAAGAAATACTGTCAATGTGACACTTTGTGTAAATACAGCCCAGGGCTACAGATGCATTTAGCCACCTTATGCAAAAGAATAAAATAAGTTGGATATAATTTACTTACTCTGTTCTATCTAAAAAGCTCTCTAGTGGTAGCATTGGGATGCAAGTGGTGATTCTCTAAATGGCAAATTGGTAATGTGGGTGCAGATTCTGTGATGGATATGTCTTCCTGGTAAACAAAATTTTATTGGTTATATTCTCCATTATTATTGGAGAATGGCGGAGCGTCTATTGGATCTGTCCTGTGGTGCTATTAGCGTGCATTCTGATTCATTCAACTCGTAATAAGTAGCCCCGTGATTTTTTATTTCAGAAGATTTCTGCTGCTATTGGCTAATTTAGTACGAGTTTTATTGGCTGATGGCTGCATATCTTTGGAGATCCTGGAATAGGGATGGCTAGCATAGCATACAAGTGCATACGACGCAGTGTGAATCTCTTGGCTTTTCTGCTGCTTGTCGAGACTCTTATCATTGTTGTGTACAGTTTCTACTCCAAAATACTGAATAGGCTCGAGGTGTACGTCCTGTCTAGCGAAACAGGTTTTAGCAGTGTCATCAACTACTTAGTTGGGTTTTCTCTTTTTATGACAATGGTCTCATCGACTGCAGTGAACAGCAAGAGCAAGTTCACAATCAAGATCGCGATTATCTTTGGGGTGTTTTTCTTCCTGTTTTCTCTGGGGTGTTTTGCCTACATAAAGCTATCGTATGCAGATAAGCTACTAAATGCGGTATACTGCATGTCCACCAGGACGCGCTCAGATGAGCTGACAACCATCATGAACATGATTGGGGCAGGGAACATAATAAGATCGCACAAGGAAAACATGAGAATAGTCGTGGAGGCCGTGCAAAGAGAGATATACATATTTATGATTATGTTCACCTGCTACTACTCAATCAGCGGGTTTATAACCATATTTATGATACTGGGAAGCAACTGCAAGATAAGCACTCCAAAGAAGAACGACGAAGAGCAAGAGGTAGAGGTAATTACACAGACTGTTGGCTTCACAGGCAAGTCTCTTCGCAGGTATCCTCTTGCTAACTAAACAGCAAGCGTGCTCTGGATGCTTAGATGATAATCGAGAATGCTCGCGCAGTGTGCCTAGTGTTGGTGTGCTCTGACCATTCTTCTAGTTTGATTTGTGTAAATAAATCTAAAGTATTTAACTTGTCTCTAGCTCTTCTGTTCTCAAGTAATAGCTACTCTTTTTGCAAATAGTAGCCAAGTGGTAACTATTTATTTAATTTACGCTTTTGTTTATAAATTAGCTGGAGAGTATTTTTGCAAAATAATTTTAAGACCTATGTTTGTTCTTTTTCTCCTTATGGGCGCTGTTTTCTGCACTAACAAGGCCATTCTCATAAACTGCTCGTGGCAGTACGAAAACTACAGACACTTTGCCAATGTTATAGCCCTGCAGAGTGCGCTGGAAAAGAACGGGTTTGCCTCTGATGACATCTCTGTATATTTGAAACAGGATCTGCTAAACGACAAGAGAATGCGCGACCAAAACATTGAAACTGACTATTTTACCTTGGTTAAGGGCGTGGACTACACTCCGAAGCAAAGAAACACATCGTACTTTGAGATTTTAAACATGATCGGAGGAAAAGACCCTGTGCTTCTTGGGGCAGACAGTGCAACCAATCTTCTGATCTACATCACTGGCCACGGAGGAGACGGGTTTATAAAATACTGCAACAGAAAATATTTCTACACAGACGACATAACGGATGCGCTGGTGAGTCTTCAGAAGATGCGAAAGTTAAACAGGATACTATTTATTGCAGATACGTGCCAGGCAGACACTTTGCTCGACAAGAGCAGGCTGCCTGACAATGTAACTTTTGTTTCAACCAGCCTCAAGGGAGAGTCTTCTCACTCTACTATATTCAGCCAGGCACTGAACGTGTTTCCAATAGATCTCTTTGTCATGCACCTGTACCGCCTCATAAACGCAGGGAAAGTGGAAAAAGAGGAGACATTTTCCAAGCTGGTAGAGAGAGAAATGCCAAATGATCTCATAAAATCAACTATTACGGTCAGCGGGCCCGATGTGCCTCTGCACGATTTTATATTTCAAAACAGCGAGAAAAGCTTTTCTCTTTTCTTGTAGAGCATAGCTACGCTACTCTGATAAGGAAGTACATGAAGATAAAAATAAGAAGGGCTGCTATCAATAAAAAAACCACCTGTCCTGTTGTCAAACTGTACCACTCCTTGTTTTCCAGAGCCAGCACGCTCTTCTGCACTTGTTTTACATTCTCTCGCACGCCCGATGAAACTTTCTCCACAAAGCTCTTGCTGTTTTCTAGCATTTGCCCAAAAGACTCTGCTTTCATCTTGAGTGTTTTGCTCTGCTCTAGGATTGAGGCCGCAATTCTCTCTGTGTTTTGATTATTCTCCACGGTCTCTCTTTTTTTCACGTTTGATGTTTCTTTTTTTTCTGCTGCCTTTTTAATAATTCTTTTAATTTTTGAAATACCTGCTGTCTTTCCTCTGTCCACCAGTAGATTGTACTGATCTACAAATGCATCTTTGCCCTCTTCAGCGTACTCCTGCAGGGAAAGGTACAGCCCAACCAGCTTGCTGTGGATCTCGTCTTTATCCTCTGCGCTGTTTTTATCTAGCAGTCTTTCTGTCTCTTTCAGAAGGAGAGAAATCTCTTGGGACATGAGAAAAAAAAATAAGACACTGCTATTTCTATAATTAAAAAATA